GATATCCAGGAGAAATTGACTTGTGTCCAAAACCCGTAAACGCGGCCTTACTGTGAGATATCGCGGGTAAAGTTACTTTGATACACTGACACAAGTAAATTGCAAGGCAATTTTCCCTTGTCTTAAGAAATCCTGATGTAGCCTCTGTGATATTCACTTAAGGGCAATTAGAAGCTTGAAACACTGATACTCTTACTAACTGAGTTCGAGGTCTGTATTGTAATTTACGGACCGAGAAAACGAGGATAGTAAGATATTTGATATCTCTAGCTTCAAATAGAGGGGGAAGATTTCCATTCAAACAAACTTTTGAATTTAGCAGGCCGTGCAGTGACTTACAGTCCTGTTGCATGACCAATCGTATCTCATGTCCTAACTGAGAGATATCATAAAGGTGAATATTGTTGCGTTTGCTTTGTGACAGTGATGTTGCCGAGTGGATTGGTGATCAATGGCGCGATCTTGGCCCAGCTGCGGTGGGCCTGGATCCAAGCGACCTTGAGCGTATTAACCTGGATTCTTTGGAAGAAATGCTGGACGAATTGGGCAAGTTGGAGTTCAGCAAGCCCCAGGCTGAGGCTCTCGTCAAGGCGGCGAAAGAGGCATGGGACGAGAGCGGTATGGCATGGACAGTTACTTTGTAGGATCGCTTTTTAAGTATCTTGAGACTTAACATAAACGAGTGTAACCCCAACTGCTGAAACGGAACAACTCAAGGAGCGAATAAGATCTCAGCGTAAAAACAAGCGCAGGAAATCGGGATTGACTTAGTCGTGATTGGTTTTCGTTTTGCATATGATTGGTTGAGTTAGTGATGCGTGATTTCTATACTAATCACAGGGCGAAACGATGGAAAACCAAATAAACCTGGATTCGTTCCATGACTCAATTGGAAATCGCTTCCAAGATGTAAACTGTAATAATGTGGTGGTAACCATTTTATAAAAATTGTGTGATTGGTCTCAGAGTCTGCGCTGATACAAGCAGAGACACCTCAAAAATCTGTAGGAGGCTTGACAATTAAAGCAACCGATCTTGTAATCTACTCCTTTCCTGTTGCTTGGGTCGCATTTTCATGAACAGTGTTAGTAATTGTTGTGGTGTAGTTAGCGGTACACGTTATGTGGCCCCCGCTTTAACTCTTAAAATCATTATTTCTTCCCAAGTTTCAAGTAGTTCTTGTGGTTTTCAAAATCATAACACCCTCTATAAAGATTCAGTGTTCTATTATTTTGAACTTCATCGCAGACGCTGGAAAGTGGACTGGGGACAAACTGCGTCGACTGGGCTCTCTTGTGAAGGGCCTGGACACCTCTGACATCAAGAACATTGGTAAAGAAGCCTTCGAAGAGGCCGTGGGGATCTGGGGAAAGTACCTCGATGTCGACATGGAAACGCTTAAGGCGTTAGCTGAAAAGTCAAAAGAAGTAAGGCTCAGTTGTTTAGTTTTCAAATGTTAATGGTCAAGACATTTGTCTGGTCAAGGCACCTTGATGTTTACTTTGCGTTCCATTTTTTTTTTATGTTTGTAGGTTGTAACCAATGGAGACATTTCCAAGCTAACTGCTCAGCTGGCTAAGAGGTTGGGACGAGTCGTACTGGGTCTGACTCCGCAAGATCTTGAGAAACTCAATTTGGACAACATTGACATTATTGCTGCCCTGGGGAAGTGGAAAGAATGGAGTGAAGATCAGGTTTATATTCTTTTGTTTAGGACTTTTAATTCTCTTTCAGTTACAAAAAACCTCACAGTATGACGTTAGTCATACATGATGGTGTTGATGGTAAATCATGATGTTTTTGTTTGACGAGGTTTAAGCACGTTCCTCTCCATCAATCATTGCCCAAATTCCCCTCTAGGTTAAAAATCATGGGTTTTATGTGTTTTCTTTTTTCCTTAAAGCTGAATCGCCTCAAGCCAAAAGTTCGGGAATTCTTGAAGCAGAGTAAAGACGACAATGTCTACATGAGCCTGGGACAGTTAGCCCTCAGTCTGACCAAAGAAGACATCTCGAAAATGCCTGTGAATGCTTTTAGGTGATAACTGTGGTGGTGAAACTTTGATTGTGGAGCCATCTTAACTCTTTTAGCTTCAGCTTTTCTATGTATTTACGCTGGCTGTACTTCTTGTGATTATTTAGAGTAAAGTATGTATGAGTAAAGTATGTACGTAGTTCTGATGGTGGTGGGGGGGGGTGTGTGTGAGGGTGCGGACCCTCTTGATCCTCCGTACCTCCCGGATCTTCCCACTGGACTAAGTAATTTTGTTTCGCATTTTGTAATACAATTTGAGCCGCAATTTTGTCCTTTTGGCAAACAGAATACTAACGTCATTTACGTTATGTTTTTTAGACTGGCTCTGGGGCAGCTTAGTGAGATCGAGGGTTGGTCTGGTGATCAACTCAAAGCAATCATTGACAGAGCTAAAACTGTGTGGGCGGAGGCCGCTAATGAATGGGATAAGGACCAAGTTAGTGAACTGGGAAAAGCATTAAGTAAGTGCTGTGATCCTAAACAGCGAACAAACATTGTAGGCCTGCAATAAAAGGCGTTTACTAACAGTTAGGACAGTGCTCTCCCAAAGAGAATTCTGTTTTTGATCGGAATCTTCCGGCCATTTGAGTTAAGTCCTTCAGTTCATCTACCATTAGATTAGTTTTCGACGTAAACTTGGAATACTTTTAAACAGGAGAGCTTTCTCACATTAAGCTGATCCGTCCCGTCAAAAATGCCAGTTTCTGGTACCCGTCCCGTCAAAATTCATAGTTTCTGGTACGCAACATCAACGATTACCTAACGATACTCGTTTTTTTCTACAAAAAGACAGTTCACAACATCCAGATCCTGGCAACAAACATCTCTGCATGAAACCCCTGAACAGCGAATTCTATGGCCCTGCGTTTGCAGAGCGAAAGTCGATCTAGACTTGTATTCAGATGTGATTTAAATTTGTTTTGTGTCAGAGTAATGATTTCTCTTGCACTACACAGAGGCTCTGTCTAACGCTGACATCCCTAAGCTGCGAACTGAAGTGGTGGACGTTATCCCGCCAGAAGTGTTTGAGGACATGAGTGTCTCCCAACTTCAGGTAAAGAATACTTTTCGATATGCAGACCATGTATAAGACTAATGTTAATTTAGGAAGGATACTGTATGAAGAAATTAGATGCATGTCACTCTTAGGGGTTAAAGAACATGAGACGGACACTTCCAAGATTCACTCAGTTGTTTTAGTAATGACAACACCTCCTTAATTGGAAACCGAGTAATTTTTCAAAACTAAATATTAGAAGCAGAGTCACATCTCACTTTTTCTTTCCAAAATCTGCCTCTCGGCAAGCTGCTGTTTATTCTTGTCAGTTCTTGTTGTTCTGGTATTTTTCGGTTCTGGTGTCTTCATTCGTGAACCCTTTAACTCCCAGACCAAATTTGTAATTCTCCTTACTGTCAACCATACAATTGTTATAATGTTAGTTCAGAGAATTTAGTATTTTTTTAGAATTTATTCTTTTCACTTGTCTGGTTGATATTGCATTGATGTTGTAATGAGCAATTCAGTCTTGGTCTCTCGTGGGAGTTTAAGGCTTAAGAAAAAGTGATGAAATTTTCGGAACGATACCTTAGCTCACGATATTATCTTCTCCCCAGTCTTTCTCAGCTGATCAGTATAAAGCAATGCAGGCTCCTCAAGTGCAAGCCATTAGCTCGGTCAAAAGAGAAAGCCTCACAATGGCCCAACAAGAGGCCATTAAGAGCGTTATAAACGGCGATCCGGATGAAGAAGATCCATGGGGACCAGACGAAGATGATAATGAATGTTCAGGTATGTTTACCCAGCTTAAGCAAAGCGCGAGAAGCGCGTGCAAGTTGCACGAGAAGTGCGTGCAAGTTGCATGAGAAGCGAGAGTCACGTGAAAGCGCGAGAAGCAAGAGAAACGGAAGTCGCGCGAAGGCATATAGCGAAAGGAAACAGAAACACGAGAGTAGGAGGTGGGGAAATAACACAAGACTTAAGACATGACTGATTATTTCTTCTATCTTTCTTGTAGGAGCAACCTGTGCCGCTTCCAACCATGTAACTGCGACGTTTGTTTCCTTGGTGATTACTCCTGTTGCCATGGTTTCATTAGTTCACTGAAAAGGCTCGTGTCTTTACTGTTTGATCGAGACATTGTGATCACTTTGAAAGTTCTGTGTAATCCCTTTCCAAAATTTTAATATACATAGACGGTTTCAAGCTATCCATTGTTTTCCTGTGACAAAATGTATTCGTTTCACATCCAAAATTACGAGAAAGTATGGTACTGTTATATTAAACGTGATAACGACTTGGATATATTAATTATTAACGATTATACAAAAACGATGAAGTTGCAACGTCCATTAGGGAAGGGTTTTGTAATTAACTCGACAATAAAGCTAGATTTTTTACAATAAAGGTGGTTGTCCAAGTTTATTGCAAATTTTAAAGTTGGGATGTGTTAAGGCTACAAACGCAAACAACTGATGGCAAAAGATTTCAGTAACTTCCACTTCCCTCTCTGTGCTGGATCTCCTCCTTTTTGACGTCACCCTTTCGACAAGATTTCAATATTTCCACGATTTCTGTATTGCTAAGCACGGTGTTCCATGCGTTTTAGTCAGTTTCTCGGCACTTCCAGCGTGTGTCCTGATCATGTCCAATTATTATAGTCACCCCTTCCAATTACTCTAAAACACCTAAAACTGCTATCTGAAATGAATTTGGGCCTGACTTAACATCCACGCCGTGGATGTTGGAATAAATGCTCCGAGTCCCGTAGTTCCCATATGGAAGACGAAGAGAATAGACCGAGGTTTAAGTTGCTGCTTTGTTTCATTCTGGGCTGGCTTAACCGAATGCCGAATTCTCCCATAGCAGCTATTGTGGGAAATCCCGAGGAAAATTGATATCACAAGACAAGAACATGTGGACGCTGACCAAAAGGAGCGTGGTCTACGCCCAAGCTGACGTAAGCATGATGACGTGGCGGGCGAGACTGAGAACTGTGAAAGGATTTTCAAAGTTTACGCGCCTTGAAATGACTAAAGTCGTTTACCTTCAAACTATGGTAAGTCGCTTTATGACCTTTATTAACACGTCTATCAACTATTAATACTCTGATTAAAAAAATTAAGTTAATCTCCAAAGGAAGCGTTCTGAGTTATTTTTTAACGCTGTAAAAATAACAGTTGACGAAAGCTAGTTAACTTCGGACTGAATGTGGTGCACAATTTTGTTTTTGTCTTTTTCCTCTGTAGTTGTTGTGTAAGTTCATCTTTTTAATTTTTTTTTTAAATTTTAGAGCTTTCGCATGAAGTTTTTAACTACTCTCTCAGCTTTGTTGGCCAAAAAAAGTCAAAACGAAGTACCTTAGCTGTTTGTGTAAGACTTACATACAACATGAATTTACAGCAGTAAATAAAGGATCGATTCCTCGCTGTTCTGATTCGAATTTTGCCCTTAGAATAAGTATCAAAATTGAGCCCAGCTAGAAACATCAGTTTATGGTCTCTTGGTAATATCTGAGCATTTTCAAGGCACCTTATTTGAATTTTAATCAAACGAGCCAGAGTTGGCCAAGCCACACATCCACGTCCACAACTGAAGTACAAACATATTGACAATCGAGGTGGTTTCTTGGAGGTCTCCTCGCCCCACAGTACTGTTAAACCTGTATAAATATTATATCTTAAGTGGCTCATAAATAAAATGATGATGATAAACTTAGAAGTTTATAGGAACTCTGGCTGAAATTTCTTTGTAGTGATAAATTTTACCCAAGTGTCGATCTTAATCTTCAGCGTGCTCATTAGCTCTCAGCACTTTCTCTTAAACTAAGAGTGATCTCTCTACTTGTGGCCTCACATACGAATAAAGGGACAATTTTAACGGTCTTTCGATGATTAATTAAAAGGAAAATCGTTGAAATTCAAAGCAAAAAATTACTGGCAATGTAATTTTTTTAAAGGCCTTCTGGATAACATTAAGATAATATTTAGAATAAACTAATTACTGGAGTAGGTATACATATGAAAATATCTGGTACTTATAAGTCGATTATTCACTATTACCTGATCAATCTTATTTTGAAAAAAAAACTTTTTTTGTCCACAGATGGAAGAGAAGACAAGCACATCACTCATAATCGGATGGTTGTTCATTGGTATTTTCTCTGGATCGGCCTTTACTGAGGTACTTCCACCGACAACAGGTACTGGTATTGATCAATGTTTGACATTTTTTTCACCGAGTCAGCACTTTAAAAGTATTTGACCTACTTTATTTTTTTATTGTTGCTGTTGCTATTGTGCATGGTAGATGGATATTTCTGATACTAACTATATGAATTCGCATTGAAAGAGTTAATTTGACTGAGTTTTTGTGTTCTGCTGAAATTTGTTTTTTTGTACAGTGACTTATGATTATGGATTGAGGAAAATGCGCTTAAAGTGTTAAAATCAAAACCAGTTGATAAGGCTCCATAGGGACCGCGCGAGACCTGGGTTCGAACATAGCGCGAGCTTTAAAGTGTAAATATGCAAAACAAACATGGCGGCTCGATACGATCGCACGATTGTTGTCTGAGAAGGTGTGTTAAATAGAGAATAATACATGGGCGTGCGTAGATATGGAATTTCTCTTAAGAGTGTTTAACTCGATAGTCGAGTTGAACACGAGAAGAGAAATTTTATATCTACAAGCAACCATGTTTTATTTTGTTTATCATATAAACACAATAGCCCTTTACTGACAAGAAAAGTCGAATTTATCGATGAATGAAAATAAAAGGATCGACACTCCGAATAAAAATCGTAAAGTGCGTGGGTGCACTCAAGATGAAAACATGTGATGAATCACTACAAAAACAAACAATGGACCTAAATTTGCCTTAATGAAGAACTTTTTCACCAGTGTGGAAAGGCACAAAGACATCCATATATGGCTTAACATGATTTTTTTTTTTAATTGATTGTAATGACATTGAATCAAGATGTATTCATTTTTTATAATAAAAGTACAAGTAGATGTAACCCATTCTTCATGCATGCAGAAACAAACAAAGAAGAACAAAATTCTTTGATGTACTTTACTTTTCAAATTGTGCAGATTCAGCCAAGTGAAGTTTGGTCTTTTCTATACACAAAATTCTCGGTTATTGCATCGGTCCTCACCAACAGAATAAATCTTTCAGGCACACGGCGAAAAATGGCTAGTGGCAAATCTTATAGTTGTTGATTTTAGTTCTCAGCCGCGAGAAATGCCATTACCAAAGCCACTGAATACGTAACTTTCGGTTTTTCTTTTCGTAGTTTGGTTTTCTTCCTGTTCTAAGAAAGTTTGAACGTGACTTTCTGTAAGCGATACGGATTTTCAGCATTTTAGCAGCCATAATCCGAAAAAATTCCGGCAAACGACCATAGATTGGTGATGGCGAAGTCTTTGCCGTTCATTCATCAACCTAACCGAGTGACACGAAAGGCGAGTGACGTTCAGCAGCTGATTGGCGATATCAAACACACGTAAAAAATATCGTATTTTTTCACGTGTGTTGTTACAACTTTTCTCAAGGCTGGAAATCCTTGCATAACACCGTAGTTTACATGATAAATTGAGAATAATGCATGGGCGCGCATGGATATGGAATTTCTCTTCGAGTGTTTAACTCGATAGTCGAGTTGAACACGAGAAGAGAAATTCTGTATCTGAAACCAACCATTTATTATATAAAAACAATAGTCCTTCACTGACAAGAAAAGTCGACTTTATTAATGAATGAAAATAAAAGGATCGAGAATCCCCGAATAAAAATTGGAAAGTGCTTTGGCGCTAAGGCTCTAGATGAAAAATGCGTTGAATCATTACAAAAGCAACAATAGGTGAAGTTTTTAATAAACAAAATTCTCAGTTACTAACTTTGTCTCTAGCGACAGAAAAAATCTTTCAAGTACACAGCCAAAAGCGGCCCCTGGCAAATCTTCGAGTTGCCTCTTTTCGTTCCCAGTCGCGAGAAATGCCATTACAAAAGCCACTGAATACGTAACTTTCGATTTTCCTCCATGCATTTTGGTTTTCTTCACCTTCTGGAAAATTTTGAACGTCGCTGTCGGTGAGCGATGCGAATTTTTAGTGTTTTAGCAGCCATCATCTGAGAAAATTCCGTTAAACAACCACGGATTGAGAATGGTCATCAACCTTACCGAGTAGCGTGAAAGGCGAGTGACATCATAAGCTGATTGGCGATATCAACACACGTGAAAAAATATCGTATTTTTTCACGTGTGTTATTTCGGCTTTTCTCAGGGCTGGAAATCCTTATATAACACCGTAGTTTATATGAAAAAAACAGTTCAACACGACACAGTTTTTATGTGATGGAATGTGGGGTTTCCAGCAACTGCGCCTGTAAAATTCATAGGCTCTCTACGCTTGAAAAAGAGGTCAACCGAAAAGAAAATACCGTAGGTAAGATTGCTAAAAGGCGACAGATCGCGACAGATTCGAAAGTTTACGCATGCCCAAGTAAAGATCTTGGCGAAGTTCTATTCCATTATGTAGTGTTTTGCTACAAAGAAAATAGGGATCTTTCCAGCAATGTTTATCGCGTTTCCTTCAGTGGAATTTCTCAAGATTTGCTGGACCCTTAAACATACTTGTGCCTTTCCTAGCGCCGGTTGATAAAAAAATAATTCATGAGACCAATAGCGAGGAAACTGCCTTTGCAACCCCTATTTTTTCGGATTTTAAATGATCGACTGGACAAATTTCACAAATCGTGAAAATTTTGAGAGATTTCAAGTCATTCGATGCTACATGGTATTCTTTGATGCTTCAGAGATGATCTTTCGAGTTAAAATTTGTTGACATGAGAACGAAGTATTTAGTGTGAGGAATAATCGAACATGTATCGGCTTTTCTGAAACTGGAAATTTCTGCGCTGCCGTTTTGGATCGTAGGACGCTTTTCGGTTGCCACTATTATCTGCATGATCCCCTTGGAAGTCCTTCAAACGGAGGATGACAATACGTAGTAACCGTGGTAGGCAATTCCTTCCTTAATGGATGGTCCCTGTGGGGTTAGCCGTAAAACGGCACAAAAAAAATCACCGTTAGGCATAAGAATTGACAAATTCTCACCGCAAAGCCATCACCCCATTTAGACTGACCAGTATTGCTTATATTCGTTCCCACTTTTTAAAAAGTGGAGTCCTTGTTTCCCATTCCTTTTAACAAGTCTTCAAAATACAAAACATACTCCTCACACTCCATGTTCCTCCGGTGGAGGCTCCCTTTAAGAAGCTCGCTATGTTAAACCCTTGGTCCCCAGGTACAGACTTATATTTCTCCTTTCTTTGTAGATTTTGATTATTATTTTCCTAAGAAATCTCCTGAATACGCTGTCTTTCTCCATGATCTGCCCTTGGAGCAAGACCTGACCGTGTTCACGGCCTGTGCGTGGATCAAAACAAATGATAGAGGAACAATTTTCAGCTATACCGCGGTACAGGATGATGACATAATCATGTATGTTACTCCCAACGTGGTTTACCTGTGGATATTGAGTGAAAAAAGGTGAGAGGTATTTGATTTGTTACAGATTACGAAAGAGCAGACAGCTATGGTAGGACTACCGTAAACTCACGGTTATAGGTCCATCTATCTGTAAACAAAAAATACTTCTGATTAGAAGTTTCCCCAGATACAAGCCCCCCTTTAGCTTTTCTTGTCTTGATAGACAGGAGCTCTCGACTACTTCAAACAGAAAATTTGACAACTTATTGCAGAACAATATTTTATTGCTTCTTTGTTATTATCAAAGATTACAATCGAGGGGAAAGTCTGAACCTCCATTTGGTTTATATTTTCCAGTTTTGTTCGAAGGTTAATTTGAATTCTGTTCCAAACGTGTTAAAATGAATTTAGTATAGTAGGACTGTTTGAAGCTTAAGTGAAAACTAGTGAATGCAAAACCTATTGTTCTCAGTACTTCTATGACTCGTTTCGGAGCGCCTTTTTTAATTCCGGCTATTAGTCCCTTGAAAATTCCCCTTTCGTATTAAAAAAAAACATAAAACATTGATTTGTGACTCTTTCCCCTTTATTTTTCGCCTGATATTCCTAGTTTGCCTCCTTTAAAATTGCGTAAGCGTTATTTTTCAATATATCTAGGGTCAGTATTGAAATTGGAATAAAAAATGCGAAACTTTAGACGGAAAGTAATATGAATTGTGAACGATTTGAAAAGGGGGATTTCGCGTGTGTAATAAAAACTCTTTTCCAAGATCATATAGCTCCCATGCGACTAAAGATACGAAAGATCCATTTTAATTTTTTTTTTTTTGTCGTTCTACGTAAGGTTTTGTCTCAAGATTTTTATTTGATGTATAGAACCCCTATGCATGTGGTTTCTTCAGATTCATAGCAGAAAGCAAGAACCAGTTTCTATGGATTTCACTCTCCTCAGGGGTGCGTTAGCGAAAATTCTAGATTACCAATGGCACCATTATTGCGTCAGCTGGCAAAGCTCTGATGGCCATTGGAAAATCTTCGTTGATGGCGGTTATGCTAACCATGGTACTGGTTTTAAGACCGGTAAAACGATTCCTAAGACTGGCTCTCTGGTTATTGGACAAGATCAAGACTCATATGCCGGAGGTTTCACGGCATCCGACGCTTTTAGGGGCTTCATACATAACTTAAATATATGGGACACCAAGCTTAGTAATGAAGAAATCAACGAGTTGTCAAAATCTTGTAGCGCTGGCGAAGGCAATGTTTATAAGTGGTCTGATTTCCTGAATGAGGCGTACAATATCAAAGCATATGTTACAATGCCATCTTTCTGTACATGATAAGTGAGTTGAAGCACATGTCCCCTGTTCGAAGTTAATCCTGTTCAGAGGTGGCTTCTGTCGCTGTTTATAAGGGAGCTAATTTGGAAAAATTGACATGGAAATCGACCTTTCTTTTCGCAGTTTCTTCGAAATGTGTTATAGCTGCGATAAAGCTTTAGTTTAACTTCAACCTTACTGGCAAAATATTTTGTTTGGATCCGTCTCTTCATTGTCGCGATAGTTGATTCTATAGAGCAAGATCTAAGTTTGCAGTACTCTTTCTGAAGTGAAGATTAGGATAGACACATCTTCATTAAGACACTCGACATTGACAAATTATGACTCGAAAGTTCCATCTTTTTGGAGCTGTAAAGATTTTAGGTTTGAATATTTCAATACCACGTCAAAGGAGCTGAAAGCGTCGCGACGGCTAATTAAACATTTGGCAAATGGTTATTTCAAATTGAAGATGCTTAGTAATTTTAAATCTCGTGCATTTCACCATTCCGTGAAAATAAATCGTTCTCGTTGGTTTATTCGAAAGGATTAAAATACACGTCATTTTCATTGAAATTTGCAAATGCCTCTGGCAACCTACTTCGAAATGCGTACTGATGTACAATACAAAAGCTTCAAATTTCCCGATGGAAAACAACGAAATATCGATTGACCATTTATTTTGTAAAAAAGCAGGAAATTTCTTTTTTTTGCCCAGAGTTAAGAGGGATCGTAGCCCGGTTTTAACAGAAAATTTAATCTGGATGCTTGGAATACAGACTTAACGACCGGCGACGCGACGCGAAGAGGAGAATTTGCATTTTACGTCGTTATTATCATGTATTATCATGCAACGTAAAACCATTTTCGCTCTATTTTGCTGCTTTGTTACTTAGAATTTTGAAGCAATGACGTTAATGACAAAATTTGGATGACGATTTTTACCGTGAAACCCCCCTACATATTTAAATAATGCCAGTTTAACCGCAAAACGTGGATTTGAATATGCTCAATTTGGGGTGTCACTTGTAAACAAGGCAGTTGTAGTGGTTTCTGCATTTGGTGTGTTTGTAGCCCTGTCAAAAATTGAAAGTATTTTCTTTCTCCTGACGAGATCTTTCCGAGATTTCCCACTGTCCGTTTCATAAAATAAAAATTTTCCTTTGCAGGCCAAGATACGAACAGATGTAATGTTTAGATGTTATAAAAAATCTGTTCATTTGCCAAATTCAAGAAGCATTTTACCACAGAAAGGTAGAATTTTGCCGATTTTTAACTCGACTTTGCGTGAAAAGATCGTTTTCTTACGTGGAGATGTTGTTCATTTTATGCTGATTCCGCAAGGAATTGAACAATTCGAGTGTGTGTGGAAAAAGCTAGACTTTAATGTGAAATAAAACGAGAAAAAAACACAAAGTGGAAGTCACTTCTACTTAAGGATCCTTTGTGATTGTTTCCTCGGAGGTCCGCACAACCAGCTTAAATTCGCTACCGACACTTGCGGGGGGCTAAAGGCAACACACGTAACAACAACAGGATTTAGCGAATTCGACGCGAAGAAGACAGACAGACAATGTCTAAGTCTGCTGTCTCCCATCCAAAATACATCGAAATGATAGTAAACGCCATCAAAGTTCTTGGCGACAAAAGTGGATCTTCTAGACAGGCCATCAACAAGTATATTGTGAAGGAATATAAACTGACTGAAAATAATCATCACAACGCGATGCTTAAGCAAGCTCTGCAGCGGGGTTCTGGTGCCAACGGCCCCTTGGTTCACAAGAAGGGAAAGGGTGCTTCTGGGTCCTTCAAGATTAAACCTACGCCAGTAAAACCGGCCAAACCGGCTGCTAATAAGGCGCCCGCAAAGAAAAGCGCTGCTAAAAAAGCACCTGCCAAAGAGAAGGTTCCTGCCAAACCTGCTCAACCGGTGGAGCCTGCTAAGCCTCCAGTAGCACCAGTCTCGGCTCCTGGAAAACGCGCCAAACCTACTAAACCTAAGGTAACAAAGGAAAAGGGCGCGAAAAAATCAAAGGCTGCATCTCCCAAAAAGCCGAAAGTCGTCAAGGCCAAAAAGGCACCTAAAAAAGGAAAGAAGGCTGGTGTTGCAAAGAAGTAACTTGCCTAGAAGCCTTAAACAAAAACATTCAGTGTCGATCAAAAGATGTAGCTAGTGGACGCTTGATGTAACCTTCCGTTTTGACTTTTTAGTATGAAATGCTTTTAGTATTTTGATTCCGTACGTCTTTCGTTTAGATAATTGCTTAACTTATTTGTAGGTTTTAACTGAATCATTTAATTATAGAACAGATTTTTTTTTTGTTTTTACTTAGATATATATTTGTGGCTTGGAAGCAACAATGTTAAGTACAAAAATAGTATGAACAAACTAAGACTGAGTTTAGCCCATGTCGAAATTTCCTTTTACTGTGCCTATTGTAATGTCTTACATCATAAGTAGTTTTCCTAAGGTATGACCTTAGTAAGCGGTCTTTTCCCCATATTGGAACAAGTTTTTATCTGTTATTGCATTGTAAGACAAAGAGAAATTATAGCCATGGAAAAAGAGATTACAAATCAGGATGAATCATAACCATTCACTCTTTGCCACACTGGCTGCGTGCTCTAAGCAAGATGTATGTACATTACTCTAAATAAACCGTTTGGCGACCTTATTTTGGTAATGAAGTTCTCACTGTATATCACTTAAGCGTTTGTAATTATTTTATTATATGGTATACGGATTGAACCAAAGAATTGTCTACTTAATCCAGGAAACTTGTTGCCTTGCGGCAAAGTAGGGAAGAATATGGAAACCGGCTACAAGCCATTCCTATCTTTTTCATGATCAAAGCGTTAATCTCTTACCCGCACGGGTAAGATGACGAATATTACTTTCGATCGTTAAAATAGAAAACCTCCTACATGCGCATGCGGTATATCAAGAGGCGTATTATTCGATGTAACTGTTTCATTACAACATTCTCACTGTTGACAATGACCAATTAAGAAACACTTGATTCTGGTTGTGTCACACTATATCGGGTGGCAGTGAACCGTCCAGGTAAAAATTTCGAGTACAAATTCAAAAATCCCCTTTTGAAGGCCGAATTACGCAATCCGTAGAGAACAGGATTACACATACTGTTCAAATAACCGAGTACTAAGGAAGCCATGTCAAGTGCGCGCGGTAAAGGCTTTGGGTAATACACATCGAAGAACATGGTGATGGCAAATGGTGCCCAGCAAATAACAAACAGGGTGACCACAAAAATAAACGTGTTGGTGATCCTGGTTTCTTCTGGTGTCACTTGAAATGCTGTGGATTTTGACTTTGTTTTCGACTTCGAATCGGCTTCGCCCAACTCATCCATCCGTGATCTTCTAACCGTGTTGTAGTCTGGTTCGATAATACCAGGGTCGCTTCGACTCTCTGCTTTACTTGCTGTTGAGGGGCTGTTGAGATTGGCTGGGTTTCTCACTTGAATACTTAGATTACTCCTGGATAAAGCAATTCGTCTCTTCAGCCGCCTGGTAAACCGAAGAATGTTGTAATACGAAAACGTCATCACTGAAAGAGGCCCGAAAAAGCAGACGGTGATCATGAAATACATGTAATACACATCTGAAGGCCAGTAGACAAAACAGTAAGACTTTCCAGGGATAAAGCGGTATTCAGCCCAGCCTAGAAGCGGAGGAGAAGCCAAAGATAAGGCGACTACCCAAACTGCAGCGGCATAGAGCAAGGCTTTTCTCCTGGAGAATATCTTCGAGTAAGTGTTCCATCTGACGATGTAGAAATATCGGTTGATGGCGATCGTACCAAGAGACATCACCGAAGCAATGAAGGATAAAATCGTGAAAAAGCCGAGCGCTACGCAAGTGGAGTCTCCGAACACCCAATCCTCTGCGATGATGGTTACAACTGTAAATGGAATGCTTAATATCGACACCATGATGTCAGCCGCAGCTAGATTGAGAATATACAAGTTGGTAACGGTTTGAAGATCTTTGTTCCTGTAGACGATAATGTACAAACTCACGTTACCAATTAGCGCTGTTAAACCAATTAAACAGATGGCAGTCGTCTCCAAGACGGTAGTCAAGAGCCATGACGCCATTTTAATGTGAAGGTTCCTAAAGTATCAAGAAGAACAGAGTGTTATGTCTTATAAATCATCATTACTTATTAAGTAATATATTGCCCCCTCTATATCGCTTTAAGCTTATTTAAAGTATTGAAGTACAAAGAGTTTAAGAACGAGGTCAAAAGTTGTAAACAAATATTTGTGAATTTAAAAGATGTGGATTGGCCACCGTATAGTGTCTAAAGTGGAGGTTTCGAGCGGCCTTTCGTCAGAGAGAAGAGCTAACGCTCGAATCGCTCTGACGAAGGGCTAACGCTCGAAATGTCAGCCTTTTAACTCTTTATGGTGGCCAATTTACGTTTTTAACTCAGTTGTTAACACTAAATTACCATTTATATAATTAACTCGGTTCCTAAAACCTAATTGTCTTCTGATATCCCCCACCGATACAGCACCACAGTTTCTTTAGAAACTCAGGCAATTTATTTGCAATTATTTTTATATGATTGGTCTTGGTGTAATTCGATTACAACGTGAGATGATAAACTGTTCATAATCTCTCACCACGGCTTGCAGTTGATTACAAAAGGAAAATTATTATTGCACCGGAGTCGCGTGTAAACTGGGTCTTTTACTCGGCTGATACTAACGTTATAACGTGTAGACTTACGGTTATTTTTACGAATGGTTTTCTTGTAAAGTCAGAACAGAAACGTCTGCTTGCATGTCTCCAAATGTCGTGTAAAAGCATGGCAACGGCATAGTAAAATGGCGGAATTTTTGGAAAATTGCCGTAACGCCAATGGACGGAATTTTACCTCCAAATTATCCACATTGAAATATTACGATCGGTTCGTTATTTTACGCCTAAGAATTGTCGCTCAGTCAAACCGGCAGCGGTTTTGACGACTTGAATCTGACTTTGTATGATGGAAAACAAATGGCCGATGCTCACAGGATAACAAAAATATCTCTCGTCATTAGGAGATAGAAAGCCAAGATTTTTTTCGCCGTGAATGAAGAAACAAACTTTAAAAAGTTCTTAGCGTTCCCATATTGATCATTGTTTTTAAAAATTTTTGACGTGTTCTGTTTCTAAATGAACGACTCAATTTGTGATAATAACCGAATTTATTCAAGGGAAAGATAATCTTCTCCTAAAGGTGTTTGAAAATTATATTGAAGAACATTGATAAGATTACTATTTCAGTGACTAAACTCTAGAATCTTCGATAACTTTGTTAACCTACAAATGAACTCAACACATTTCTTGCTCATTTAAACGATATTACGAAACTTGCTTCAAATTTGTAACTAAATTTTCTATATCATGGATCGCTGCGATATAAATAAAAAATGTGCACAATGGTAATAAGTAAGAGTGATAGCAAGATAGCAAATCCCTACCTTAAAAATTGAAATTGGAAATTCGATTTGTTGCCATAACGAAAAGGAATCACTCATACAGTCCACCTACGATCTAAACTTCTGCGTTGATTTGGATCTGCAGCAAAGTCCTAAACATTGTGCAATACAGGAAAGAGTGTCTTTCAGAATATTTGTGATATTGCACCCAACCGCAAACAATGCCATTTTCGTAGGTATGACTTAATTAATGTTTGGTCACGTAAACAAAGCGATTTTCTCTTGGAATATGTGTGACTTGTGTGTCGACATGTGGTGAGATCTTGAAGCAGTAAAAAGGCATGCCTTTTGATCATTAATCATCTGTTGCTTCTTGGTTTAATCCTACCTTTTTTCTATATTTTATCGTTCGAGCTAATATTTGGATGGTTCCATTCAAGATTTTGGTAGTATTCTATACTACGCAGAAAAAAAAAATTCGCAATATTTTGACTGATTTCAAATATCGTTAAGTACAATAAAAGCACAGAGCAAAGATATTTTACAAGCAAAGGAGAGCCACGTTTGTATATAGTACAAAGGGGTTTTCGAGCGTGAGCATTGAAATCCAGTTTCCCACACGAATATTTAATGATGTCACAGAAATACAGCTTATGTTTCCTGTGAGACTCCGCTTCCATATCCGCTTTGAATTAACATGTCGCGTTAATATGTTGCATCATGAAAATTTGGACTAATGTCAGCATCTGAGCAACTGCGCGCCTACTCCTCCTCGTTAGGGTTAATGTTGGGCAAGGGTAGGGGTAGATAATCTATTGCTCAGATACTGACATTTATCCAAAATTTCAGTTAACCTTTTTGAGTTCGTTGTTTGTCATTCATGTTAAACATATTGTTTCCACTGGCTTCATACAGCCTTATATCTGTCCGTCACACCGACCTGATTTTCTAAAGGTTTCCAGCTGACATCATACATTTATGCAAATTAAGCGTCGCCAGGTTGGTGCCCGTTTCATGCAAATATATTGCCATCTCTACAGTGCTCTCTTTAAAATACTTTGTTTTATGGATATTTCTGGTGGGAAAAAATCCAGTATCATAAGAGAATATTCTCCTTAGGATACCTGTACTTTCGAACTATGCGGAGGGCCTAGAAAGCCACGTTCGAGAACGATATTTTAAGAAAATGTCTGTGGTTGGTGTCGATCCAGTAGCCATTCCAAGCAAGCAGTTCAACTCAGAATGTTTACCCCTGATAGCAGACTCAGACCGTCTTTCTTATTTAGTTCTGGAGACAAGTTATTATACGAATAAGCAATTCAAAGCATTCAAAAGTCTTGAAGCGTAAAACCAAATGGCGTCTGTTTTCGTAACGTTGGCTCAAGGATCAGAGATTGTAAACAAGATTGTTGTTGTCGCGAAGGTGAGACATTCGCAGTGGATGAACGATCCTCTTGTAGACATTTGGATCATCGCATAAAGTGATACACAAATATACCTCAAGAAGAAGGAGCTAATGTAGTATGTGAAACATACAAAAAGTTTCACAACCATAACGCACCGATCACAACGCACTACCTCAGGGAAATACTTGGCTTAATCCTTAAAGAAAATTCGTTTTACTTCAAGGAGGAGAACTTCCTCCAAACACATGGAACCGCTATGGGTGCGAAAATGGCAGCGTCATTTGCCGACATTTTCATGGCGGATATTGAAACAAAATTAATCCATCAAAGCGAAACCAAGCCAAGAGAATGGAAACGTTACGTAGATGACGTTTTCTCCCATAGGGATTGCGATAAAAAAGAGGTAGATCGGTTTATTAAACGAGCTAACTATTTCCACCCTACTATCAAATTCACGGCCGAAATATCAGAGAACCAAATCACTTTCCTCGATACCACAGTGTTTAAAGGGGAAAGATTCGCAAAAGATTCCATCTTGGACATCAAAACCCATTACAAGTCGACTGAGACCTTCCAATTTACGCACTTCACCTTCTGTCACCCACCAGGTGTAAAATACGGTTTCATTAAAGGCGAAGCGATGAGATTGCTTAGAACTAACTCTTCGAAAAAAACATTTGAAGAGGGCCGTTTGAAATTCAAACAACGCCTCATAGATGGAGGGTACCCAGAAAACATCATAGAAAGGTCTCTGTCAGGGGTCAACTTTGCCTCTTGACAATTGGCCCTTAGACATGCACAAAAGCCGAAAGGTCACGAACGTTTATTGCCTTTTGTCACAACGTACCACCCGGCAGTTAAAAATTTAAAACAAATATTAATGGAGTACCGGAGTCTGATACACAATCAGCCCTTGCTGAAAAAAAATTATACAAAACCTCCGATCTCCTCTTACAAAAAGGGAAAATCCCTGTAAGACATGGTTGTGAGAGCAATAATATAATTTGAAGGCGATAGTGCGACGTAACCACGAAAGCCACATATCAAATATCAAGGATTGATCTAGCTGCGACAGTGATAACAGAAGGTAGAGTATGATGAAAAACACCTTTTTCCAGGCGTTTAGCAGGTAAACCGGTGTAAAATCCATGCAAAGCAGTAGCAGCAAAACAAAACACGAGGAGGCTTGGGTTGCGACGGACCCAAGCCGCTCTCATTTTTTCACTCCTCCGCTTCCATCACAGCGTCCACTATCGCGCTTCGTTTTAGTAACTGAACGTCTGAAACAGGCTGGATGAAAAGATTCCAGAATAACAAGGGCATACTTGCGGTTATCAGTCGCGGCCTAACAAAGTTCGAACTGAAATACGATCAACAAAAATACAGAACACTTTTAAATATAAAAGAAAATGCGCCAAAACAACAAAGTTGACGATAACTTTGATTTCATTGCGCAATTAAATTTTTTAATAGCTTTCGACTACTTTTATTTTTCAAGTGTTAAAAGCAATTAAAAAAAATTAATGAATAGAAAAAAACGGCCGCATCAGCTTTTTAGCTGCCACTGCTCCAGTTCTCGGGTATAATTAAATGCTACTGATTGATTGATTGATTAATTACTCAGACATAGGGTTAGATTCGTAGACATGTCATTCTCTCGCCAAGAAAATATCAACAGTTGATATTCTCTTGACCTCGCAAATATCCACCACTAGACGCCGACACTGAGGTAAATAGTTGTTAACTAACAACTGACAGCACACAAGGATGCCGAGAACATAATATCAAAGTACAGTAGTATATATTTAGAGAACTCAACTAACTGTAGTAACTTTAAACATATCTAGATGATGAAAACAACAATTTGATAAAAATTATGGCGTGATATCATAACAACAGTTGGGCTTTGAAAACTTCACGGCAATTGAAACTTATAATAGAGGTTAAGATGAAAGACTTACTTTGGTAACGAGCCGCACGTAAGAAAGCCAGAAACGTTCTCAAGTGGTAGCTGATCTTATGATCGTCGCGATTCCGAGATCATTAAATACCATAGTCATAGCGAAGCTTCCATTACACAAGTTTACGTGATTATGTTTAGGGCGTTGCGAAAACAAGGAAAGTATATTTCCGAAAGAAGAATCATTAGGTGTTGACGAAGCATGAAGCTGCCACGTTCCTTATCAATGCGTGATGCGGTAACAAGCACGTTTTCCTAAAATAATAACTCTAATTGAGACTGGAAAATCTGATATAGGTGCGACTCAAAACTAACATGGGGGCATTATCATGATGTTACTCTCTATCGCGTTAACATTATTTTAAAAGCTTCTCACCTCAAAAAAAGAAGGTCAATCAAAATCAGTCCCTGCTGTCACGGAATAGACTAATACCACATGTCATAAAAGGAAGGTTTTCCCGATATTCTTCCGCAAGGAAAGATTGAAATTGAAAGTCAAAAGGCTGATGCTTTACTACCGCAAAACTTTATCGGGGAATTTGTAAGGGTCCGTCAAAAAACTAAAAATCTTTGAGAAAGAAGCGGCTATTCCCGATTTATCCAGGTCACATATCTCCATTCCTATCCCGATTTCTGCCTGTGTATGACCCGTTCAGTCCCGCGCGCGCATTCTTTGAGGAAACTAAAATGAAAGCCCGGACGGGTTGACATGAGTCATTTCGGAAAAGTCGTACGGCTTTGTTGCCACAAAATAGACATTGATACGAGAAACTGAGAACATTAGTTGCGTTTTCGATGAATTGTGAGTTTTTTGCTCATAAATCGAAAATATAGAGGAAATTGGCTTTTATTGTTGAGTCTTTTTTGTGGTTGTCACGCATGTGCCCTTCCATCTCCTACTCAGGTTGAAACGAACTTTTCAACACCTCTTTGGTTCGACCGGACGGGAAAATATTCGGAATTTGGTCATGACGCGCTGCGCTCAGTCCGTACGTCATGACCTCGAGCCCCTGCCGGCCCTCCCACTCAGTCAATAAGTACGTAACCTTTGGTGTAGCAGCTTTCGAACGATCGCATCAAGACTTATAAATCTGATTTATTTCCTTTTCTAAACTAAAGTATTAAGAACAGATTATCAGGCACCTGACAATCCTACGTACAAATATCCTTAATCAAGGTCATTGAACGGAATATCGACATTTAAACGTAGGAAAAAGAAATCTTATCTTCAAAATCAAAGCGACAAGCTTAGATCTTTCCGTTATATAAGAGAAAAACTTTTTCAGTCTCATTGCTTGATGGAATTACATAAAAATTAAAATTCTAAACTTCAAACGACTGATTAGGACTCGTCTCCATTAACCTCTAGTTGCATCACGTTTTGGCTCTAAACCGTTCAGGTAAAAACCTCGAGTACAAATTTAAAACTCCCTGTCTGATGTCGGAATTGCGCAATCCGTAGAGAACAGGATTACACATACTGTTCAAATAACCGAGTACTAAGGAAGCCATGTCAAGTGCGCGCGGTAAAGGCTTTGGGTAATACACATCGAAGAACATGGTGATGGCAAATGGTGCCCAGCAAATAACAAACAGGGTGACCACAAAAATAAACGTGTTGGTGATCCTGGTTTCTTCTGGTGTCACTTGAAATCCGGGAGATCTTGACGTTGACTTCGAGTTTGAGTCGGCCTCGCGTCGCTCGCCCGTCTGCGATCTTTCAACCGTTTGGAAGTCGACTTTATTTGGTATTGTGGGAGCTGGCCTTACAAAATTATTCCTTGTTGCTGCAATTCGTCTCTTTAGATTCTTAGTAAACCTGAGTACGTTACAATACGAAAACGTCATAACTGAAAGAGGCCCGAAAAAGCAGACGGTGATCATGAAATACATGTAATACACATCTGAAGGCCAGTGGACAAAACAGTAAGATTTTCCAGGGATAAAGCGGTATTCAGCCCAGCCTAAAAGCGGAGGTGAAGCCAAAGATAAGGCGACTACCCAAACTGCAGCGGCATAGAGCAAGGCTTTTCTTCTGGAGAATATCTTTGAGTAAGTGTTCCATCTAACGATGTAGAAATATCGGTTGATGGCGATCATGCCAAGAGACATCACCGAAGCAATGAAGGATAAAATCGTGAAAAAACCGAGCGCTACGCAAGCGGAGTCTCCGAACACCCAATCCTCTGTGATGATGGTTGCAACTGTGAATGGAATGCTCAATAACGACACCATAATGTCAGCCGCAGCCAGATTGAGAATATACAAGTTGGTAACGGTTTGAAGATCTTTGTCCTTGTAGACGATGATGAACAAGCTGACGTTACCAATAAACGCAGCTGAACCAATGACGCAGAGGGCGGTTGTCTCCAAAATGATTGCCAAAGGCATGCCGGTTTGGTCGCACAACACAAAAAGAGACTTTTTCAACGCTCCAATTATAGGGTTCTCTAAGAATTTCCCTTCGTAAAATTAATGCCGACAGCGATTTTTTATGCCAACAAGAAGGCCGCCACGAAATTTACAGCAGCGTCTAGTGGCTGCTTGATTTGCAATCTGTTTGTTGGAAAAACGGTTAGCTCTGATTTTATCTTTTTAAACTATTCATTCTAATGAAAATAACTTCATTTCCGTGTTATTAGTAATCGTCGTTATGGTGAAAGCACGCATGAAACAAAGGCGGGTGTTTGCAATTAGCAGTTTGTTTGAGAGTGACCGTTAAAGTAGGGAAAAAAATTAAGAAAGAATGTTGGTATGTGAGGCTTGAGTTGGAAAGTACTCAAGGAACAAACCCATGACATATCTCAAAGAGGGCACAAAAGAGAAAACTTACATTAAAAACGCAGTCTTCGTGCACTCAGTTCGTGAATAAAGGCAAAGGGGAAGCTGTCTAACAAAGGTTCTGAGGACTGATTGTATGATAACGCTAAAGAAGACAAAATTGGAAGAAGGAGATTATTTCTGACAGAAAATTACAGTTTTGCTCTTATGATTCTCTCTCAAAATAATGGAAGAAAAAATTGTAACGAAGAAATGTTACTATATAGTTTATGGCACACCCAGCATAAAACGACAAACCGTTCGAATGTTGCTACATTATCCTTGAATCCTATACAGGCACTGAAATGGAATTACGTCTAGTGAAAGAAAAACAAAAAACAGGTGTTTCGTTGAAAAAAAGTATATTTCTACTGATCAACGTACCAGTTGCATTAAATACGCATGCTTTTCATGATATCTTATTTAAATAGCTTCAACAAAAGCAGCGTTTCATGAAATCATAATTTGCCACGACAGCAAAACCGTGAAAAATGCCGCGGAAATTGCACTGGAAAAACTAGTCCAGTGTAAATATATGACGCCCACCACATTTCCATTGTTCAAAATGCTTTGGACACGAAATTTTTTTTTGGCGTAAATATTTTGCTTATCATATGTACAAACCGATTCCGATAGAAGAAAAATTTCAAAAATCTTAAAACTCGGTTTTTTGGGCTCTAAAGTGCTCTTATTTTGTCTTAAAAAGTGTCCCGTGGACTGGTAACGAATTAGCGGGTGATGACGTAGAGAACTGTGAAAACTCTCAATTGACTCCCACAAATGTCTCACATCTCTTGTAATTTTGTATCAGTCAGCGAACGTTATACGTTAAACGCAATACGCTCGTCCTTTCTTCTAGATTTCTCCTTTCTCCACCATGGTTACCGAAGTGTCTTCACAATTTTCTACGTCACAGCGATGTAACATGATCGTTTTAGCCGAGCACTTTATGGGGACACTTTTCGGCCGCCAATCGTTCTTTCAGTCCCCAAAAAAATGGTCAAGGAGAACTCGCTAGGCACTAAGGTCGATTATTTTTAATTTCAAAAAAAGCTTTTAACCAGAAAATTTAAAAAAAATTCATGTTGTAGGCACTTTAAAATGGGGAAAAACTTGAGTAAAAGCAGCTGTGCCCATTTTAAAATAGGAAATTACTGTCTTCGTAAAAAAAAAAAAGCACAAGAGGAAATGACATAAATAGAAAAGAAAGCCGTGAAACGCACAAGGGATTTTGAACGTAGCGATGAAGAAGCGCCGTACTGAAATATATTTTTTAGTGCTAGTTCATATTACATCTGCCCTCGCCTTTTAACAATAATAATTTTTGATTTAGAAATAATACTGATAGGTTTGTGGGAGATTTTCTCATGAAGCGTAAAGATTGCGATAAAATATCATGAAAGAAAGCTATGCTACAATAGAAGAGCTTTTTAAGTGATCTTGCGTAATATTAGCACCCACAAGGTTGCTGCTTATCTTCGGAAGACGAACAAACATGTAAACTTTCAAAGCTAGCTCTAGTCCAAAGCTACCATGCTCGTCTACAGAAAGTTTACGTCTATTACCCTTTAATCAGTCAGTAATATAAACTTTTCTTATCCACCAGTGCAGAGACATGAGAAAGAAACATTTCGTTTCCAGTCAGTTTCATCTTTGTTATGATGATGATGATGCATACCATCTGTAACAGGCGGAATTCATAATTGTTACACTTTTACTTATGCTGTTTTATCGGTTCGTTTGTGCAGTTTAAAGGAAGCGTTGACCATTACAGAGCAGTTTTTCTAGAAGCAAATCACTTTGCCGATAACCAGAACACGCTAGTTTTTAAGTTTTCTGGTGTTTTCCGGCAAACTTAAAAAACGAAACAACAACAAAAAGGAAGAGAATAAAAAACCAGTTTAAAAATTTATTACTGTCGATTCAAAATGCACGTAACATCATAAATACATATATGCTGGTTCCTCTATTGACAGAGATATCGAAAATCTTCATTTGGGTCTGAGCAGTAGAAATAGATTCTTGGGCAAAGGTTACTCTACCAATGGTGCCTAATCCATTAGAATTCCCCTTTATTGTGGGATTTGAACGTCCATTTGAGCACTTAACAATGCAGAAGTGTCCAGCTTTGGTTGACATTCGGTTGTGTTGACACGTACCGACTTTAATCGCGCGGTCTTCGGGAGAACTCGGTAATACATTGGGCGATGTCGCAAAACGTTGGCACTATTGGGAGATAAGGGTTAGCCTCAAGACAGCAATTTCTTTCTTTGTTCTTGGAGTAAAAATTCCAAATGTTCCGCTCGTTTCATGGCAGCCTGTGCAAAAAGAAAAAAAAATGTGTGTAAAAAAACCATGGATCTAGAAAAGTATTTTCATTGGTCAAAGGCTATCACTGATCTAATTTCCCGTCAAAGTTTAACTTTTCATTAGCAAACAGAAAGAAACGAGTGTCAGACGGGTGAAAACAGCAGCTTCCGCCATGCTCAGATTGGAGCAAACTTGTGATGCGTATGACGAGATTGAAAACATGGGTTCATGAAAAACTGACTTCAGAACACTCACCTGGTGCTGTTCCCGTAATGTCTTCATAGTTTCTTCTTTTTTAGCTATGGCCTGCCTTACTCTAGCGGTGAAAAACAGATAAAAATTTTCAATAAAAAATAACGAACTAGACACGTACAAACTCAAAACCTGTAAAATATCTGCCGGCGATCAAGGGACACCTCAGGCGATAAGGGGATTGAAAACTAAGAATAAAAATATATCTCAGCATTGTTCATATTTAAATGGAAGAAAAATGCAAAAAGAAATATTTCTAACGACCACGGATTCGTACAGCATGAGATGCGGTCATGGATGCTTTATGGAAGCTCGTTAGTCGATCAGATCGTTTCAAAAGCTTTGCGAAACCTCCAAATTACCAAAACTGTACACCAAACCGACTAGCATGGCCACGGACGTTTATCACAATTTTCTCACTACAACCACTCTGTAAGTATCGCTCTTCCCCCGCCCCACCCCCCTCAAAATATTTTTCAGAGCTCAGGTCTCCCTTGCTCAAACCCAGACCTTCCGATTCCAGCAGAGTTTAACCCACCAACCACACGATCTTTGCGTCTTAAGCAATTAACCAACCTTTTGTGTACTTCCTCCATTTCTTGCTCTTTCTCCCGTGTAACTCGTTCTATTTCTAATCTGTGACGGGCCTTCATTTCGCTCACTTCTGTTTTCAAACGCTTGTTGTCTTCGTCAGTGGTCACAAGCCTGGAATATGCAGGAAAGAATTGAATATCTGAAACAACATAACGTCATTTCCGAGTTGCAAAACTCTCCCTTTGAAAACGAGGCTAACTGAAATGGAATTTTCAATTAATAATCAAAGGCTTCGCACCGACCCTCGTCTTTAAGCAGAGGCATTCAACATCTGGCAAATAGCTTAACAAATATGTTTTTCTGGATTACAAGTGAAAAATTCAAAGTTTCTGAATCTCTTTGCATAAAGGCATTCGAAAAGATCGTATTTTGCTTGAACTCGCCGGAACCAAGCTATTTTCAAAGGCAATTCTGAATGAAGGACATCAGAAGGAATAAATGGTAACTCAAATTAATAAATCCACCCAGCTTCAAGTGCGGGAAAACGCGCGTGACCAGATCGCGACTGGCTTTTAAATGTTTGCATTTAATTGGTTTGGGATAAATTCACGTGAGGGTGCTTTATTATTATTATTATTATTATTATTATTATTATTATTATCATCATCATTATTATTAGTAATAGTAGTATTAATTATTAATTATTATTATTATTATTATTATTATTATTATTATTTATTATTTATCATTATTATTATTATTATTATTATTATTATTATTATCATTATTATCATTATCATTATCATTAGTACAAACCTGTCAGCGAACTCCTGCCGAATGATGTCGGCCACCTTCCCTCTCTCTTCCTGTAGCCGTTTGGCCACTTTATCAATTCCTTCTACCTCTTCATCTTTTTGTTTCAACATGCTCTTCAAACGCGCATTTTCTCCTTCAACTTCGGATAAACGAGCCTGTAACAAACGAGTACTTGTGCCATGATTGGGAATTTAAATAAGTTGAACAATAACTGGAATGTCAAAAGAAAAAAATTGGCAAATCCCCTTTCGTGAACAGCTGATGACATTTTCGAAACACCTTAGGGTTTTTCATTATAAATGAAGGCGTTTTTACTAATAAAACAGAGGGTCGCAAAGCGGAATCAAACACGGGCCAAATGAAACTGAAAATCTCACTCTTTCATCATTATACAACCGAGGTAACTAGTCAAAATATAACTGCAAATGATAATTGACGGTTTATCGTAACTAGAGGGCTTTTCGATCGAGTGTCGTAAATCCAAAACCAAAGTAATCACCACGGCCAATCAGAACTCAAAGTAAAACCAACCAAACTGCTCAAGGCGCGGGAAAACGCGGGTGACCAACTCGTGATTGGTTTTAGTTTTGCATCTGATTGGTTGAAAGAGTGACGCGAGTTTTCTGGACGCGCAAGACAGATTGACCCCAACTAACTGATACAAATTCGTGTTTGTTTCTTACCTTCATGTTGTTGTATTTTTCCTGCATATTCCGTTCAGATTCTTCTAGTTCTTTCAGTTCAGATTCGTATTTATCTCTCACTCGCCTAAAAGCCAGAAATACGCCGTCGTTAGATTTCGTGTTTTCTTAGACTTTCGATAGCGCTTCTTAGATCAGAAAAGGTCTTTTTTATGTTTACGGCACATAACCAAAAATGTTTCTGTATTCCCGAGTTAGTTTTGCGTCTAATTGGTTGATTTAATTTTACGCGAAGTTTAAAAATTTTAAAAGCAAACTGACAAATTCTGTATTCTAAACTACATTTACGACTAGCATCACGACAGTAATTGAAAGACCAAACCAATCTAAGAGTACTTCCAATCTAATTTCATTGAAATACAACATGGACTTTCCACTCGTCGATCGTCGACGACTGTATACATTTTTGCCTTTTTGACTAAACCTCATATGAAATCAGGCTTAGGTCAGGAAGATGTCAATTCTAGGCACTTACTTGATTCTGTTCTCCGCGGCTCGCTCACATTCTTCTCTTGCCAACGATGTCTCTTCTTCCAATCTTGAAATCACCATTTCAATTTCCTACGGTAGACAATATGCGTAAAAGAGAGACAGAAAACAGATAGATAGATACAGAAACAGACAGACACACAAACCGGAAGACAGACAAGCAGATAGATAAACAGACACACAGGCAGACAAACAGGCAAATAGACAGGCAGGCAGGCAGGCAGACAAACAGACAGAGACAGGGTAAGTTAGTACTATCAGCTGAGTTGGTAACGTAAATTGGCCACCGTAGAGAGTTTCAAAGCTGACTTTTCGAGCGTTAGCCCTTTTTCAGAGCGAATGACAGACAGAAAGACTTAAAGGTAGGCAGATAGATAGAGAGAAAGACAGGCGGACACAGATGAAGAGAAAGACAGACAATATCAGACAAAACCGCAAGCTATTAAAAAGTCTCTTACAACAAGAAGTATAACGAAATGCGAAAGTAAACATCAATAAATTCGCATGAGCCTCCCCTCAAGAACACTGAGATGAAATAACGAGAAAAATTTCTGCAAAGCGTAAATCTTCGACTTTACTTACTCTATCGCGTCCTTCCCGAACAGCTTCTTTCAGCTCCCGCTCTTTAGTCATTAACATGGCATCCTGTAAACAAACGCACAAAAACAAAGAGGAACAGTCAGGCAGCCTAGGTAGATACCTTCGGCATATTTCTGAGGGAAAATGAAGGGCCACATTACTTTGATTTATTCTTTAGAGGTCAGGTTTCCAGAAACTCTATGATATAACCGATTACTCAAAACCAAAAGAGTAAATTTGAGTTCTGTCTTTAAAGTACCCTACCTGCTTCTTCATGTAATTTTCAATCCAGCCCTGCTTCTCAATTTCAAGTCTCTCTTTCAACTCATTCATTTCCAACTGCAATGCAAACCAAAACCCACCTTAGGTTCAATGATTCCCTCAGTTAACTTGTATTTAACAGATAGAAAAAGACAGAAATGTCTGAATACACAGAGTGAGACATCTATAAAACTCTACTGAAGCCACTACAAGTCTCAGCGGGTTAGATGTCGTAAATGTAGCAACAGAGGAGTGTCGTAATCCCTTACGTAGAAAAAAATATACGCTCAATCTACTCGCAATTTGCTCTGTCGGTTTATATATTTGCTGAGTCCTTAATTAGGCTGAGAATGGCCGTGTGCAAGAACGTTGAATTTAACCAAAGATTAAATTGAGCAACAATATATCCATCCACCATAATCCTGCTAAAGATAATTGGCCGGCAGTAATTTGAATATTTCTTTACCTGGTGTTTTCTTTCTTGATCATCAATAGCTCTTTGGTGTGAAGTTTGCATCTCTAGGATTGACTTTTTGTGAGATTCCTACAAAAATAAAAACCAGCTAAGTACCAAAAACGAAACGAAACGAAGATTGCTGAAACATTGGGATAGTCTGAAAACAGTTCTGTCCTTACGCTCGTGGTTTATAAGGCTAGAGAGGCTGTATTTCCGGACGTGTTTAACACCCCAACTTCAAGAATATTAGTATAAATCTACTAACATTCCAACACAAATGCTGCAATTTAATTGGTGACACTACTAGTAATCTATTCCGTGATAGAAAGTCACGTGACAAACCTAATAGTGAGTGGTTGTAAACGACTTAAAGAAAAACTTGAGCATAACTTGTCACGTTTTGAGTGACGAGTAGATTTAAACAAAACCACTTAAATTTTGAGCGCACGATTCATATCGAGTCATCACGAGCTCATAATCTAATTCCCCTTTAGTTCGGTAAAACAGAAAAACACTCAAGAGGCCATGATGAATGAAGATGAAACAAAGATGGCTAAAGGTGGAGAAGATCAACACGAATTTCGAACAACAAACTTGAAAAATATTAATAATAATAATGATTATGTAGGCCAAATTAGACGGTCTTACTTGTCCTATTGGACTTACTCCTAGTTTGATTGGTTTAGCTGTGGTTCCAATTCCACAGGACACCTTTACTTACCTCCAAGGCAGCTCGCGCCTCGTCCAGTTCCAGTCGTTGTTTCTGACCCTGTAGTGCTACTCTTTCCTTCTCCTCCTGTACTTCAGCGTACAGTCGCCGCCTCTGTTGTTGATAAGCTTGTTCCTCTTGCTCCAGCTGCTTTTCATACCTACAAAAACAAAGGAAATGAACACTTAATTATACAAATCTCCGAACTACTAGAACAAAAACTCGTTTAAGTTTACCAACCATCGACGACGATCTACTATCTTCCGCACTGGCAGTTGTTTTAACTGAAAAGAAAATTCACACCTGAAAGAATATTTACCTTTGTTGAGAGAGTTCTCTCTCTCGAGCACAGGCATTTTCCTTCTCTCTTTCCAACTGATCTCTCAGTTCTTCTATTTGCTGAATGTACCTTCTGCCTGCACGTTCATCGGCTTCCAGCAGCTCCGCCTGTCATCGAATAATTCACAATTGTAAAACATGTTTTCACTGATCAGTCATTAATCCTTGCGGACACTATGGGTGACAACGAGAGGGAGCCACGTGAAAGTATTCAATTATATCTATTTTGCAGCAAGAAAAGGCTGAGCTTCTGATAGAAATCGAGGCGCCAACGATCACAGTTTATCAGAGAAAACCAATCAGATTTCCAGATTCGCAATACGCCATGATCAGCAGATACCAATGAGGTTCCCACCTGATGAGTAGACTTGATCTTTTTCACTTCCGCTTTATGCTTGGCAATCAGTTTTTGAATGTCGGGTTCCAGTCCTTTGACCGTGACTTCCTGTAAATTTCAAACCAAGTTTACAAGGCGTAAGGCTAAAATTGCACACGAGCTAAATGGCCCACACAACAAGGATCTAGTTTGGTTTCCACAGGAGGAAGCAATTTCCACTCCCTTGGAAGGGACGCTAGTCAATTGCAGATGCTATCGGCATTTTTCGCGTGTTCCTAAAAAGTTGTTTGTATCTGAACCATTTAAATTCCATGTTGACGAGTGGCAGTACGTGATTGGAGCATCTCGCCCGAGAACTCAACCCAGGTAAAGGCTCGAACCCAGACCTCTCGATGCTGACTCGAGGGCGCTAACCAAATATTTACCACGTTCCCCACAAGGCATAAGGCGTTTTAAGCATTTTAAAATTACTGGAAGCGAAACGACCATGTCACTAAGGATTCTTTACCTTGATTTGTTGAGTTTTCTCATTAATCCATTTTTCTCGTCGTAATTTTTCTGCCGCTAGTATAACTTCCTTTTGTTTCTTTAATTCAACTTGATGACTGAAAAGGAAAGATAGTCTTGTTATTTCCACTTATAAGATATTATTTCTCAAATTACGACTGGTTCCTGATGCCATCAACGAAAGTGAGGCCACAAAGACTTTTACTACTGTTCTTTAAGAATATAGAACGAGGAACTTCTCTCTAATCTCTCAGTAGCATTGAAAATTTCATGACCAAGAAAGTTCATGAAGAACGTTCACCAATCAAAGAGACTTCTAGGATGACAGAGAACAACAACACACGAATTACAAATGTAGGAAGTTCGAGAATTTTCAGGAAAGCCATCAATTCATTCCAGATATATTTTCTATAACAGACAAATAAAATGCCCCGAAGGCTACGCCTAAAGACATTGACTCCCAGCAGTGATTAACATGTAACTTCTCCCTAAGATATCCCTACATTATTAAGCAAACAGGCAATAAGAATACTCAAACTAATCAGGCAGATGTTGCGACCTTGATCTGACATCAAATTCTTGGAACTAATTTACAAGGAAATGCGTAGCAGCTAGAGGGGAGCATTAACAATCAGATCTTGGGAGTTTAAGGGTTATACTCACTTTTCTTCCATTTGTTTTACTTTATCTCCGTATTTCTTGTCAGTACTTTTCAGTTTGTTCACTACTTCCTCACACCTCTCCCCTAACACCTTTTTGTCATCAATCAGCTGGTCTATGAAGGACAAATGTCTCTGTATGGCTGCTTCGTACTCCTGACGTTGTATGGCCAGCCGTTGTTTAGCGTCCTTTTCCATCTCCTTCGCTTGCCTCAGGGTGAATTCACGCTGTTGGTTCTAGTGTCAGAGCCAATACATTACCAATAGAGTAATTATAGACAATGACAAATTCAAAAGAGCATATATTTGAATTTTCTTTCCGACCGATTAAAAAACCATAACACAAAGCGTGAGAAGGGTAAATCACATCTTCAAACAAAAGATTACTTCCCACCCCTCCCAGACTACCGTATTCTTGCTGAATTCCAGGACATTTTCACTTCCCATCCCCTCCCTTATTATTCCCCACTCTTTCCCATATTCTATTCCCTGGAAGATCATTTCCCATTTCCTCGAAAATCATTTCCCATTCCCTCGAAGATCATTTCCCATTCCCTCAGAGATTATTTCCCATCCCCTCCCAAATCAAATCCCATCCCCTACAAGATCATTTTCCATCCCGTCGAAGATCACTTCCCGTCCCTTCGAAGATAATTTCCCATCCCCTTCCAAATCATATCCCATCCCCCCAAGATCATTTTCCATCCTCTCGAAGATCATTTCCCATTCTCTCCCAGATCATATCCTACCAAAGCTCTCTGCAGCAGATCATTAGTCCTTTTCTTTTCCTCCAGTTCTATTTTTACCGCCATCATAGCTGTTGTAACATCCGAAGCAGCTGCTGCGGCTGATTCTAGCGCGGCTTCTTCCTTCCTGCACCGAAGAAAGAGTATTTACTAAGTCAAGATTATGACCAGACAGGAAACGTAAGTTAATTATAAACAAATTATATCCAGGTTATCAGACCACAAAATATGACAAATGTAGGGAGAAAGCTAAAGGCGATCTTATAATTCTTCCTCCTCGCGTTGCCACAACTTCTCCCGTAGGAAAGAGAGACTAAGAGTATTGAATCACTTTTCGGCCAAATCCAAATTTCGGCCAACATCCCCTGGGGGTTTCAATGAGTTCAATAACTTTTTTCATGGGCGGCTGCCGATGGTGTAATAGGCGGCCGCGAGAGCTAGCTCGCAGGCTCAACAGCCGGCGGTGAGAGGTTTTACAGGCGGCGGTAGACCGCTAGTCATTGGCTTTTATAGAAACCCCAGATCCCTTCCCCTATCATATCTTGTCAAGTTTTCTTGGTCTATATAGAGAATATATAGAGAACAGTATGAAGAATATCCATGCAGATGTTAGGGTGTCAAAGGTTAAGGATAGTCTGCTTGAGAGGCGACTGTTTACACTGACTAGATAACTGTAAGTACTTACTCCCTGTCAACTGCCACAGAAGCTGAGGTACTTGATGACGGTAGTCCACGAGAAATAGCACCGTCTCGTACCTGAAAAATATTGTACAGCACCACCACAACTAAATTTAATTGTTGTTGTTGGTAACAAGCGTGGCTCCGAGACAAAATCAAAGTTCCTCTTCGAGATTTGAACATCAGACCTTCGGATCAAGGTCTGATGCTCTACCATTGCACTATAGAGAACGTGTTGGTGACTATATATGCCTTAGACAGTACCTCTCAAAAGCAAGTGACGGTCACTCAAAACTCGACCTTGGGGATCGAGGCTCAAGTCGAGTTAAGAGACGTTCGAGTCGAATTTCGAGACGTTCGAAACAAGTTTCAAGACACTCGAAATTAGGAGACATCATGAGTAACAAGTGTCTTTACACGTGAGATCAGCATTGTGGAAGACATCGTGTTTGTAAAAAGATTGTATGAAATGTGGTAAATTATCGGAGGATCAAGCCCTATCTTGATACATTCACACGATGAATTTGAGACAGTTTCATGCCCTCACGTTTGTTAGTGTTTCATTTTAAGGTCTAAAGATTCCAGCAGGAATAGAGTTGTAACTTAAAATGCTGACGACCTCTTGGAATTCATTTACCAACCTGGCTTATCTCACTGATGGCATCATCTTCTGCTTTTTCCACCTCATCCAAAAATGTCAAGATACTCCTAAAAGACAAAGTTACACAAGTCATATCTTGAACACTGATTTCAAACAACAAGGACATTTTGTAGGATGTCCTTTTTTTTTCGGTGGATTAGCAATTTCTCCTGTTGTACGGTAACAAATTTTTGTAGTTCAAGGTGACTGAAATTTCTGCTAGGAAATAATTTGCAACATATTCTTGAAGCAGCAGAACACTAACAAGGAAAGAGACCTTATCTTTCTGAATTTTTGCCTGCATCAAGGCAACATGGGAGAGCTGCAATGGAGATGAATTTGGGACAGATATTCTGAACACCATGAATATGAAATAATACTTGATTCCTACCCTGAGTTTTTCATTTAGCTGAAGGTAGTACATTGTGGCATATTTTCTATTATTATTATTATTATTATTATTATTATTTATATATATATATATATAGGGAGTCTGCAAGTCAATTTTTGCGTGGAACAGTGCTCAATATGTTGAAGCAGAGCGGAATAAATATTTTAAGAGGAAAAAAGGACGCAACTACATTTTCCCGACAAGCCTGTTTTGTGAATCGCTTCACTCTTCAGGGGTTTATATATATACATATTTTTTTTTTTGCATATTGAGTACTTTCTACCAATCAGCAAAAATTTTAATGTCAATGCTATACAGTTGCATATCACATTTCAAGATGACTAGCAATTAAGTGGCAAAGTTTGCTATCAAGCCTGCCCTACAGGTTGTATTCAAGGCCACAACATGGAAGATGTATGTTAACAAGCATGTCACACTTCTTATAGAATCTCTAGTCCTTGATCAGGCTGATTACTAATAGGGATATGAAAGTCTGAACCTTCTCATTAGTCCTTCAACAAGGATTTTCAAATGAGTCAATGAAGAGTGCATGAGTAGATAAAGCTGTACCGTAGTTTTTCAGCCGACAATGCACTTCCTGTCTGTCCTTGACTGCAATTGAGAAGAGAAGAAAAAATATACTAAACTTTTGCTGAAAACATAGCATCGCAATCAATTGCTGTGTATGTCATATACAGAATGATGAAACAGGCTTACGATATAGAACAATAACTTTACAATGTAAAGCCTACAAGTTCATTCCATCTCTACAAGCAATTACCTTTCAAGCTTATCTTTGTTGAAGTGGCCCAATGAAGCATGAGAAAGGTAAGCCTACAGTGGAGGGAAGAAAGAACAAATGGACAAACATGATCCAACTACTTGAAAATTTATGCACTATTCTCCATTACTTGAATTACATGAAATAAGAAGTAAATGTCTTCTTCCCACATTGGTCTGTAAAAAAACAAGACATTCTAGGGAAATGTCCAGGATTTTTTCCAAAGTGCTTGAAAATCAGCCTTCCAGGCTAGATTACATGACTTGACCTGATTTAAACTTTTCCTTTATTTCACTAAAAACTTGAAAAGTAAGCATACCTTGTCTTCCTCACCATCTTCTAAGTTTTGTCCTAAAAATAACAATTCCAAAATGTCAAAGTTAACAATTCACAGCCAAGAAGAATAAGAAAAAAACCTTTGAAGCTGTTCCAATATTGAGACCTTAAATTTAATGTTTAGTCAAGAGCTAAAACTGTGGAGAAAACTGTACAAGTTACTGCACTGATAAATTCCACAAAATAAAAATATTTATAATAAAAAAACATTCCAACAAGTTCTTACCCCAGCCACCAAACTTAAGTGCACTGTTCTGCTCTACAGGAAGCAGATCAGTGGGTTCCTCCTCCAGCTGTTTGAGGGACTCCAAGAGGTCATCAAAGGTTGTTTTGCTTTCACCACCAACCTGAGGGCTTAAAAAAATACATGTTTATCAGCTGAGTAGATTTTCTTCTGGATCTTAGGAGTGACAAGGTTACAAATACGAGATTTTTCATATCGTTGAGACTAATTAATCAACTAAATACATAACATACCTGGTTATTATCTTATCTGTGTCATCTGTGCGATCAGAGAATAAGGGTCCTGCTGCTAGCTCATCTGAAGTGGCAGCAGCTGTGCTAACTTGAGATTCTCGAGATTCCTGCAGTAAATAAAACATGAGTTATCAATCCACAAACTTATACAGTTTATGATCAAAATATAATTACATGAATGCACAATACAGCTGAACCCTGCTATCTCAAACCATGGCTAACTTTAATATCTTGCCATTTCAAAATCATTCCTGGAAGATACTTCCCCTTATAGTTGTGAGTGACATACAGTGTTCCCCCTTATTTTAAGCATGACAGGTAAAATAAATTTTCAAACCGGTAAAGCAGTCCTTTTACCTGTTGAATTTTCAAGAATTCCAAGCAATTTTAAATGGTAATAAGAGGTACTACAGGCAGTAAATGTTACCAGTTACTGCCTGAAAAGGAAAACACTGGACATACCTGGAATAACTCATCAACTTTCCTTCCAACACTGCTGGCTGTCCCAGGTCTGGATGTTATTTCAATGGCATTACCTTGCTCGTTATTTTTCACAGCACTATTGGATGCACCTACCACTGTGCTCTTTTTCCCTTTGGGTTTTGATTTGACTGCTGAACTGAGATTTGCTGACTTCTTTTTGCCAACTTTCCCACTAGCTTGGAGAAAAACCTGTCAAAAAACAAAAGCAAAGTTACATGTAATCACCGAATACTTAAGATTTATTTAACAAAGAATACTTCAAACAATACTTTTTTCACCACCACAGTAGGCTTTACAATTATCAAATTAGTTTAATTTGTTAGGTTTGCTTCAGCTTTGCACAGCTTGGCAGCAAGCACATGTAATGAAAGAGAGTGACAGATAAGTGCCACTCTTGATAACATCAGATCTTCCAGCATGGCTGAAACCCTACTTGAGTGTCAAACAAAAAATTTCAAGTTGCACTCAGTTGCAATAAAAAATCACTTCCAATACCAGTTCTTCCTCTGCCTTCCTTTGATTTTCATTCCGTTTTTCCTCTCTCTTCTTTTGTAGTTCCTCTATAGCAGCCTGTCTTGCCAATCTAGCTTTCTCTTCTCGTCGTTTCCTCTTTTCATCTTCCTTCTGATCCTTAAGTTGGTAAAGAGATACAAAGGAAAGTTTAGAATGTAACAAGGTTGCTGATCATCAAATTAGGTATATCTTCAGGGCTCGAAATTAGCACTCGCAAAATACGAGTGGTTTTTTGAAGTTGCAAGTCTAAAAAATATCCTCTAGCAAACATTTGCGAGTACCAGTATTTTTCCAGTAGAATTTCGATTAAAAAATTAATGCTGAAAATGGCTGCATTGAAAAGTTGCTAGTTAGGTTCCTTCTTTTGCTAGTAAAAAAAATCTTACTAGCAAAACTTTGCTAGTAGACAAAAAAGTTAAGTTCGAGCCCTGTATCTTTTCTTTACTGAAACACTTAACAATTGGTTCATACCTCAGCGTGCATTCATCAAGATATGAAGCACACGGGAAGTTTGGAGAGCACGAAAGATGCGTAAGAGTTGTTCAAGGCATAGCCGAGAGCAACTCTAGCTTCTTGAGTGCTTTCCAAACTTCCCAAGTGCTTCATATCTCAATGAACACACAGATGACGTATGAAACAATTGTTTTAAAACATTTTCAACCTGATGGAAAAATTTTTTTCTCAAGGGACTTGTTTGCTGATGTCATGAGCATGCACAATAGGAATATCAAGCACACTCACGCAATTGAATTTGATTATACAAATTTACCAGCTATGTTATTAAACACGTTTACCTCCATCTGTACATTTGCATGGTCACTGACCATCTGTTTCTCCTTCTCAGTTTTCTTCTGACTTAAGAGTTGCCTTACAGCATTTTGTCCTCTGAGTTGCTTACGGGTTTTCCATCCACGGAACCAACGTTGAATGTTCACAGCAGCTTTCCGCTGTTTTTTCTCACCCTCATCCTCTAAAAGTTCATCAAGAAACAATTTTGGTACATCTTCTCTAGATTTGTCCACCTTGATTCTTGCCTTGCCTTCAAAAATGTCTAAATCAAGGTTATTCTGATCAAAACCATTATTGCCAGGACGCATATTGTTGATATCATTTTGAAGAAAATCTTCATCTATGTGATTGCTTGTCTTGCTTGCACCAGGCCACCAGTTATGTTTCTTGTCCAATTCTGTAGGAGACTGCAGGAACAGTGGAGGGACTGGTGCAGGATCAGAAGCTGACAGCCACCATTCATCAACTTCATCAGGTTGAACACTATGCTGCGCCATTGCTGAAGGTCTGTCTGGTAGAGCATTAGGGTTTGCTTTAGCAGCATTGCTGTGGCGCTTAATAAAAAAACATAACATGTTTAAATCAGTGACCTCAGATATCAACATCATTAATACGCAATACACCCTAACATCAGTATGCATTTTATCTATACTGTCAGGTGATCCACAGTAAGTGAGAGACAACTTGGAAGCATGCAAATCTTCTCAGTATGATGTTAATTGGCCAGAGTTTCAAAAGCAGAAGGTTCAAGCAATAGCCCTTCATTAGGGCCTGAACCTCAGAAGGGGATGGTGACACATCATTTACTGGTACCTTCATTTTAAAGAGTGTTTACCTGAAGCACATACACATGTTTGAACAAAATTACCTGGAATGTTGTGGCCAGTTTAGGTTTAGTGCGAGCTTTAGCTTGAGACATGATGTGTGGGATATGATCCTCAGAAAACCTAAGCAGAAGCACAATAGAATTTCATTCCAACATGGATTATGAAATTTCACTTAGACTGCACTATCACACCAGGCTGTAAGTTGTACTAAAGAGCATAAAACCAATCAGAAAAATTTTCTGTTCAACAAGTAATGCTTGCTTGATTTGTAATTGGTTTACCATGTTTTAAAAAGATTACCTTGCTGGGGGAATGGTCTTTTTATTAACATTCTTCCTTCTTGCTCCTGAGCTACTGCTAGTCCTTGCGCTGTCACTGTCGCTACCAGATACATGAACCTCATTGTGTTGTGGCCTCACAATGCCTGCACTGCCACCTTAATACATAAATTACAGAGCATAATTTCAATTTCTGCACATATCAACATCTTATTGTTCAAGAGCAATGGCTGCATTGGGAAATATTCCCCTCTACACTTTGCTCTGTTTAAATGAAAAAGATAGAGGACCAATATTCCCTGATGCTGCCCTAAGTAGTTCATTAAATAGGATATTTGATTATATTATCATTGGATCACAGCTTACTCAATATTCTACAACTTTCTACATGAAGTTCACAAAAAAAAAAATGTGGCAAAAGAGAATGGTGATTGGGGTGGCACTTTCATAACTCACAATGGCCATAACAGTTAGTTTGAAGTCTCTTAGTCAAAATCCCTTTTAATTTTTTTTTAATTCAGTGATCTTATTGATAAAAATATGTCAGTTGAAGTCATGCACATGTAAAGCATGCAAAGCATTTTCAGAGTTGCAAGTGATTTGTGGTGTAATTCATAAGTACCATATAGAAAACGGTTGTAATCAGACAGACAGAAAATATGACTTACTTCTTTTATGGTGACTAGATTTCTTGGGAACTTTGCTTGTTCCAGTTACTGATAGAAAGTCACTCATATCAGAATCCTGTTTATAGAGAATAAAGTCATTGTAATGATGTTGCACTTATAAATGCGGTTGGATATAGGTATTTAGGTAGCTCAGGTATTTAGAAGTTGAACCAACGTCTAGGTTAGGTACTTGCAAGAAAAATGTACAGTACCAAAGATATGTGACATTACAAATAGCATGTCAGTTAGGTCTTGGCAAACGCTGTCATACAGGCCATCCTTAGATTTTTAAGCTGTTAGTGCCTCCACTTATCTACTTCAACATAAGTTCAATATCAAACACCCAATGGCAATGTTTTCTAACGCCAACCAACAACTACTCCGATGACAATCATTTAACCGATCTTGCAGAAACGTACACGAACAACACTCACCAAACTTGCATTTGATCTCGCTGAATATTTACTTGCATCTGCAGAACTTGGCCTGCTACTCTTAGCTGAGCTTGGTCTTTTCGCTGACAAGTTTTCGGCTGATCCGGAAGCAATCACTCCTCTTTCAAATTTCTTACTTTTCAAAGACATAGCTTTTTCCTCGGCTCAACTCAATAAATTCAATATTTCTGTCAACCAAACGTTTAAAAGAGGCTCTTCATCGTCCACCAGCATCGTCACTTTGCTTCCAAAAATGAGCCACATAAATTGACCACAGCCTTATTCTTGTCACAAAACAAATTTGTTGTCGTTGTTGACAACAAAATTGGCGCTCTTGCGACGCCATTACGGTTTTAGAGAAGCTGAACGGCTACCAAGCAAGCCTCTGCTCGAAAGGCCTGGCGGGAATGATGAACGTCGTAGAAGGAACACAGTTCTGAGTACGAAAAAAAGTAAGGCGGTCTTCTCGTGTTCTCCAACTCAGTAGTATACGCGGATAATTCCCTTAAGGAGTTCCTAAAAGAATTCCACCTTTGCAAATTAAGTGACCCAAAACACGGTCATCATTATCTTAGAATGGCAGTCCCATACTAAATTTCTTCTCTCTCGGGGCTAAAATTTCCTTTTAAACTATTACTGGAAAAAAAACTCCTCCATTAAGGAAAAGCGGTTGCAACAGGAAGAGTGAACCAAACGAACCGACCCCAGGAACTTCGCACGATCAGTCTGATCTGTCAGATTTTATGAAGAAAGCGATCAGCTTCCTAGTTCTTCAAGGAAGAAGATGAGATTCCAGAGCTCAGAAGATGAGTCTTCTTCAAGTTCTGATGAAAACAAAAAGTTTTCGAGGTAGCTGAGGTAGAAAAAGGATACAGGCTCGTTGATCTAAAGAGCTTCTCTTCTGTGCTCTCAACTTTACACAAATGCGAAGAAGGTGAGAAAAAAATATCACACATCATAAATATGCTTTTCAGCCCCTTGAACCTAAAGAAAAACGATAGTTAGAATTATTTGCAGAAAAGGAGTTTTATTATTGTTTAATCATTTTTTCTGATCTTTCTTCACTGCAACACTTGTACACATTTATGGAGGTGTGAACTAATGCTCCAACATTGTGGTTCTGTTTGGTTCAGTAACTATAGCTAATAGCATCCTTTTCCGTCTTTATTTATTTGCACAAGCTGATCTAGAAATGGAAAATGGGAAATGAAATAACTGCCACTCTGAAATTCATCCAGGAGAATCACCTAGTGCTGCCTTCTATCCAGGGATCGAATATTCTCGTTTTACAAAGACAAAATCTTCTAAGGCTTGCCGAGAAAACTTTGTTGTATAGTAAGCGGCAGCTATAGGCTAAAAGCGCAAAAACGTTCCGATCAAGTCGAGAAACATCGCGTTAGTTTAAAAGATATTAACATTCCTTAATAATTTGATTAGTATCGTGTTAAAATGTTAATCTTTTATGAGAACCAGGAAGATGTTACCACGAGGAAATATTACGTTGATTTTACCAGTTTTCCACTAAAATCCCAGAGGAATCCATTTCAGGAAATATTTTCTTGTACTCAAAGCCTGTTACACGACACTCAGCTACGTGAAGAGATGGTTACTATCTGAAGTGATGGACGGTCTCGTTAACTGCAATTATCCATTCCTTTGCTAACAAAAAGAGGTTGGTTAGACACTAAAATGAAAATGAAAACTCTAACGAAGACAACAGCTAGAAATTGGGGGAAAACTCAGAAATCGTTTGGTAAAAGGCTGACTTCGTCTATGTAAAATTCGAAGTAGTGCTTTAACAAATATCCACAAAATTGTTGGATTGGTCCTTCACAACAAGTCATTATTTCATTTTCAAGATACTGTATTTCCTGCCAGGAAAATCGAGCTTGTGCTAAGTAATAACTATTTCGGGACGTGACCTTTCAGTGAGTTTTTTATTTCGCATAATCCAAAAACTACCCTGATGCATGGAGTATGAAGCATGACATATTTACGAGGATTCCGTGGTTTGACTTTTCATGTGAAACTCTTTTTTCCGCTACATAACTTCAAGATAATTGCATCACGTAGGATTACATCCGTTTGAAAAGCGTCAGAGGTTGAACCGCTTATCGTGGTTTTGTGACTGTAAAAGGAATAAGGAATTTGCACTATTATTGTCATGCAAAATTAACGAATCTGTTTCATTCTTTTGAGCGACGAATTTCACTGCTCTCTAAGTGATATCCGGCCTGCAAAGCTAGTCGCACCATGACGGTTTTGCAACGAAAATTAAAGGAAATACTCACACTGAGCCTTCCCTGAATCCGTTGATAATGTTCATCAGTTCATCAGTCATCGAGTTCGATGCATTTTGTATTCAACTTCCGCTTTCAGAACGCTTTCAATATCCGCGCGTTCGTTTCGCGTCTCGCGCGTTTTTCTCGCGTTCAGCTTTTTTTTTCTTTTTTTTTTCCCTCATTGAGTGTGGAAAGTGAAATATGATCAGACTATCTTTCCCACAACAAACAATCATCGCAATCCGGGTCAATTACAGATTTGTGCGAACTTGTTCTCAATCATCGCTTCGTGAATTCGACGCTGAATTAAATGACACGTTGCGTAAAATTATAGGTTATTGTGTAAAGACCACAAATTCAGCAATTCTAGTACATTCGAGCTGGTAATATTTGCTTAGAGATTTTAACAAAAGAGATGATTCAACACGGTTGTATTTAACCATTTACGTAATTTCTCTTTGTGTGCTGAAAACCAAGATTGTGGACAGAATAAGTTTGAAAATAATCTACCGCACAATAAAACTTGGCATCGTTAGAGCGACACCTATAAATATTTATCGGTCTGAGTAGACAGAGAACGTTTATAAATGAAAACCGCCACGAGCGAAAACCGCAAAAGATGCAAATCTGTACTTTCACTTTTATGATCACGCCACGTCACGTTGCGTGACGCCTGTCCACCAAAATAAAGTTTGATGTAATCCGTATTTTAAATTTTCACACCTTGGCCTTCTTTAAAGTCCTTAAAATCAGTGATATGTACTGTAAAACTGATATGAATGCAAGTTAGAGAGCTACAAGTGATTTGCCTCCTGAATGTTTCCGATACTTAAGACGCACGCAAATAAACTCAGACCCAAACAGCGCACTAAATTTGCGTATCCATGATTTCATGCTTCAACTAATCGATTTGTAATTTTGGTTGGCCCTCAGCTGATCTGGATCGACAAAAGAAACGCTAAACCTTCCCCTGGGGCAACCGTCGGTCTTTTCATTGATATTGATAAAATAAATGATTCGGCAGAATTGAAAAACACATCGTGCGTCCAATATATAACTTATATATTCTTATTGTGAACAACGTCGTAAACAAAGTACAGCTGTTACGAGCGATCTGATGTACGGTTTAAAAATAAAGTCAGGAAACAAATTGCCACTCGAGGATTACAAAGATGTAAAAAATTTAAATCCTGGGAGACAATCGGACGAGAACGGAATTCGAAACGCGATTAGGTGAACGAACGAACGAAACAAATGTCAACTTTGATTGATCCACAGCGCGCACGTATGAAATTAAATTGAACAACGACTTAGTTGACGTAACACGCCTCTATTTTCCACAAAGTCGATGTGCCTCGAACACCTCGCGACAGATGTTATTTTTTTAGGTAGCTTGACGACGATATGTTGCGATGTTATTCTGGGAAACCTCCTCCAGCATAATCTTGCAACAGCGCTAAATTACACATATACATGTATTACCAAAACGCCTTGCATTGTTCACAATGAACAGTGTTAGGTATCAAGGAAATTGTCAACTTTGCCCGCACGTGATTGGTGAATGAGTGAAATCGGCTTGCAGGGGGCGTGCGGCCAACCAATTAGCATGCAAGATCATTGTTTCTGTACAGAACTCAACATCACAGACGACTTGAATTGAAAAGCAATCTTAGCTTTTCACGTTTCCGCCTTTAGAACGTCGAGTCGCATAACCGTGTTCGAAACTATGCTAACGAGAATTTTGCCGCCCGATAGAACCACTGTTTTCGCTGTCTAAAATAGAGACATGGATAGATCGCCCGAAAAATCGGCCCTTTTATCGACAAAAGTACAAAGTTTGGAAGCGAAGACGGCCAACCCTCGTCAACAATTCGCCCATGAGGCTGTAACAACAAACCCGATCTTCCGCCAACTCAAAGCTTTTTCTTCACAATCTACGCTGGAAAATGGTTCCAATTCAGCAGGCTTTCCTTCACCAGAAGTGGGCATCGCGAGAAATTCGGAGTTTATCTCTCCCTTACAAGCGCAATATTATCCACCAACCGTGCCGAGTGCAGGTAAGTTCTCACAGTTTTCTTCGCTTGTTCAATTATTTATTGTGCCAGTTCGCGCAAAACCGTGGGCAATCAATGGCTTTGACGATTTTTTCGTCAAATAACACGTGGGATTTAAATTCACCCTTCGTACTAGCGTTTTTCCAGGATATTTCGTGCTCGTTCGTAGGGGCGAAAATTAAGATATTTCTTCGGGACTGAATCAACGTAATCGAGTCTGAACATTGTACCACGGTTTGGTGGTTCGACTGATATTAGCTGAATTGCCAAGTAGGCACAAATAACATTGCCAAGTTTAGGTTTTCGGAATCACAAAGCTAGTGGGTATACAGTATTTGTTAGCAACTTGCATTTTTGCGACGATCTGTGTGCCTTTGCTTGTCGCAAAACGAAATGATCATGTGGAATCTGGACTCAGACTATCTGTATTCGATCATGTTACGTACTTCGCAGCTAATAGGGGTAGAGTAGTCTTGTCCGCGTGAGCTATACGTGACTAGGTGCTGTCTTAAGTTAGATCGGTAAAATCGACTGTTTTAGCACCGCAATTACGCTTTATAGTAGCAGATTTGTTATCCCAGCTGAAAGGAAAATTTTTCCTTTTGTTGTATCGAACTAAACCGTGTGGTGTTTTTGAGGTAGATTCGTTTTATTTGCTAGGAAGGACAGACAATAATGCCAAGTCATAGTTTTGAAAGACCCTTTCTTTCGTATTACAGGGCTCAAAATATTCAAAACTTCTACAGTAGGCGCACAAGCCATATTCGTGTATTTAATAATCCCATCAAAATCGGCGCTGTTTATCATGCGCTCGGCCGCGTCAAGTATTTTAGTGATATTCATCACGGCATACTCTCTGTTCGTCATTGCATCATCGGGATTTTCTTATCGTTTTCGACTTTTTTCAAGCGTAGGCGAGAAGAAAAACAAACCGAATACTGTCATGACATCGCTTAGACAGCGCGCGATCGCTAGAAATTGTGAAGTCGAACGGTTATCGTTGACTCTAATACGGCGGCTAGTCTTTTTAAATTCACTTCCTCTAGGCGTCAACGAGAATGAGTTGAAACGATCTTGGAAAGCAACGGATGGCTTGAATCTCCGTGCAGCTGAGTAGGCCAGTGTTTGCTAACAACGGGAAAATTATTTAGATTTGAAGTTTTCCGACGAAGTGTAAGCAGTCGCTTTTCAAGAATTTTGCCTTCCGCGAACATAACAAGACGCCAACACGCGATCTCACTATATTTGCGCGTGATTATGTCTTCGATATTCAGCTCTTTTACTTGAGTTGTAATTTGCAGCATTGTTTGTCCCTGAAAAACCTACCAGTTTACTTATTTTATTCTGTGTTATACTGCTTTTATGACTATTTTGTCACCAACATACTGGTGTTTGATTTTTGGTCAATGGTCTTCTTCAGTCATGTTTTGTCCGTGACTTCTCCGTGAGCGCTCGTGGAGAACAGCGAGTTTTCATTTACGTTAAAGAAGCCTCCCTGTTTCTTGATCGATTTGAATCAGTTAAGTCGACAATTCTATGTCAATTGCCTTTATTCGCAGAAAATGAGTTAAGAACTCGATTTTCTAGTAAATTCCATGTTCTGTTGCGATGTACAATAGTTCCAACTCTGCGAACAATATGAGATTATTCCAACGCCTGTTATCTTTCACTTTGTTAAGCTTGGAAATGTTTCGATTCTAGTTTAAAAGCTTAAAAGAGAAAATAGCGCGTTGTGGAAAATATTAATTGATCGGTGCAAAAAACCGAAAAAATAAACAGCAGGGTATATGTATGCCGCGAGGGGTGAGCGGATAAGCTCATAATTCTCACTGATGGTAGAGAGCTCGTGTATCAAAGTAAATCTATTTTCGCGAGCGCAGGATGTTTCATTGATATTTTTTCTACCGTCTTAATGATCCGCTTCTTCTTCTGCATTGAATCAGAAACTGTGTTCACAATTAAACGAACTCAAACGAGCGGACTAGAAATCGAAAATAGGCGCTTTTTATTTGCGTTCCAATAATTGTTCGTTAATAGGTCTGTTGAAATTTTTCGATCAAAACGTGCCAAGTACTTCTGTTAGAATTTTGAAATATAGGAACACAGCTTCTAAGGAAAGTTCTTACTGAGGGCAGATATTTAGCAATACGTCGCGTAGTCAAACATGACACGATTTTAGTGTCTGTAATTGAAAACCTGGGCATATTCAATTTAGCCCTATAACCATAACAAATACCAGACGTTGTAGAGTTGACATCCGGCAGCATTCGTTCGCGGCTGATCAACCTTTGTCTAGGAAAAAAAATTTTCTGAGTAATTCTGAAAGAAGGAAGGAAAACTGGCCATAATGGCTTTGTGTCTATTTGGGAGCCGAGTGGGAGAGGCTAAGAAAACAAAGAGAACGAGTTGTTGCGAGTCGTACGTAACTGCGATGCAAAGATGGTTCTGACTGCCTTTGTTGATCCCTGTCCTCCTGATATTGTAATGCATATCAGACCCGCACGCATGCTTGACTAGAAGCGCTTTTTGTTACGTGTTCCAAATATAAATAGACTTTATTCCTATTGGAATGCAAATTTGAGCTCTCAACCAGGTTTTAAGTTTTCTTCATCACGTTTACTTCAATTTGAATCGTTGTTTGTACATACAAAATTCCTCTTGGGTAGGCAGTTTGAAAACCTTCAGTTTCTGAATACTCGAGAGCGCTTTGAACTCTAGACATTTTCAAACATGATAACGATTTCGCTTGAATTCGCTGATAAGACAATATGTAGCTGAAAGGGGTGGTTACGTCACCTTTAGTAGCGTCGTTTTGAGATTTCTCTTAAATTTGCGAGTTTCTTTACTTTTCACGTGCTAAACCCACGCTTTACATTAGGATTTATGCAGCGTGGTGTTTCATAATGCATGATGTGTTATTAATCGTATATAAACCACTGTCCATGAGGAAAATCGTTATCTTATACCACTCTCAAGACAAAAATAACTGAATCAGTTTACTTCAGTTTTAAACAAGATTCTTTTGTTGCGCGAGATAGTTTGGAAGCCATTTGTGTAGTTGCAGAAAGTGAAAAATAACAAAACACTTTACAGTGAAACTTTTTCAGCATAGCGTTTGTTTCACTCATGCGGAACATAACGAAAGTGAAATGCACATGGTTTAGGGTTCGTTTACACTTCGTTTTCTAAGCGCCGCGACGCATCAAACTTCCGCTTAAGTGTCCATTGATTTATTTATGTACTTAAATTTATTTCGGTAAATATTTAGTGTATAGTTGTTGCTAAGAAGTGAGCAACTATATTTAAAAGTGTTAATTTTGAAAAACTAATTGACTCTTTGAAGGAAAGGTGTTTCATTTTCTTCAAATGAAGAGATGAATCCGCCTGTTGGTGTGTTTCAATCAGTTAGTATTTTTTCTGTGTTTCAGTTTCCTTCTTCAATTTAAATTCAGTCCGGATCAGTATTAGATTATGTCCTGGTGGTTTACAAATGTTGAGTTAATTTCCTTTCAGGAGCAATCATTTCCACGAAAAAAAAAAGTTTTCTAAAATGCTTATTCGGATTTGCAAGGCAACTTTCATCGCTGCAATTAATAACGATGAACATTTTCCAATTGTTCAGTAATTCGTTAGTTTTTGTCGTGTGATGGAAATTTTGTCAGTCAAAAGTACTTTGAATTTTAGTTTTCACTTTCATCGTGTCGCATCCATGTTTTAGGACCGAAATAACCTGTTTCTACTGTCTTCCGGTTCCAGAATCTGACATTTTCGTGGCAATGTGGGGAAACAATGCGAAATCGAAAGAAAGATGTCCTAACGTCTCCTTTATCAACATTTGCTTGAATTGTTTTTTTTTTTTTTTCACTTTGACGAGTTTTGTTAATTAAACATTTTTTTAACGTAGCAGAAGTTTAGAGTTTTCAGATTCGGTAATCCTCCTTTGTCAAATAACTAACGAATCTTTTTTTTTTTTTGCGTATCTGTTTTTATATCCGACAGAAGTGTATTTGTATGCGTAAAAAAGGAAAAACATTGCTGTTTCCGTTGCATATCAGATATTTGCATCTAACCAGGAAAATTTTCACACTTCTTTAAAATTTTGATGTCGCAGCTCCGATATCGCAGCTTTGAATATGCACAGTACAAGAAATGTTCGGGATGTTTGTTATTCTTTTGTCTACATAGGATGCAAACGCAAACAAATTTAACTGACTCAAACTCCATTCGATCTTCCAAAAGGCAGAGAGAAAAGTAAATTAGGGCTTACGAAATAAACAAATGCTTGATCATGACGGGTAAAGGTCCGAACTTTTTTCGAGGAACTTTTAATAGCTGGTTTCATTAGGTGTTAATCGAGAAGAAAGTATTTTCTATTTTTCTCGCCGACTTTTGTGATCTATTGACAACAAACTACAGGTACCTCGGCGCCAATTACGTCGAAAATGTGTTCAATTTACATGCAAAAGATGATCGATGTTTTTTTTTTCTGAAGCATCGCGTGCTTTTGTGACCGCTTGTATGTTTTCCCCGCGAGAGAGAGCGTTCTGATATTTCAAGTATTCCTCAAAAAAGGTCGCAAATATTGCGCGACTGCCAAAAATTTCGAACGTGCGAATCTTGTTTACAATCCACAATGGAGCAAAGAGTACCACTGCGATCGATTTGAATAAGAGAAGAGATTACCATAATAATTGTCAAACAACCTTAGTTCGCCCCCGCTTCGTACACGTTTCACACTTTTTCACACAGTTTATTTTCGAAATATTTCTGTGCATAACACAAGCGGGTCTTTTGTGCGTTTTTTCGTAAGAGAAATTGTCTCCGATGTGACCGTAAATCGCCGAATTTTGGCAATATAAGCTCTTATGTTTCTCTGAGAACGTCTTTCAAGGCATAACGTACCAAGCAACACTGTCTCGACACAAAAGTTCAAGCACTTAAGATTGCAAGTTTCGACGCGCGGTATAAACGTTGAACTGAAAAGGTATGTTTCTCGCAGTTGTTTTGGTAACAGCGAAATCACTTTCGTGAATAGCCTTTTCAAGAAACATTCCGACCCATTTGCGAAAGGAGTTGGTGAATCAATAATTTTCAATGTACAGTTTCTCGAAGAAAGGTAGAGGTCTTAACGAGGAAACGCTGGCGCGGAAGTTTGTAGATGTATTTAAGGAGAACTGCTTATTTTCCCACAGTTAAGATTTTTAATTACAAAATTGTTCACTTTTTGTACCAAGTAGAGTGACCAGATACAAAAATATTGAAATAATATTCAGTGTATTAAGCCTTTAAAACCGTAAACTTCGAATTTTGGACGGACTTTGTGGAAAGGCTGGAGATTCTTCAGTTCACGGTAAGATGTTGACCAAATTTGACGCGTTCTGTCTCATCTTGTTTAGCTCTGAATTCGTGAAAAAGGTATTGAATTTCGACTTTCATCAGCCATAATTGTGTTCTGTTCTGTTTTTTTTTTTTTTGTTTGAACTCGTGATATTGATTTTTGCAGTTGATCGACCTCGCAAATTGATTGAATTTATCATTTGAAATTTTCACTTCTTTCCGATTTCAGTTTCCACGATCTTAAAAGCTGTGCCGACGTTTTGTACCCGCGAGTCTACGATAATGTTTTATGACAATAGTTTTTTTTGCAGGTTCCTAATGATGAATCTGAGATTTTCCGAGTCTTTTTGGCGAGCTGCACTAAAAATGATTGCGTTTACTCGACTGAAATTTTTAGCTTGTCCAAAGTCGCTTCCAGAACTGCTCTTTCGTAACTGAGACTGTTAGTCGTTGTAGTTCTGTTTGGTACGATATATTATATTATATTATGTTATAATCAGGTTTACCGTGAAAAAAAAGAGAGATGAAAAAAATAACAGCAAGGGGGACTTGAATTACTTTGAAAATAACTTAAAAGTTTGTTGTAAAGCAAGTCTTGCAGTGCATTGCGGTGAAGCGCTTTTCCTTCGCAAATTCAGAACTTTTGTTTATTTAAATTTCTTGTAACCTATGGTTTCTACGTCGGTTGATTCACGGCGATATTTTAACCATCGTGGCAAATTAATTCGGCGAAATATTGTCGACTTCATTTTGTTGTTCGATACACAACGTGAAAGGAAACACAAATTTATGTTATTGAAGAGATAACAAAATTATAGATATTAGAAAAACAGAGGAAACTGAACGCACTTGCAAATTGCATATGTGAAAATTGCCCGGTTCACTTACTTTTAAAATGATAATCTGGGAATATCGAGAACCTTTCGATTAAGTGTTTTTTTTGTTGTTGTTTTTTTTTTCAGAAATAGTGCTATAAGGCTCAAAATCATGGCAATATATTTAGACTGTCTGTTTGTACATGTTTCCAAAGCAAAGTTCTGGCAATAAAATGTGTACAGAATTCAGCTGGGTTCAAAATCTGCTGCCTTGGTTATGCCGGCGGAAACTGATGCAAATCCTGTTATGGAAGCTTTCCAGAAAGCTGAAACCAACTAAAACGTTTCACTCCAATAATAAACCCATCCTTAATTGAAAAATAATCTTTTAATACCGATTTTTGTAAAAAATGCAAACAAGGGAAAGTTCGTGATTTTAAATGTTATAATTTTTATTTTGCTATATCAAAACAGTTTTTACAACGATTTCCATTTTATTTCTCCCAGTATTGATCATTCAAAATGTAGGGCAAGAAGTTAGCTCCTAAATTAAAGCCGCCCTCTTTATTTTTTTAAGAAAATGTATATATTATACTTTTTCCGTGAGTATTTAGATCAATCTGTGACTACAAGTGTGCAATTACCAATAATGATACCAAGCTTTCTTGCTTGCATTTCAGCGTTCACTGAAATCAGTACTTTTCATGTCTGAAAAGACGAATAAAACGACCGTTATCATGACAGTGGTCGTAACACTCATCATACTCATGTTCTCGTGAATTTTTGTGGGTGGTACTCAAATGTATTTTATGTGGGATTGCGAGGTCTTCAAAATCTGTGATTGCTCAATGATAAGAGCTTTCCGCTTCCATCGTTTTATAAGTGTTCTCCTCTCTCTCAGCGGTTATGTGGGATGTGGAATTGCATTTAGCTTCTGGATATAACACTTGTTTTATAGTTTAAAATGTGTACAGGAGATCGCGAAACAGAGCACGTTTGCTTTCTATATCCCCGCCGACCCTGATATGCTGTCGTACAGAGGTCATTTTCCAATCTTTTGAAAGGCGATTATTGAATATGTCCCTAAATAGCGCATGATATCTTCACAGCTTTTTTCTAGTTCTTGGTTAGAGATAAAACCGCTTTTAGAGATTAATAAAATACAGTTACCGCTCCGAAATTATAAACACGTAAAGATAGAGCCTGTTTAAATTCAATTTGCTTTGCATCGAAGGATGTAATCAAGATGAAGACAGGACTTTCAAGCTCTTTCCCTCGCGCACAACAGAACGGTGAACAAACAGCTGACTGCAACAGATAATTTTGACGCGTAGGATCGCCTGCAGCACTGTCAAAACAATCGGTTTTGAATAACCCAGACTGAAATTTAACGCCACTCTTTTAAATTTACTTCTTGCACACGTGAGGCGGAAATTGTAGCTCTTTGCAATGGAGAATTTGATCGAAGGTCTAGTGGTATGAATTTTCCGGCGTAACTTCGCGTGTGTTCAAACTACTCACCTATGATAGAGGGTCATTCGGTTCAACCGAGATTACATTGTAAGGGAATGTTCATATTGGCCAGTCACGGAAGAAAAATCATTTTCCCGTTTGAACTTACTTTTCTTAAGTTAGATGTACTTTACTGCTGCTATAAACGATGATGTAATTTCTGCCGCAAACTGATAATTCCCCAGCATTCATGTATCATTGTTCAAATAGCACTTTTCTTAGGAAGCGAGGTAACGGTTTAGAATGCCTCTTCGCCCTGCTTCCGTAGCACCCTTTGCATAAACAGCTGACTATTTGATTGAACTCATTTTTCAATAGTAAGGTGGGAGTTGACCTTATCTTTGAGGTGAAGAAACTTGGGATTTTTGCGCGTGTGGAAAGAACCGCGGTCAGGGATAATTCTAGAGCACTGTCACTAAGATCGCCAACAATGATCTGACATTTTTTCATGCTGAAAAATAGAACTTAGTGTCATTTGTGTAAATGATAACTTGCTTTGATTTTGCAAGTCTTCAGCGGTAGTTTTTCGAGGTCAAGGGATTGCTTAACAATTCAGCTGTTTCGCTTTTAAGTGAGGTCGATTTAAATCTCTTGCGTAAATCTCGTCTTCGTTTTCGCATTCCTTGTGGCTAGTTATACCGATATGGCTCCGAGATCAGTAAGCACGCCAAGTTAAACAGGAAACTGTTATTGTAAAGCATAGTACATCTGTTGTGTCATAGGCTAACATTAAACGGCTCAGTATGGACACAACTACATTGTGTAGATAAAACCATGGTTTAATAGTGAACTTAGTGGCGGAATCTAAATTCTCAGGATATTGCTTCATAAGGCGCGAGATTTCTTACGGTGAGACCTTTTCCTTTCATGGGCGATTCAGCACTGATCGCCATCAATCGAGAGGTAAGCTGGATTTTGAGTAACCGCAGGGTGTGTTTATAAGAGTTGCGCTTGTGTGAAATCGTTCAACCATTTATAATCGAATAAAAACGGATATAGATGACACAAAGATACAAAGATGTTAGGGGAAGCCACAAAATTAGAACGTGGGTTAATATGAAAATTTGATCGATGAACCTAATTTAAGACACAGGAAGGCCAATTATGGATGACCTTCAAGTCACGTCTTGTTGTTCCTGGGAAACTTAGGCTCACTATTTTGAAGCACTTTATTTTCAATACTTCAGTATTAATCTTCGGTGTTTTCGTGCTTTTTGGTTTCTTCCAACCATCCTTGTGTGTCAGAACTGAACACTACCAAGTCACAGTGTTTTTTTTTATAACCTTTGGTTAGAAACAAAACCGCATTTAGAGATCAGTCAAATGCAGTTACCGTTCAGAAATTATGAACATGTAAAGGTAGAGCTTGTTGAAATTCAATTTGCTATGTATCGAAGGATGTAATATTAGTAAAGACAGGACTTTCAAGCTCTCTCCCTCGCATACCGCAGAGCGGTGAGCAAACGGCTGACTGCAACAAGAAATTTTGCAACAGATAACTTACACTAAGAAGACGAATTTGTAGCGCGCAGAAAATGATTTATATCGAACTGACGTTTAGGGTTAAAATGTTTCCGGCGGAGGTCCAAAGTTTTGTGCTAAAAATAATCTTTTCCGCGAAGCTGAATCAAACTACCCTATGTTCTTATTTCGCTCGTTATCCCAACCGAGCTTTGTTCGTTTTACATGAAATGAAAGGGTCATTTTCCACTTATTTCGACTCCAAAAACTAGTATTTAAAACTGGTCTTCACCTACGTCACCTTCCAGTAAAATACAAGAACTAGCCGGCCAGTCTTGTCGGTCGGTGTTGTGAAATAATTCTGCATGTTATCATATCAGAACTGACTGGCCGATCAGTCTGTTGTAAAAAAATCAGTCAAAACTCTCAAATTATGTTAATCCTGTTTTTAACTAAACCGTTTTGGCCGACCTGTTTTGGCTGAAGTTAATTAAGCCCTCACACGCTATGTAAGTTTTGACTCCCAGACAGTAACTTACCTAAATATGATCAGATATTTTGACCAAAATGTAAGTCGGAAGTCACTTTTCCTTCACCATGAATAGTTTGAAATCGTCTACAGTAGAGTCCACCAATGATCTTAGAGTAACAACGAAAAACGACGTTTAAAATACGGTAGTCGGGTTGAGATGATTCATAAACGGTGAAAAAATGCAAAAATTGGGGTCACCTCTATGTAAGTTTTGGTCGAAGCGCGTGTTTCAATGAAGTTCATGTGAAAGATTACTGATATGGCGTTTGTAACTCTCTATCATTAATATTTATAACACAGTCGTGCGCACTATAAAAAAAAAATCGGATGAGACACTTGAACTTCGCCCTCAAGTTTTGAAAATAAATCATGGAGCGGATCGTGTCTGAAATATTTGGTAACCTTAAGCTAGATTGCTCGTCTAAAAAAAAACACGTTAGCTTTGTAATACGAGAAACAAGCTGTCAGAACCGGTAATTTTCCAACTTCTAATGCTTCTTTCAACCTTTCGGCCTCTTTGAGAATGTTCTAGTCGTAGTTTACGACACTCGTAACTGGACAAAACTTCTCACAGAAGGTGCTTCATCGAGAAATCATTATTCATTCGTCTTTGTAAATATTTCGCAGAAGAAATTAAGTTCTCCACTCGTGAACATATAATTTTTTTTTGGCCTCGTAATGTAGATACTTTTTCACCTTCACACCTCGGTTGAAACCTAACGATCGTCTCTTTCTTTTCAAGTGGTAATTCTGGATTGCATTGTTTTGTTCTACTGATTTCTTTCGTTGAATGGCCCGAAAAAAGAGAAATTCGTGCTTCCCTCAGCAGCCAAGCGCGTGCCAAACTAAAAACATTTGTTATCTGAGCACAACTTTTCCCGTGCTAAAGACAAGTTCCACGTAGTAATTACTTTCCTTTCTGATTGTTTGTTTTGGTAGTAATCGTGTTCCCTTCTTTCTTCGTGATTAGCTGTTGAAATCTCTGCGTGATTTGATTTAGGTTTATTGACTCTTGCTTTAAAAGCACTCCAAAACTCTCACCAAGGTTTTAACGTATGTTGAAGTTTTCTTTAGTGGACCGTCCAGCTGCATCGTAGCAGGAAGCGACGAAGAGTATTTCTTTTCCCCGTGGATAGGATGCCAGTTCATTTCAAGTTACCCCAGTATTTCAGCAGTCTCCCCGACAGTTGACTGCCACCCATTTTTTACCCTTGGGTGGAGACAGGCACTGTAGAAGTAAGGTGTCTCGCCTAATCACAGTGTGCCGGCTTCCCTCCCTCTCTTTCCCCTGAAACGCATACCAATAAAATTGTAAATGAAACCTTCGTTTAACCCTTTTCTTTTCAGCGATCCCCATGAGTCTTCCGTACGGGATGCTTGCGGGACAAGGCATGGACCCGCGGGCGCTAAGCGCGGGGAATCTTCCCTACCCATATGGTAACCCCATGATCTACTTCCAAAACTTTGCTGGTTACGGACAAGCGCAACGGAGCAAAAACAGCGAAGAAACATCAGGTTCTAACAAGAGCAGCAATCCATCGTCTCAGTTAAGGTTGGTTTTGAGAATACCAAGTTTTTCGCTACCAGTATTAGTTATCACAGAGTCGGCAATGATCAGCAAAGATTTTAAGATTTACTTTATTTCAGGTACTGGGTGTTCTGGAAAGTGGTAATACCGACAGGTTTTTCTGTGCAGTTCTACCTTAAGAAGTAGCTTAAGAAAGCTTTTTGATCGAGTGTCATTAAACCAAAACCAAGGAAATCACAACAGTTAACCTTTTAAATCCTAAGAGTGACTAGCATCTAATTTCTCCCGACAATATCTCCCCTGAATCACACGTTAAGGTCATGAGAATGAAGGAAATGGTCACTAAAGAAAGAAGCTTTTGATCGGTAAACAAATTCTCCTTGTCAGCACCTTAGGAAATGTATAAAGAACGGTAGGGAGAATATGCATTCTGATGTTAGGGTGTAAAGGGTTAATCTAAAGAAAGGAAAATCTCACACAGAGCTAACGAGAGCGTAAAGTAAAAACAAACAAATTCCAAAAGCGCGGAAAAACGCGGATGACCAAGTCACGATTGGGTCATGCTTTGGATCTGTTTTTTTTTTCGTTTAGATCTGCTGATACACTCGCCCGCTCTACTAAGGAACCCCTGCGAACTGAAAGTGTTATTAAAACAGTAACAGACAAGCAGGACACTTTAAAGAAACAGAGCGATGTAGACAAAAGAAGTTCGGCCGAAACCCAAGGTTCCAATGTTCCTCTGAGATATCCCGACAGAGGAAAAGGAAGTGAAGTTAGAAATTCGGATGACGGAAGAACTAAAGGACCACCATCGCGTGATATGTCGCTGCGTGACGCGCCAGGTAGCGAGGACGTACCCCGCCGTGACAAACAATCGATTGCAACCGAATACGACCGGACACGCGATAAAATTTCGAAGGCGAAAGGTTTCGAACATTTAGCAGTTGATTCTAACGGAAATAAGAAACCCACTAATGGGCTGGCTTCAGCCCGTCTTGTTGAAAACGGTCCTGTTTCTTCCTCTTCGTACGAAAAAGGCTACACTTCTGAAGCGCGCTCTTCGCCTTATCCCGCAAACGAACCGCCCACTCTTGTTCCGTATCATAACACTTTGCCTCCGAAAACAACTTCAAATACGACACATTCAAATATCCCATCGACCATGCCGAAACTCACACCTATTGCGCCACGCATAAGTAACGGTTCACCGCTTACCGTGGCTCATTCATCCGAAGCTGAACATAAAAGTTCTTCGTATGCAGCGTGGAGACCAAGCTATACTCATCTTTCGAATTCTGTCCCGGCCATGACGAGTCATGGTGGTACGGTATCTTGGACCGCAAATTATCCTGGGGTAAAGCAAGCCCCAGGAGATAAGGCAGAAGAAAACAGTTGGCGTGCTAAACAACTCCCTCGGGAGGAACGTGATCAGAATTGGACAGGCGCTTATGAGAATGCTCAGAAACATGCTGCGAGGAATTTTTATCCAATGCAACCGTGGGACAGACAATCTTATTATGGAACACTTCCATCGCAGCTGCGCGCCATGGGCGTGACAGATAAAGGTTTTGGCGGGAAAGACGTTGAAGAAGATTCGCGTGACGTTTCACGTGACAGTATGACCTCAGCCGAGCATTTGCAATCTAAAGTTACAAAAGCCCCTTATAAGTTCGGGTCAGGACAGTCGAGCTTACGAAAAGAAAACGATTTTGGCGGTGGTAAGATTCCGATAGGCGCCAGCAACGACGAATATCAGAGAAGCCAGCCGTTTATGAGTCGGAACGAGAAGTCGGTTGTGGGAGAGTACGTAAATTACAATAATAAAAGTGAAGATGGAAAAGGAAGTAACTTTGTCGTTGTGAACAGTAAGGGAGGGTCTTTCCGACTCTCCGTTGAGAGACGCGAGGGAAACCAGAAATACCCGAAGCACGAAGTCGTTAAGACTTCGAGAATGGAAGAAAACAGACCCTCGAGTGGTTATTACAATAGTCATGATAGCCGAGACTTGAATGACCCATCTTTGGTGGGGATTCCGCGCTCGGAGCTTAAATCAGAAAAAGAGAAGGAAGGCGTTGATGTTGCGAGGACCGTTGATTACACCCGCACGAAAGACCAAAGTTCTTACAAAGAACACGCAGGAAGGAAACCGGATTCTCGCGAACTTGCGGCAGTGGGCGACGGCAAAAAGAATAATGATCGTAATAACAACAGTACATCCATGAGCGGGTTTCCTTTCTTCAAGTATAGCGCCGGTCCGAACGGTGAACAAACAAGATACGGTGAGCGTGGCGGCGGCTCTGTGCGAGATAACAAAGTATTTGTTCCCCCGAACGCTACGATTGAAATGTACGAGAAGAGGGAACAGGAAATGGAGAAAAATGGCTTCAGGAAATCCGACATTGCCTCGGCATTTTCTAGAAACTTAGTGGAGAGTAATCGTTTGTCGAATCCAGCTGAGGAAGTTGTGAAAAGGACTGAGGAGAGGAGAAACATTCCGAAGCAAGATGATATGAAATCAAAGTTGCCCACTGGGCGATTCGAAAGCGAAAAACGGGGTGAATCAGAGGAAATTTCTGCGGATAATAGCGACGAAAGATCGAGACAGTTGTCTAGGGAATCAGCTTCTCCGGATAAAAGAGCTCAGCTTCGGTTTCAGCAGTCCTCTGATAAGGCAGTAGTGTCATCGGCGGCTGGTGATGTTCGACAGCGCCGGCTTTCCTCCCCCTTATCTGAGCAGAGGAACACCACCGCGCCATCGACCGCCTACGGAGCGTCTGTGGCGCCTGGTCCTCAAAGCAGGATTGCTGCTAATGGCGGCAGTGAAGGGGTTTCGCGAGAGTCCACAATAGAATCAGGTATGTCAGGCCTAGGAAACCAAGCAGCCACTCAGTTCCTTAGAATGGACGGCGGTGCTTTTCCCAACCCTTACTTTGCTTCAATGCTGGCGGCGCCGCAAGGTATGCCGGAAGCGCCGTTCCTGGTGCTGGATCCATCTATTTACAGCGCGATGTACCGCACACACATGATGGAGGCTGCCGCACCAGGAATGTTCCCACATGGAGCCTTAGCCGCTGACCCAGTAGCAGCATCATTTATGGTTCTTCACCCAGAGAGTTACGTTCCCGTTGGTAAGTTCAAAATTCTTACACAATCAAATTTGAGTATCTTGAAACTTCTGTCTTCTGTTGTTTCGCACAGCAGTGAGTCTGATTTTAAAAGTCAGAATCAGGGAGAAGTTTAGTTACTTAGAGTATTATGACTTTTTTCTTTGGGTTTCGGCGAGATTCTTTTGTTTATTTGTTTGCTTTGTTTGTTTACTTTTGTTCAGTTGCAGCCGAGAACGCGGCGTTTATGATGGATCCGCGATTCCATGGAATGTGGCCTCCTTGGGACGAAGCCCAGTGGCAACAGTTCTGCCAAATGATGCCAGCATATCAGCAACAACAATTAAAACAACAACAACAACAACAACAACAGCAGCAACTTCACGAACGAAGCAAACAAGAGTTGTTGTTTGGTAAACAAGCTTCTCAGTTCCCTTTTTCGGCATATCCGTTCTACTATGGCGACAAACATTTTGATCCACAGCGCAAGGTACTAAACTTCAAACTCCCATGAGTGACCGAGACAGAATTTCTCCTCACAATATCATTATAACATCAAGCAGACAAGTGATGAGAATGAGTAAAAATATCAATTAGGGGATTGTTAGTTGATCCAATACCAAATTCTCCCAACTAACATCATGGGAATTGTGTGGGAGACAGTAAGGAGAATTACTTTTGAGATCTTGGGAGTGAAAGGGTTGATGCCATGTTGCCTTTGCTTTTCTTTTTTATTGTTCACGCTCCGTAGCTTTGTCCATGCAGGATTCAAGGGTCTTCGTCTTGAGATTTTGATTAATTTTTTTGTTAAATGCCAGTCACAAAATGACCCCCTAACCCTTTGGTCCTTAGAAGTGACTAGCATCTAAATTCTCCATACAGTATCACCACTGAATCAAACATTAAGGTCATGAGAATAAAGGAAATGATCACCAACTGAAGAAGCTTTCGTTGTAAGACAAATTCTCCTTATCAGTAACATAGGAAAATATAAAGAGAGTGGAGTGGAGAATGTGGATACTAATGTTAGGGTGTCAGGGTAAACGCCTACTTTTTAATGCTTTGAACGAGCCACAGTTTGGTTAAAACGTAACTCCATTTTTTTTTGGGCTTGTTGACCCACATAGATTAAGAAGGCCTTGCTTTCAACCCATTTTAAAACTGGTTCAAACCAGACCTTCCGCTCAAAGCCAGCTGTTACAACCTCGAAATTATTGTTAAGTAGGAGCGTGGCTGTATTACCACTTTTGCTTCGTTCTAGTGAAATACAGCTTGTGTTAAGGGTTTGCCTAAGGAAACACATACTTGTTCCTTCGACAACGTTTAAGACACTCCTTTAATAACACTCGTTGTTTTATTACCCCTTGAGGATGAAAGCCAAGATGGAAAGTCTGGCAGCCAGCAGCAAAAAATTCGAGACGTAAAACAGGAACAACCCGAAAGTCAATCCAAAGAACCAGCTCCAAGACCGAAGCCTGAAATCATCGCACCTCAAGAACACGCGCCGCGCAGGCCTGCGTCCCGTGAGAGTGAAAGTCATGTGATCGGTCAGCAGCAGGAGACGTCCAATCCGCGTGAAGAGAAAAAGATTTACGACAGCCGCCAACTGAAAGAGGCCCACCAAAAGCTGACAGAGAAGTATAGAGTGGTTCAAGAGCAAATAGATGCCCAGGTAAGAGTTTCTGTAAGGGTGCTTGGTCGCCATAAAATAAAAAGTGGTTGCGGAAAGGTTAAAATTGACTTTTTTCGTATAGGAAAGCATTGCTGATCACTGTCAGAAGAAAGCGGTGAAGCGTTTGCGCATATGACTAGGATTCGCGGCCCTTTATCTAGCATTCTGGCTGTCAGAACTAAGTTGTCCTTTTGAGGCAGGTGTGATTAGAACTTTCGCAAACCTAGAGTCGAATTAGAAAAGAGGGGTGTCGGAGCGGGCCAGGGCTGGAGCCGGTTGTTATCTCATCTCTTGATAAATCATTTCCGCAGGGACAGTTCGCCAAACAAATTAAAGATTACTTATCACGCGACCCTTACGCTCATTTTCCATTTCCGCGATCTCAGTCATCGTTTCTCAGGGATTATCCAAAGGTTAACCTCACAGTTCCGGTGACTACCACTTCCTCTCGGACGCCGGAAGTAAACCGTGACAGCGCCTCTCCAAAAACCGTTTCCGCCGCCGTCACGTTGTCCAACTTGGAAAAAGGGCGCGGTGAAGAATCCCAATGGGCTGTAAGGGGCACACCCCCTATAAAGACTGACCAGAACGGCGTTTTAGACCGCGTCAAATCCCCCAGACCACACCCTTCCGCCGAGGCAGTCATAACTAAGGAAATAGGTAAGACTGTAAGACTTTGCAGTTTACTTTGCTCGTGGTTTAAGTTTTGATTTGTGAAAGGTAAGTCTTCGTGGTATAATATGAAGATGTTTACTTTTTGAGGAATTTAGTTCGGGAAGGGGGTCTGGTGATCAGTTATTGAAACCAGCCGTTGATTCTTTCATCTCCTTTTTAATCTGTAGTGGAAACTCCACGAAGATTAGAGGCGCAGCCCAACCTAGTGGGTGAGAGGATTGTTTCGCGAGAAACCCGTGAATTTTTTGCGGGACAGATTCCCTCACAGTTTCCACAAAAGTTGATGGCACATGAAACTATTTCATCTGAACGGCTTGTGAACGAGAAACCCGACCTCGATTCGGAAAGAGGGAGGTTGGAGGACTCATATAGGGCTCACGATCGTGAACTTCCTGCAAGCTACAACGAGATTACCCGCAATTTCTCCAAGGAAGACATGACAACACACCTGGAAACTCGCTTGTCGAGAAGGGAACACTCTCAAGGAGTTGACTCCTATGAGGAGATGAATTCCTTTGCCAAAACAGATTATGATCGAGGTGATAGGGGACCGTACCTGACGGAAGTTACATTTCGAGAAAGTTTGGACCCATTGGAGGATAATAAGGGAAACCTTCGAGCACTGATGACACGCGAGAAAATATCGCCTTCACGCCAACTTGATAGCGATTCTGAGTTTGAAGATGACGACTTTAACACGAAGTGTGAACTTCGAAGAATCGCTTCATCTTTTGTTCCGCTTCAAACCGACATCGAAAACAAAGAGAACTCCACGATCTTCTCGCTAAGGCCGTTCAGATCCGAAGCCGACCGGAAGAAGATCCGAGAGAATATCGATCGCCTTCGGTCCATGGCAAAACGGCGGAACAGTAAGGACCGAATTATGGTGTTTAGTCGTCGGAAAGATCTTCGGAGCCCTACGACGATTTTGAACAGTGTGACGAGTGCCATCAGTGATGTAGCGGGGGTGGAATCTGTGGAAAAAGAAATGCGGATGAAATTAGCAGAGTTACAAAAGAAATACAGGGAAAAAATGAGAGAACTTGCCCGACTGCAACCCAAGTATGGGTATGTATATTGTAATGGATGAATCCGCCATATAGGCCTTATTTCAAAGATAATTCCGTCAGAACATTTTTTACCCAGCCCTTTATCTCTAAAGGTTTTCTCATCAATTCTCCGTTTTAACTGTGATTCAGTTCTGTAGTAAATCAGTTGCAAGCCTCGTATTGAGAATTCGTTTTTATTTCAGTAAATCGCCAGCTGGCTGATAGGTTTTTTTCTATTCTAAACGCCTGTTTTCGGGTGATGTATCGGTGTTGTAGAGATAAAAACCGTTTAAATCCTGTCTGGGATTGAAAAAGGGATAATCTTTATTTGGATTTTATCGTCTTTTCGATGAAAATGATCCTTCAAAAGCCAAGTCAACCCACACTCGGGTTAAATCGCCACGAGCTTTGAGTTTGCTTCACTAGATTTGTTGAACAACCAGCGCACAATGACTATAATTTGTGTGACATTGCGTGACAAAAAGTGCTTCTGTAAGACTAGAGTTACTCAGTGCCACGCTCACTATCGACTGATTACGCACTGACCGTCTTCATTGCCTTTCCGCCAGCCTCTTTGCATTGCACTTGAACTGTTTACCTTCATTACAGGGCAGAAGATGGCAAATCGACCCCAATTAAAAGAGGCCCTGGAAGACCCCGGAAACGGAAGTACTTCGGCGCAGGTTCCAAAGGAGATAAGTTGTCCCCAGTACCCACAGGTGGATACAACAAAGAAGGCGAAGAGCACCAATCAGTCATTGAGGCCCACTCCCCCGATAACGCTTGCCCAAGTGACACGGAGAGCCTGGTGTCTAAGGAAAGCGAGCCTCCTAAGAAGAAGAAGAAAAAAACTAAACAGAAGAGTTCGGCAGAACGGGACGGTCGCGGGTCAGCGCCACCTTCCCGCGGGTTAAGCCCAACAGAGTTTCCCGTAAGTCAGATTATGTTTTTATAGTTGTTTTTTCTTTTTTCGCAAATTTAATTTTTTTCCGTTTTTTTTTTGTTTTCGTTTTTGTTTCAGGATTTTCCGGCACCTACTGGAAAGAAAAAGAAATCTCGCAAGCCAGCTGCTGCGGATGAAGAGGTAAGGCAATGAATGCCGCTCTCTGCATTGAAAAAAGATGTTTAGCATTATCGTCACAGCCTGTTCCAGACATTCAGGCGGTAAAATTAAGCGCGATGTAACTGCTTGGCCGTGGAAGGTCTGGGTGCGAGACTAGTTTACACGACCTGATCCAAACCTCCTTCATTTTCGCCTCGCTGTCATATTTCGCTCCGTTTAACCAACTGATCGCCTGGGACAGAGTCGCCTTGTGATGATTCGAATCCAGGCGCTCTTTCAAATTTAGCAGTTTCACGCTCTACAAAGTGAGCTTCAAAGAAGTTGAGGCTGAACTAGACTATGTAAGTGGTTCCTATATGATAGGCTTTGTGTGTAATGCTAAGATCAGCGAAATAAGGACTACAAATTTCTACTAAACCGCAGTAAGGATAAAGTGGATTTTATACTTCCTTACAGCCTGACCTAATGCTTCCCAAGAACAAGTCTGCTAACCTGAAGAAGAAAGAATCTGGAGCAGGGAAGCGACGTAAAGGATCGCCAACGAACGATACCGTCAACCAAAAGAGTGTTTCACAACTATCAAACGGTAAATTGCGTTCTTTTTGCCTACTCCTTTGTTTTTGCCTTTTGTGCTCGAGACTTGTGTGGCACCACCCTTAGTAAGAAATTCCATCTGATGAAGTGGCTTGCGTGAGATTCTGGAGCATTATGGGTGGCTGTTATTGGTGCACGAGTATCAGCCAAACTGAGAGAACACACGATTCTTACTCGAGCACATCAGTTTGCACTTTTTCTGGCGTTTGTCTCAAAAAAGATTACTTCTGGATGAATCTCTCATTTTTTATTTAAAAAATAAACCTTTCATTTTTCGTAGCTGCTGGTGTACCCTCCCCCAAAGAACTTGACCATAGCGCCGATTTTACAGAACCAAAGACTCTAACCAAAAACACGAAGGCCAAGAAACCAAAGCCGAAGAAACGAGCGAGACCGAAGCTTACCATCGAGACTCCCGAAGTCTACGAAGACGATCGAACTGAAGAGGAGTTACCGCCCGACAGTGCGGACACACCGTGCGAAACTCCGGGTGGTCCTTCACCGAACAAGGGCAAGAAGAGCAGGGGTGCAAAAAAGAAACGAAAATCTACCATAACTACTCCTCCCAAAACAAAATTTGAGTTCCCGGATGTGACGTCACAAGATGAAAGCTTCTCCGAGAATAGTAGTGTATCTCCAAACGATATTGCGAAAGAAGTTGCTGCCATAGCCGCCAGGAAGCAGTTGGAAACAGCACAGAAGAACAACAAGGAGGCGTCTAGTGATGTTGATGACGAAGTTTTTGCGTCAAATCACGATGAACGGGACGGTTTGAGTTTGCTGGCGTTTGCAAGCGTCGATAAAACGGCGAAAAGAAGACGATCTGACGCTCCGTCTCCTTCTGAAGACTCGTCGCTAAAGAAGAGAGGAAGGCCTAAGAAGCCTTCTGAGTCACCGACCTTCGATTCAGGTAAAGGTGGCTACAAATTTAACCGCCAGCTTCCTCACATTGGTATGCATATTCAACATACTACATTTGTGATGGCACCGACAAGGAGAATTTGTCAAAAAATATATATTCTCGTACCTCTTTTATTCATAAGTCTCCATAAAACGAACAAAACCAGGAGTGAGAAAAAAAATTGTAAATAAACGGGTTAAGTAGCAAACAAAGACTTAATAGTTTAATTTTGATGCCCACGCACTCTACCTTTTGGCCTCAAAGCAAGTCTCGTTCGTGATGAACTCCCATAATTGAACTAAATTGATTTTACAATGTCGCTTGGTGGAGTTTATCTTACGTTGTAAGCGATTTGTCAAGTCGCATCACTCCCTTAGTCAGGGCTCCTATTGATCGCTGGCTGCCTTCGAGCGCCTGGAACGACCACTCTGAGCCGGCTGTAAGATTTAATAAAGGCGTCTCTGTGTCGGACGGAACTCTGCTCTTGCATTAACAGTTATTTTACGGTTTTGTTTCAGAAGCTCCTGTAACGCCGAAGAAAAAGAAAAAGAAGAAGATAGCAGTTGATCAGGTGACGTGTATTTTCTTGACTAACTGCCTTGTATTCCTTTAACCCTTCATACGTTAACTTCAGTATCCATATTCTCCATACTGCTCTCATACATATCCTTAGGTGTTGACAAGGAGAATTTGTTTAACAATCGAGAGCTTTTCTAATTGGTGATCATTTCCTTCATTCTCGTGACCCTAATGTTTAAATCAGGGGTGATATTGTAAGGAGAAATTAGCAAGCTATCAGTTCTCCTCTCACTTCAGCAAGAACTCTTGTTATCGCGAACAAGGACGTTTGTTGTTGATCTCTGTGATTGTTATTGTCCAGTAGCTCTTTCATCAAGGTTATGTGACCATTTACCCTCTAACATTGATTAGGATCTAATTTCTCCCATCGACATCACCCCCGAATCAAGGTGATGGAGATCACGAGAATTAAAAAATAGATCACCAGCTGAAGGAGCTTTCGTTGTAAACCTGTTGTTAGACAAATTCTCCTGGTCAGCACCCTAGGAAATGTATTGAGAACAGTATGGAGAATATGCATACTGATGTTTGAATGTAAAGGGTTAAGCTGTAGATTTATTGGGTAGGCGTCGTAGCTTTCGCTCGTTGTTTGCATGTTTTGGATTTATTCGAATTTAATTCTCCTGTTTCTCAGATTTGTTTTGATTCTCGCCTTGCACGATTAGGATGTGTTGGTTTCTAGGTTCTTATTTGAAGGGAATTGGGAAATATTTGTGGCTTTAGTAATCCATTACTTGGCTTAGTTATTGTGTTAAGTTCTTGGGCGTAGCTCTCTCCTCTTACAGTGTCTCTCTCTATCCAGGAGTGTCAATGAGTTTAGGGGAATTATCTGGTGAACTGTTAGGGGTAACAGTGCGATAGACTAGCATCCCCCCCATGCAAGGGGTAGTAGTAATATTCCAGGTCGCTTCACGCTATGGAAGCTGGCATAAGCTCTGGCTGGGTGGGACACTAAGCTTGTTTATAGATTTCTTTTTATGCTCATTTAAAATTTTGAGTCCACATTTGTCTCATTTGCTAACGGCCTCTTTTAGGTCCATCGTTTCACCTTTCAGTTTTAATAATTCTTTAAACTGTTGTGATGTCATTTAGGAATCCACAAAAGAGCTTAAAAAGAAAAAGAAGAAGAAGAAGAAAGATACTTTGCCAAAAGAGGAAAGCTTCGAAGAGAAACTTGAAGAACAGCCTCAAGATGAACAAATTGAATCCTACGAACCACAGGACGAGTTTGAGAAGAAGCTGCCAGAATCTTCCTCGGCGGCCATGGACAGTGAGCAGGATGAAGAAGTGTTCGGATCGACCACCGAAATAAGCAAAGAAGCTAGGACAGCCATGCTGGACTCCAGTCCCCCCAGGGAAGGCGATGACGTCAAAGGAAGCACACCACCGTTTGTCAGCGACAGTTGGCAGCCGAGAAGGAGTGAGAGAATTTTTATCAACAGCAGCGTGACCACCAACTCTAGTTCCAGTCCTTTATCACCCGTTGGAAAAGGAAGTGAGTTTTCCTACGCAAAGAAAGTGAAGAAAACGTCTGGAATTAAAGGAGTAAGTAACCGATGCGGATTTAGCTTTCAGTGTTGGGCTTGGGAGCTTTTTTTGTTTGTTTGTTTTTTGTTAATTAGTTTTTCGGGATCGCTCTCAACCAAACTTGGAGAAATTATTTTCACTAATATCTAAGTGTCCATCTTTTGATCCTTTAGAAAACCAGCCGGTCAGGATCTCAGGGCGAGGAGGAACTGGGAGAGAACGACGTCACACAAAAATCGAAGACCAAGACGAAAAAGAAGAAAGGGCCTGGGAAAGGCAAGAAACGGAGTTCTTCAATGACAGCCGACTTTGAAGATTACGAACCTCTGAAAGTATCCAGGAGAGCGCGCTCCAAGGCGAGGCAAACGGTAAAATACTCGATCCCCTCTTCATTGTGTGTAATACTTTACTAATACTAATTTGGCTCGTTTTCTTTCTTCGGAACTACCTTTGGGATTTATTGTAATTTTTGCTTTCTAACTCTCGACGGGAGAGCTTTCCTTTCTTCGTGAGTGTTAAATCTTTCCTCTGAGTTCTGTGTTGACTTGTTATCTCAATCTTCGCTGAACTCGAGTTTCAGGATAGCACGGGTTTTGATTACTTTTTCTGTAAGCGACTTCCGATGGGGAGATAGGCGGCTTTGCCGTAAGGCGAAACCCAAACATGAGAGGCTGCTCGCAGGCTCAACAGACGATGGTAAGAGGTCCCTAAGGTGACGGTAGACCGCTGGTAACTGGCTTTGTATAAACTCTAGGGATGGGCCGTGTTAAGGTCTAGTTCCTGGGCGTGGACTCAAGTCAGTGTAGCACCTCAGTGTTACCCTGGATGTCTTTAACTTTCATGGTGTCCCAAGGCTTCAACCCTTTCTCGGTGCAAGACTTTTAAGTACACTTGGGACATCTAGAATCTCTGGTATCCTAAGGAGATTTGAGAAAATGCGACTGAATTTCACTTACTATTCGTTTCCTATTGTTTGTGGAAAGGGCTTTTCTGAACAGTCTCGATTTTTTCTTACAGTACGATTTCGATGACGGTGACGAGGAGGAGGGTGATGATCTTCCAGAAGATGAGGAAACACAGGAGGAAGGTGAAACTGACATAGAGATCAGCGTGACTGACAAGGTGTCAACGGAAGAGAGAGCTGACAGTCTGCAGGTTGCCCATGTCGAAAACGCAGGGGACGGGAAGCCAAAAGTACAAGAGGAAAGAATGGAAACGGATGAGAACAACGATGACGAATTAGATGCGGAGATGAAAGAAGACCAAGAGGCTGAAGAGGGGAATTCTTGGAAGGAAAATAAACATGGCGAAGTTGTCGACAAGACCGAAGAGAAAGAGAGAGTTGAGGTTAGTAGAAACGTTGCAGATGTCGTCAAATCTTTGTAAATTCAGCTGGCTGGTGTTTTAATGAATAGGAGGGCGTTTTCCAGAATTTAGTATCAGTTTTTGTCAAAATGACAGCTGATGATGAGCATTTCTTTAAGTACCCAAGGCTTTACTTAACTATCCTATGAAATAATGAGAAAAACTCTCCAGAATGAGTTCGTGAAAAGCAAACAAATGATTGGAGAGAAATTCACGTCACATGTAATGCGTACTACATTGTCACCATCGTAAGAAACTTCTTCGATCGTGAAAAAAAACCAGTTATAATTTCATTTTTCGGCGCTGTCATTTGGCATTTGATTGTATAGAGAGAGCGCTTTTCGATTGAGCGTCATAAAACCAAAATCAGAGTTATCGCAACAGCCAATCAAAAGAATGGAAAATACCTATAGAAACCAATGAGAAGCCAAACAAGAACCCAAGCCAACTGCCCAAAGCGCGGGAAAACGCGGGTTACCAAGTCGTAATTGTTTTGAGTCAGTTTTGCATCTGATTCGCTGAGAAAGTGGTGCGAGTATTTCTTGGACCAATCAAACGGCGAAGAAAAGTATAACCAATACAATCCCGGATTGTTTTTGAATCTTAATTGAGAAGGGTTCTAAAATGCAATATTAGTAAACGTTCGATTCACGTCAGTCGTGGCAGTTGTACCTTAAGCGGATGTCTCAGTTTGAAGTCATTTCTTTTACTTGATATCTTATACAGGAAGTGGTCAAGGATAACGAAGACAAGGAATTGGAAGAAACCACTCTTCTCGAACGGCCCATATTACCAGGTTTGTTGCTTGATATTTATCGTTTGTTTTTTAATTCTGAGTTTGACGATGATGGAGTTGCTTTTTATCTTTAACAAAAAACCTAATGAAACCGAACTTGTGATATCAAGCTCTTGAATAATCTACGATGTGATATACTTCACACAGAAACTGCATAGACGTATCAGCTTAGTTTCTAAAGAAATTTATGCGGAAGTTTAAATCTTTCTTACTTTCTTTCTTTCTTTCCCATCGTAGCTGACGAGCGTTTCACGTTTTTGGTCGACGAATTAGTAGAAGGAACGAAGTTGTTACTTCCTGTGGACTTTAAGTTCTATCCCGGACGCATTAGTACTTTCAACGAACCTGACTTGTAAGTATGACATGATTTGGAATGTTTTGGACGTCAATTCTTCGTAGCCTCTTCTTCGTGCACTCTCGTCCATTTCACGAGAGTCCTTGGGAAATCATCAGGAGTTTCTGGAAATTGGCGTATAATTGTCGGCAAATGTCTGAAGTCGAGATATCTTCGGTCATTTTCAGAGGTCATGGAACGTCTTCAGGGAATCAGGGCAAATTGAAGAGAAAGAAAATGTAGGCTCAAGACTTAAAAGATGTTGCCAAACTGAGGAGGATAGAACTTAGCTAGGAACAACACTCTGAGAATTTTTATCTTGAATCCTAACCTTAGCTCCGGACGATGTAGCAGAAAGGGTTAAAAAAAAAGATCCTAAACTGACGGTATCGTTGTATTTTCAGATTCGGAGTAATTCTTGATGGTGAAAGGGGCAGAAGACCTCACTGGAGATCAACGGAACAACTCCTTCTAGAGGCGGTAAGGATGTAGAATAATCACTGTGAATCATGCTTTAATCTGTGGAAAGATTCCCTCTTAAAGTGACTTCCGTTGACGAAGAACGGTTTCTGGCGTCCAATATGCGTAAGGTGTCCATGATGTAACGAGCTTTGGATTGTCCCCCATGTTTCCCCGTGAAACCCTACACTTCTTTTCGGTTTTGGTTGGGATGATTTATCCCTTATCTTTAGTAGCGCGGTATCAATGATTACGGGATTTCCGCAAGGCGATAGTTAACCTTACCCCCATGATTGGCCAAGACAGAATTTCTCCTCATAATATAAATGCAACATCAAGCAGACAAACGATGAGAATAAAGAAAAATATCAATTAGGGGATTTTAAGTTGACCCAATACCAAATTCACAGAACTAACATTATAAGAATTGTATGGTAGACAGTAACGTAATTGTCTAGTGAGATCTGGAGGTGAAAGGGTCACGTGACCTTTGACTCCTCTCGTAACAGGTCAAGGACATTCAACCACCCGGCGCTGAGTTTCTGTCCATTGGCACCCGAGTATGTGCTCACTGGAGTCCGCAGTATCGCTGCTTCTATCCTGGAACTGTCACCGAAGGTAATTGACTCACTCAGAGACTTTTTAAAAACGCACGTAGTGAATTTTAGGTTAGCGTTGTTTCATATCTAAAAAAACTTGAACTGTTTCAGCTTAAAAAAAGCTGAGGACGTCTGAATTTACCCGGCATCGAAAAGCGTGCTTCGCAAATCGAACACCTAGCACAAAAACATCCCTCTTAGATGAAGATATCATTAAGATAATCAATTTGTATCAAAAGTTTTTCGGTTCACCTCCCGCTCACTTTTGTCTGTTTGTTGTTGTTCAGCTCCACCAGATGAGAAGGAAGTGGATGGTAAAATCTGGATTGAATTCGACGATGGGGACAGTGGTTTCTTTCAGTTGAATGAAATTAAAATGATACGTTCTGATTTTCCTGTTGAAGGTGAGGTCGACCTTCCGATCTTTTAGTTAAATAGAATGTACTCCCTTTTATATCTAGCCATTGCTTTGCTTCCTTCAGAAGTGGTTCCTGCTCCCCCTCAGCCAGAGAAGAGGCCTCGATCCAGTTCCCTGGGAGCAGCCCAGGCCATGGCATTAAAAGATACCTCTTCCAGAAGGCTGAAAGCTGAAGAGAATACTTCTGAGTTTTCATCTGGGAACGAAAGTTCAGGTGAGGTGTATGCGAAGCGACGGAGATTGAGAGGAAAACGAAAGAGTAAAGATGATTCGTGGCTTGTTTCAAAACGTTCAGAAAACAACGCTGTCGCCAAGGAAAGTGGTGCAACTAGAGGAGGCTCGTTTAAAGGAAGAACGAAAGATCTCGAAAAGTCTGACTCTGAGATCGTTGGGTCCGCTTCAAAAGTGAAAGATAACAGCCAAAGTGGAGGAGACTCTAAAGAGAGTAAAGTTGCGGATGCATTAAAACAGAAGGTAAATAGAACGCGCGGAAAAACAGAAACGAAAGGGGAGAGTAAGGAAGCGGCCAAAACTGCGGAGAGCACCAAAAACGACTTAGCAAGCGTTGCCTCGGCGGAACTGAAGGAATCAGAGAAAGAGATACACTCGAGCCACTCTTCTCTCAAAGCGGAGGGATATGAAAATAACACCAAACAGTCAGCTGATAAAATGGCAGATAACACAGCGGAGTCTTCTGATCAAGGTGAGGACAGCGAGGCTGCATCGGATGCAGAAACTTCCAAACAAGAAAAGGGATCTCGCGCTGGAGCCAAAGGCTCTTCAAGGACCTCTGAAATGGACCTCAGAAAGAGGTCCCTTAATTTGAGCCTTAACAGCTCGTTCCGCTCTTCACGGACTGAAGGGGAAAGCCCGACGCGTGATGCTCTGCTCACATCACAAGACGAGGATAGTGAATCTTACAGTGACACGTTCGATGAGAGTCCCCTAGTGGAAAATAAACCTTTTCAGGTGAGCAAACCACGGCTTATTCCCTGTATGGAGCTAAAAAATCCATCTTTAAACCTTTTGAGAGAGTTCTTTCCTCTAAGAGCTAGAAGTAGCCACCTCTATCAACCTCTTTCTCGCCGCACGCAATTGCTTCACAGCACTCTGTGAACGCGCTCTGTGAAAACTGACACCACCTTCTTAGCCAATCAAACGAAAACCAAAACCAATCGAGAGTTGATCCTTAACCCTTTACATCCTAAGATCAGTATTCAGTTTCTCCTTACTGTTCTCTGGACATTAACCAATGTGTTGACAAGGAGAATTTGTCTAACAATCAAGAATTTCTTTAGTTTGTGATCATTTCCCTTATTCTCATGACATTCATGTTTGATTCAGTGGTGATATTGTAAGGAGAAACTTGATGCTGGTCACTCTTAGGGGTTAAAGAGTTAATCTTCGTGCACGTAAGACCATAAGGCCGTCTCTAGGCTTCTCGTGACATTTTCATTATCTACTTTGGATTCGCCATTAGATTACTTTTGAAAGTAATCCGCAATTGCTTAGGTTCTGCTTTACGTCGATCTGAAACCAAACACGACTTGGTCACTGTTGTTTTCCCGCGCTTTAAGAAGTTTGGTTAGTTTTACTCTGCCTATCATTGGTTCTTCACGGTATTTTCCTTTCTTCCAATTGGTCGTTGTGATAACTTTGGGTTTGGTTTTACGACGCTCAATTGAAAAGCTCTCTATGTCACCTAATCGAGAAAAACTCCAAAAAAAAAATTACATTGAAAAAATATACCCGACAAGAATAACTGTTAAATAACTGGCTATTAATGTTAAAGGTTTTTTTTTTTAACTTCCTGTTGCATTTTAGCCTCGGCTTGGAAGACGACGTCGTTCGGAACTGGATCGTCTGCAAGTAGATATGAAATTTTCAGGTATTCAACATTTCAATTGTATTCAATTCACTTATATAGTCATTTATTCGTGGAAGTAAATCTTGAGAAGAAGTGGGCTAACGGTAATGTTTTTTTTTTGTCTTAGGGCCTTTGTGGCAGTGGTCGGGACGAGGTTCCCAGAACAAACGAAAAGGGAAAGGAAAGAAAACCTTCTACAAGGCCATTGCGAGAGGAGACGAAACAATTTGTGTAAGTGACACTGCTAGTCTGTTTATTTGAAGGACTGGATCAACTTTAAATTCAGCATTTGATGTTTGTCTGTTCATTCGTAGCGATTTACACCAGCGTCATATGTCTGATTAGACCTACTACTTGTTCTTCAGGTTAATGATTGTGCGGTTTTCATGTCCAACCCAACCAAGAACCTCAATCTACCGTATGTTGGCAAAATCGAAAACATGTGGGAAGGGTGTGGCGGGAACATGGTAGTCAGAGTCAAGTGGTTTTATCATCCTGAGGAAACGAAACCAGGCAGGAGACCTAATGATGGAAAAGTAAGCACTGCACTGCTATTTAACACCAGGCTGAATCTTACACGCACTTTGATAGGTTATTTTTTTTACGATTTATGGAAGGACAGAGGCATGGATGGCGTCTCAAACTTTTTACTTCTTTTACCTTACACAAAACAGATCACAGGTGACATTTTGTATTTGATTGGCTGGAAGAGTGATGCGAATTTTTTAGACCAATCACAGAGCGTAGGAGGGCAGTTTTCAACCGAGTGTCGAAAGCAACCCAGGATTACGTTGGGTTTGTTCTAGTTGGCTCTAGAAAATTCGCGCCATATTCTCAACTAATCCGATGCAATCGCGACTCGGTCTCTCTCTTTTTCCCGCGTTTTAAGTAGTTTGTCTGTTTTTGCTTTGGGTTCTCATTGTTGTTTTAAACATTTACTCTGTTTAGCCGTAGCAATATAAAAAAAAACCCCGCTCCATTCTAAAAACAGTGGATTACTCTCGACTCTCGAAAATGAAAATTATTGTTTATCCTCCCCTGTTTGCAGCAATCTTTGTACCGCTCGACCCACGTGGACGAAAATGACGTACAGACGATCTCACACAAATGTGAAGTGCTCACTCCTGAAGAATTCAAAAGACGTTCTCAGAGCCTTGATACGCCCGGTACCAGGACATCTCTGACAGATCGCGTGTTCTGCTGTATCGGCAGCTACGATCCTAACACCGAGACATTGCAGGCGGAACTGTGATGTACTGTTGTAGAATCCAGTGTGACGTTAGCCTAAGACTGTGATGTCTGGAGTGTAGCGGGATGCGGAATGCGGAATGCGTTGTGTTTTCCACGCGATGTTATCTTTCGTTGCGTTCAGAATGAAATTCTCATGCTGCGATCGGTTGTTATTCTGGTTGCTGTTGGCCAATCAGAGGCGCTCCCAATTCTCAAGAGGTAAAAGACCACGAAGCGCCAAAGCAAATTGTCTTAGTTGATGGAAAAATAGTCAGTAAAGTTAATGAACAAATCATCACTTCTCTATCCAAGTGGTGGTAGTTATTCTGTCTTTGGTAGGGCCATCGTTTCCACTAGGTTAAAACATTCAAATGAAGACTAGAGAATGAACAGTTGTTACTGACAATAGATATTGGATCTGCATCAAAATCGTACATCTCAAGCGAGGAGAAGAAGAAAGTGTGATAATTGCCTCGTTTACCCTTTTTAAACTTACCCTCTCATTACAGACTTAAACGACGACACTGGTGAATGTTCATCAGTCCAAAGTGGTGTTTTATTTCCTTGTGGTAATCACGTTGAGAGATATTTCTTGTTTACGCTATGACGGAACGATAAAAGCACAGCTCATAACGTCCTTAATTTAATCCTCCATCGCCTTTAAACCGGGCAATCCTCCAGCCTTAAAACTTAAAGCGAAGTGCATAAATTGTTTGCGAAGAAATCGCACGTGTTTCCTCGCGTGGGATTCTTAGAGAAGTACACGAAATTCGTGTTTTGCGTCATTTCGCTTGAAGCGATTTTATCTTGTGTTCACGCTGTCATCTTAATTCATATTAGCTCCTAATCTTGCTTATTTCCGATACGTACTCAAACGCAGACGAAATGACTAGAATTCTCCTCTCTTCTAATGGAGATTTAAATTCATATTGTGTGCAAAAAAATAACTAAAATATTTTTTTATAAGGAAAGTGTGGAGCTAGCAGCCAGCCGGCTGGTAATGTTGAATTTGTAATGTAGGTTAACTGTAAGAAAAGAGTTCATGTTTGTAAATATGTGTACAGTCCACTTCTTAAAGTATGCTTTTGTAACATAACTCCCATGCTCGTACGGCCAAATCTCTCGTTTATATTATATAGAGAAAATATAATGAATATTTAGTTTTAGAATGAAAAATAAAGTTTTAGATTTTCTAGCTTTGTTGTTGTAATTACTCCTCGGACTTGGAACAAAGAAGTTGTCAAGTTCTTAGAATCTTTGAGAGAAAAAAAGAAGTATGCGCGCTAACCCTATTCCCTTTTTCCGCCATTTGACCGATGCATAAAGATGTGTTCTGCTCTTAGCACGCATTGCTCGTTCCCGTCTGAGAGAGAGGGAGTGGGGTGGAATTATGGTCAATTATTGATTCCATATGTGTGTCAAAGGATTGTCAAAGAATGATTTAAAATTCTATACATTTTGCTGAATCTTTCGCAGCTTTTGTTTTGGCTTCCCACGAAAGCTGGCTTACCTCGCTCCCAGACCCCAGCCTCAGCCTCCTTCCTTCTCCATCCCTCTATCTCATCACGCCCCAGGTCTACTTAGTCGTCTGGTGCTTAGGCCATGGCAGTTCAAGCGACATGTCACTCATCTCTCTTCGTAGAACGTGCCCAGTCTTCCTCGTTCTTTACATCAATCTCTAAGTATCAAAAGAAAGACATCTAGCTGATCCACTTGCACACTTCATTGACTGATTTTACAGTCTTGATTTCTCTAAACTGTTCAGTGTGATTTATGATATATTAAGCATTGCAATTAAATGCGCATGATACATATCTCGTTTAACCCTTTGTCTCCATAAGAGTGGCTGGCTTCTTATTTCTCAATCTGATTGGTAAACAATTTCTCATTGTCCTTACCATAGGAAATGTAGAGAGATGACTGATAAGAATATGAATACTAGCGTTACAGTGTGTGGGAGATAATCCTCTGTCTCACTAATTCTACGTTGATAATCGCATCAGTTGTCTGCTGATTAATGTCATGATAGGTATTGCTTAATCCATTACTTGAAATGAAACACAGGTAAGATGTTAAACAGATGTAAAGAAAAAAATCACACATGTCTTTCTCGCTAAATGTAATTAAGCAAATAATTAACAGGCAATTTCTGAGCTCTATAGACCTTCATTTTCAAGATGAGGTTAGGAAGTGCATAACCTTTGTTGTGAAAATTAGTCTTTAAGCGTAAAATAGAAATATTATCGTCATTCCAGAGGCTACGCACTTGCAGTAGTTTTGATACAAAGCCTTTAGGCAATAACTGGCAAAAGAGACTGTACGCAAACTGAAACTCAGAGTACCAAAAATCAAAATTTGTATCTCTTTACTGCCTAGTCTTTTAGCTTTGATGTCTTAGCCTGCAGACCATGCATAATTTTTAGCGTTTTAAAACGAATGGAGGGAAGCGCGAGTCACACGCGAGCGAGCGGAGGAGTGCGAGAAAATTATTCCTACCCTCGCGCGTGACCTCCGTTCACCAAAAAGACTAAGAAAATTATGCCTGTTCTGCGATGAAGCTTGGTGATTAGACTCGACAAACTTCACTCTGAATTTGCGATTCCATTGAAGCTTGTGGCCATCTTAGCAACATGAAATGATTTTGAATTGGCGTTTTCAAATTACTCAGTGAGCTATTTTATGGGAAAGAATGATACTTTCTAAGCCTTCCGGGGAAAGAATATTCGATACAAGCCCTAAGAAGAACTGTAGAGACTACTTCATAAACGCTCCTTCTAACTTTAAAGATGCTTCGTATCTAGAAGGAATTCTCGACTTGACACTTCTCTTCTTCTTTCTCCGATTTGGGTTTAAGTGTATCTTAATTTCATACCAGTGATTTCGATAATCACATCTTTTATGGCGAAATTTAAAACGAATGTTTAACTGTACTAAGGAAACAGGGCCTTTTGGCCGAGAATTTTCATCTTACTATCCTATTGGAGAAGTTTGTGTGAGCTATGATATTTATAAAGTGCAAAAGAGGACGATCTTCTTCTGTACAGTATTATATTTTTGCTTAATTTTAATCTTTTATTTTCCTTCGAAAATCAGGAAGGCCTCGTACCCATTTTATATGGGAAAGGCCCTGGGAACGAGGCTGCAAACCCTTGCTTAACAAGCTAGAGTGTTAACTTACGGCGATCAAGTGTTTTCGATTTTCGTCTTTCCTCGTAGAAAGATCTCTTGATTTGAAACAATTCTTTAGTTAGGGTGTTACATGAAGGTGAAGGGAAGGTGACATGCAAAACGTCGGATTTACTAATAATAGCTGAGAAACTGGGTGTCAAGGACGGAAAAAGAAATAGGATTAATATCAGTATCTGGGCAACTGCCCACCTACCCCTCCCCTAACTCAACAGTCAATTGATGACAATTGAGGGTTAATATTGGGTTAGGGGAGGGGTAGGTGGGAAGTTGCTTAGATACTGATATTGATCCAAAAAAGGATTCTGCTGGACAAAAGAGAGGGCCCGAGCTGGATACCCTCAGTGAAACATAGCAAAGATCCTCCTTTCTGTGAGAACTTGAAGGTAAAAATTTGTTACGTTTCAAAAAGCGCTTTGCTCCCACGCCCTTCCGTTGACTTCACCCAGTTCAACTATTTCCACGAGAATCTGCTTTCATTCCAAACAGCCATTGAGTACACTGTCCGTATATTCTCGGGTGGAGTTAATTCCTTGCAAGTTTGGCCTGGCTTACTATTGTTATTACCAGGAAATGACCCGACGTAATTTTTTAACAAGTTTTTGATCCGGAAAGATTTTTAAAGTTTTCTGGAGCCTTCGGTAACGAGCAAATTTTGTCAGCGTGCAGAGGAATGTTAGGAACGTACTCAAAGATTACCAACCACGAAGATCCGAGACAGCGATAGCGTTCGTAAATTTCTTTTTCTCCTTAGCCTTCTGGCCCCGTGCAAGGCAAAACGAGTTAAGTTACGTCCGACTGTGTGGCCTGATGGGCTGTTTGTGTCCTCTCTCTACGCTGAAATTCACTTTTACAGCGAGATTTCCTTGACATCTGTGCGGAAATTTTCGGTCTCATGCTGCAGTTGAGCTTCGTACTTCACTAGTCATTGATTCAGTGATGTACGGTGTTCTCCAACAGCCGGTGAAGAGACCAGGAAAACCAACACCTTTGAATTTCTAAGCTTCATTTTTACTACAATTGCCTGTAAATAGCTTTAAAAAAGAGGAACGGGATTGACATGGAACAAGATCCAAAGGCTGCAAAAACTTCATTTTCCGGGACAAGGTCCCTGTTATTTTGGTGTCGACAACAGACAGAGAGTTACAACGATGTGAATGTGTTTAACATGTCGACTTCATGGCGGGATGGTTTGGCGTTCTGTGCGATTATCCACCGTTACAGGCCGGATTTGATGTAAGCCTAGAGCTTGTAATTGTTAGATGGAAAAATCCTACTGGTCATGGATTTAGGTGCATTCTGTTTGTTACTGACCGGCCAATTGACTCAAGTTGATATGTTTGTCCCGATGAAATGCATTATTGTTTTATTGTTTAACTGAAAATGTTTTTTTTTTAATTACAGAGAGTTCGACAGGCTGTCCAAAGAGAACATTATGGAAAACAATGAGCTTGTAAGTTGTATAATCGTGGGAGGAAACTAAGACAGTCTCTTAGCATCGCTGAAAATAGATTTTTCATGGTACATTGACACTTGTTAAAATTCATGCTCTTGTGTTTCAATTATTTTCCCTTAATGGTGTCATAACAATTAGAATAGATGCTAGAAACAGAGATAAGAAAATGTGCGCTTTATTGAAAAGCTAAACAAATATTGTTGTCAGAGATTTATGTGTCTAATTTCCGGTCGCGGCCTTGCAAAGCGTATAATTTTGACATTCTTGCAGCGAGGTACTAATTTGTCGTGAGGACCTTTTGTTTATAATACACAGACGGTTGGGTTTCATCCTTAGTCATGTCGTTAGCATTGTTCATGAGATCGGAAGGCGTCACGTTATTGAATACATTTTATTTCGCGAGAGAATTGTTGAGTGTTGATATATAGTTGCAAAAATATTTGCACACAGCATCTTTTTGCGTGACGCTTCGGAATGCAAATGTGATCTCTCACTTCCCGGCAGGGTTCTTTAAATTTCTTTATTTTCCGATCGAATTCAATGAAATTTTTAACGTGAAAGAGTTGGTGTTTTGGCCGTAGGCGTTTGAGCTGCTGGATGTTTGCGCTTTTTGTTTAGATTTTAAGTTATAAAACGTCAGTAGCAATATTGTCGTTCACAAACGAACTCTCAAATCCAACCTTCTTAACCCTTTCAGACATAACAGATTCTATTTTAACAAAGACCTGGAATTTTGCCAGCGGCTCTTTTAATTTCAAGAGACGATCCAGTTCTTATACTTAATGGGATTCCGTGTCAGGTTTTCAGCTTTAAATGTAATTTACGTGTTATTTTAACCTGAGATAGGGATCATCGTGTATATTGGGTTATCTTCTCAACATATTAACAGCCTCTGCCACATCTCAAAGTTTTTTTTATCGCAAATGCCTGCTTTGAATTCCTTCAAATAATTTACTGGAGTGGGTACAGCAATCTGCTTTCAGGATTAATGGTTGCATTCAACTGTGACACAATATTGGCTAGCAATATTATAGCTTGGATCTCATCCAAAGTTGAACTTCTGTTAAGCTCAATGTGATCACAGAATTAAGTTAATCAAAGAGTCAACTCCATTAATTAATGATTAATTTTAACAGGTTATGATTTGGGTCATGGCCACCTCTTTTGTTTTTGTTGCACAAACTTGATGCAGTATTCCTCGCAAATTGCTATAGAACAATATCCAAATAGATCATTTTGATATAGGGTTACAATGTTGAAATAGCATCACAGCTGTGAAGTCTCACACATTGAGTGTGAGGCTTACGCTAATAAATCCAGTCTCAGGCTCTCACGCTAAAATTACTTGTTCTCACACAAGTAAGATTTCTGATTTAAACTGTTGATTTTGAGATAGCAAAGTGCTGCTTTAGTTAAGTACCCATACAATTATCTTTTTAGATATAATCTACTCCTTTAACCCTTTGTTCTTTGAACACATCCCAGCAATTGGAAATCCTTGTGCAGGGCATCCGTTTCACCGGTCTGTGGTTTTAATTATTAGTGCACATGCTCTCATGTTAGTTCAGGTGGTTTACATGGACTTGCTCTGCACATGCTCAGAATAAAGAAATATGTGTCATAGGAACTTCATATTTTCATAATTTTTAGTGGCAATTTGAACATTGGTATGCATATTCTCTCTTTCCCCGCCCTTTAACAGTATGATGCCTGCAGAGTAACAATTAATGGAAATGAGGTAAAAATTCTCACGCTTTGTCAGCAATTTAATTTGAGAGCTCTGCAAATGGTCTGTGGTTAAATCAAGTGGCCTAGTGATAAGGGTCTTCTACTATGGAAAAGGGGTTGTTACTGGGTTAGTCCAGTGTGAAGTTTGACTTATTTTAGGGCTGGGAGTGATTTTATAAGCAATACTTTAAATTCTTCACAGGCTTTTAGTGTGGCAGAGAAGCATTTTGGTATTCCAATTGTACTTGATGCAGGTGACATGGTAGAAAATATCATTCCAGATAAATTGAGTGTTATCACCTATGTCTCACAGCTGTACGAGTACTTCAAGAACAGAACTCCAGGTATGTAGTCTATCGATTTAAAATCTGTGCCTTATGCTTCTTAATTGTTCTTAACTCTTTAACTCTTAGAGGTGATTAACATGTAACTTCTCCCTTCAATGTCCATACATTATCCAGCAAACATGTAATGAGAATAAGACTGATAAACCCAATTTGGTAAACTACCCTGCTGCACATGAAGTCACCAATGTTTTTAGTAGTCACCATGTCAACTTGAATGATGGTAACCTGGATTGCTTAGATTGATGTCAGATTTAACACCCTAACATTGATATGCATATTCGCGATGCTGTTCCCCATTCATTTCTTAAGGTGCTGACAAGAAGAATTTGTTTGACAATCTAGAACTTCTTTAGTTGGTGATCATTTCCTCTGTTTTTGTGACCTTAATTTGCAATTCAGGGGTGATATTGTGAGAAGAAATTAGAAGCTAAGTCCTATTAGAAATGCATATGTTTTGCCATAGTCTGAGGAATGTTGATTCAAAAGAGAAGTAAAGACTAGCGCTTACATCCTCTTCTGTTAAGCACTTTTTTAGACCTTGATATGCTTTGAGGTATTGAAGTTGAAATTTTTTTTCTGTTGATTATAAGCAAACCAGGGCTATTCCACTAAGATGAATATCCAGCCAAAAACACGAAGTGAATCTACAGGTCACAAAGGCAGCAAGCGTATCTCACCATCCCATCAGATATACCTCTTGTCAGGTCATGCAAAGAGGGTTGCTACAGCCTTGCGGAATGTTTTCAAGTCTGATGCTAAAGAAGAATCAACCAAGAACAAGGAGCAGGGTCAAGGCAGTAAATATTTAAGTGTTGAACCTTTAAGGACAAGCCAGGAAACAGTAAGTGTTGATTGTAGTACATGTATTTTTTATAATTATTTGCTAGATTTATATAACAGGAATTTTTTCCCTAAGAAGGTATGCTCTCATTGGTTACTTTGCAATCTGCAAGTCTTCTTCAGGTAATGAGACCAGCTGGTTACACATCACCTTTTGAAGCATCTTGCTTTGATATGATTAGCATATCTTGATGATGAATTCCCTCAGATGAACTCTTTTACTCTACAAGGGATTAAAATTCAACTTCTCCCTAAAATACCGATATATTTTTTAGCAAACAGGCAAAGAAGATACTCAACCATATCAGGTAGAAATTGTTATATGATCTAAAACCAAATTCTTGTAATAAATTTAGGAGGAAATCAGATCTTGAAGTTAAAGGGCAATGATCATCACAGTTTAGTTAACCCCTTAACTCCCATGAGTGACCAAGACAGAATTTCTCCTTACAATATCCATACAGTATCAAGCAGATAAGTGATGAGAATAAAGAAAAATATCAATTAGAGGATTATAAGTTGATTTAATCCCAAATTCTCCCAACTAACATCACAAGAACTGTATAACAGACAGTAAGAAGAATTACTAATGAGATCTTGGGAGTTAAAGGGTTTAACAGAAAATAATAATTGATATTCCTTGTATTATTTTTTTAGAACAGAAATATTGATGAACTCATCCTAAGTGCACCAGGAAAATCACCATTGCTGGGAAATGATTGTTTTATCTGTCACAGCAGAGTGTTTCTCATGGAAAGGCTGATTGCAGAAAGGAAGCTGTTCCACAGGGCATGCTTCAGATGTGATAAATGCAAAGCCTGCCTTCGACCTGGAACATATCATTACTTTCCTAATACCCAGAAGTTCTGCTGTTTATTTGATTGCCCAGGAGGTACTGAAATTACAATTTTACTACCAAAATAATTTTGATACCAAAATTCTATAACTTATGAATGAAAGCAATCAAGTTTTAATACAAAAGACTGCAGTCAGGAATACTAGTATACTCAGAAAGAAGATGTCAAGCCAACAATAGGATTCTAGTGCATAGCTTTCTACTAAAGTCTTATTTTGGAGGCTCTGGTGTAACTAAGTTGAACCTCTATCTCCTAGAAATGATTAAATAGTAAATTCTCCTTATTACATTCATACATTATCAGCAAACAGGTAATGAGAATACTCAGACTTATCAGGTAGAAGTTGTTATATTGATCTAACAACAAACACTCATAACTAATTTACAAGGCAATGTGTAGCAGCTTGAGAGGAGAGTTAAAGATCAGATTTTGGAGGATTTTAATGAACAATTTTAACATTACTTGTGTTAATTATGTTTTAGTCTTATATTCTTGCTAGTGGTCAGTTTGTTGAAGGTTTGAAGGAAAGAATATTAAGTGGGGAATACTGACTGATTTAATAACAAATTTTCATTGCTAAAATTATGAGAAATGGTTAACAGACAGTATGGAGAATTTATATTTATATTTTGTGAGTGAGAGGGTTAAGTCTGAGAGATCTCTTTCTTCTGCTTTACCCAACAGGTCAGAGGGAAAATCCCATAAAAATTAAACTAGAACCCTTAACAAATGCTGCCCAGCAAAAACAAACAGAGGAGGGTCCATCACCTGAATCTTCTCCCAATCTGTCCGATAGCAATTCTACAAAACCATCTGATAAAAGCCCACTTCAGAGACAGTTCTCAGTTGTTAAAAAGAATGCAATAACATTAGCTGCATTGCCACAGCCACTAACCCAAGGGAAACCTCATGTTATGAAAAGCCAAAAGCAGTCACACTCATCACAGCGTTATGACAGGTCACAGGCAAAGAGAATTGAGCATGGTGAGAAAAAACGGCGATCCTCTGGTGGAGGAAGACTTAGGAAAATACGTGATGGGAAAGGAAAATATTTTGACTCTGAGGAACTGGGTGATCAGGGAAATTCCTCCTGGTCACCAGAAAACAAAAGACGAGCTCCTGATATTAGTTTAGTTGATGATGAAAGTGATAGTGTTAAAAATAGCAGTAATGAAGTGGTAAGCAAGACCTTGAGTGTGAAGGTACCAGATGATAGTTCAGGAATTTCATTACCAAAGTCTCTTTTTGTATCTGAAGAACAGCAAGAGGAGGAGGAAAAACTTAAACAGAAACCTGATGATCAAAGGTCTACAAAAGAGCTAGAATCACCTTCTGTGAATCTTCTTTTTTCTTTTAAAGAGGAATTACTGAAGAGGGCAACAGAAGGTAAAATGGATAATGATGATGATAAGGTAGCGAAGGAAGGTGATACTGATTGTGTTACACCAGAATTTTCAAATCAGGAACCCAAGACAAAATTAGGAAACAGCAAAACTGGAGACAGTGATTCATTGGAAAATGAATCTGATAGTCATGTCAGGAACTCAAAAGAAGACAACTTGGAGAAGCCAGATAATCAGCATAAATGTTCAGATTCTAGTGTCCAAAGTGATTCAACTAAGTCAACAAAATCAGTGTCATCAGGGAAGACAAGTGTTTCTGAAGAGTCTGAGCCTTCAACAGCTGCCAAGGGTGTACAAAGACTGCGGGAAAAGTTTCTGAACATTAATGACATGATTGATGAAAAACACAAGAATAACTTGGCAAAGAAAAGTGTTGAAATTCAGAGAGAACTAAGGTGCGTCTCTGCTTGGAAACAACAGACAGAATCTCATCAAGTTACATCAAGGAAACATTCAATAAGCTCTGGAAAGGCAGCTGAGGTAAAGAAACCAAGCTTTGGTACAAGTCGGCGGAGTGTTAAGGAATTAAGAAAAATGTATATGGACAATGGAAGTAGTGAAAGAAAATCTGTTAGAGGGAAATCAGATTTAGTGCCATCAAAATCTGATAATTCCTCCACAGGAATAGAACAAAAGCCAACTATTACTGTTGCAGAAAAAAAAGCTGATTTCCCTTCAAGTGAATCCAAGGAAAAATCTGATTCTTCTGAGCTTGGAAATGAAGAAAGTACAGAACAAGCTGATGATCATACAACTGGGTCTAAGGACAACAATAATTCATCTGACTCTAGGGATACTGAATTTGTTACCTTACCTGATACTTCTACAGATAGATTGCAAAGTATAGATGTAAATGACAACATAGTAATAATAAATGTTGATCACACGCAACAAGATGAAAGTGTTTCAAGTGACAGTCAAATTAGTGGAGGGCCACCTTCTACAGAAAACAATTATTCGGAGACTGAGAGAGAGAAGTCTGACCAGGTGTCAAGTGAGGTTCCATCACTTCAAGTTGAACCTGCTAGTCCTCATTCTCCTAATCATGAACAAAATTCTCCAGGGTTAAAAAGACATTCAGCATCCCATGACAGTGGTATTGATATGCCTTTATATACACAAAGTAATTTTCAGAGGTCTCTGTCAGCTGATGACAAAATGTCTGCAAGGAATTTGAAAGTTGCAGCAGAATTTTCCTTCTCAGGAAGTGACTCATCTGTGTCACCCACTGAAAAACAACCGCCAAGAGAAAGTTTGAAAGATTTGCAAACTTCAGGTGATCCATCATCACCAGGTATTGGCTATTTGCCTGAGATTCAATGGTCCTTGCCTTTATCAAGTGAACACAGAGCATCTTTTAGTGACTCTAGTTCATCATGCAGCTCACCTAGAATGTCCATCATCATAGCTCAGGAAGCAGCTACCACCAAAATTAACAGCAGATTTTTCACTGTTGAAACCATGGAACCCTGGGACTTGGAATATCATAGGATTGCAGAGGAGCATCAATGTGTCATGGAAGTTGAGGGAGAATTCTGCTTTGGTAGAGAAAATAGTAAAACCAGCAGAGCAGAAAGAGATGCAATTTTCTCATTGCGGGGTGCTAAGAATCATGACTGTAACAGTACTGATCTGATTAAGGAGGAAGAAATAACACTTTCTCCTGCAGAGATTGATACTGAATTACAGTCTTTGGAGGCATTACACAGAGAGCTGGAAAGACGGGGAGTAAAAATTGAACACAACTTGAGGGAAAGTATGGACTGTAAGTATGCAATTGTTTCTCCAGCTTGGGTTATACACAAGTGCAGAATTTTAAACACCTTACTTCACAATTAAATCATGAAGAAAGATAGTTTAAAAATACTGTCTTAATTAAGCTCTATGTGCATGTAATCCTTGTGCAGAAAATTTTGATAGTTGAGATTTTGAACAATATTTTCAAACTATCTCTATAGCTGAAAGACCCTTCAATGATTGTGAGGAAGAACTTCTGAGGGAATGGCTCAGTGTGGTTCATGAAAGGAATGTGATTATGAGGAGAGAGTCAGAACTGATATACCTGTAAGTAACCTTTACAAATTGTACTGTCTCATTCTGTACTATGCAAAACAGAGTTTCTGTTGTTAGTCTTTGAATAACAAATTCTAGGCGGTGATGGGATCATCTTTGCTCTTCTATTCAATATTCTTCCATACCAGCCTTTTAAGAAATAGGAATCATGTAAGTTAAATAGGTTTATGTGATTATGCCTCTTGCCTGGATAAAGGGAAATGATTCAAGTAAAGTACAGGAGTACTGGACTTTAGAACTCTGTTGATATTGCAACTGATACGGATTTCAGCTGGTAGATTGATAGTTAAAAAAAGGTGTTTTTCACTGATAAACTACTTACAGTAAAGTGAATATAGGGGCTAAGTCTCTAAAGAAACTGTGGTGCTGTGTCGGTGGGAGAGTATAACAGGGTAATTTACTACAAACAACTGAGTTGAAAACGTAAATTGGCCACCGTACAGAGTTAAAAGGCTGAATGTTTCAAATGTTAGCCTTTTATTCTTTACAGGGGCCAATTTACATTTTCAACTCAGTTGTTAACATTAATTACCTGCTACTTACAGTAAAGTCATGGAAATCCTCAATAGAGATACTGAAGTATAATAGCTTGGTCTGAGTTTCCATTTAGTTTCTGTTTTTGCTAATTATCAGTTGATAGAGAACTCACATTTAAGTGTATTGAGATACATGAAAGACATGGTGCATAGTGATGATCAAAGGAGTATTTCTACTTAGACTCTCCAATAAATTAATGACTTGAAGTTTGGAGAATTCGTACAAAGTATCAATGGCTTTCTTCCCTTGTGTCCTTTTTAGGTTGCAGTCCCATAATTATGAAGAAAGATATCGCACAGTGGAAGGAGAACTTAGGAAATTGGTGGCCATGAGAGGTGAGGGGTTAAGCCTTTTGTGAGCATCAGAGGTAATAGATAGAGCACATTTCCATCGAGTGTCACAAAACCAAAACCAGAGTAGAGACACACTCAGTACACTAACTTTTAACAGCATCCCTCAAATAGAGAGGTGAGGCTTGTGGTAAAAGGGAGGGAAGGGTGGTAACTTTGGAGCAAATGTAATGTAAAAGTCCAATTTTGTTTCATCAATAGATGAAGTGAAATCTACTGATGATATGAAGAGAGAGAGAGTATTACTGTCTGAGTTGCTAGAGTTAGTGCAGAAGAGAAGCTTCATTGTTGACAGCTTGGAGGAAGAAAGAGTAAGGTATTTACTTGTCTTTCTGTTTATTAGCTGTTGGATACTATTTGGGCATCGTTTTGAACCAGTGAGATGGTTCTTTAAAAGAGATTGTAAATGTAGGAGTCATCAGATTATAAGTGGACGGATGCAATGGGGAGATTTTCTCAATTAATGTCTGGGCTTTTGGTGGTATTCACTAGATAATTTTGTATCTTTTATGCCACTTTCCAACTGAAAAAATTGTACATCCTTTTGCAAGCCATTGCAGTTATTTACCCCATTAGTCAGACTATTTTGAAGTTTCAAACACCATCTCCTTGGTTTTCAGATGAAACACAAGACATCTCTTAGGAGTATGCATTTTAGTCACTTGTGGAACAAATGATTTTGTTTTCAAGGATGCACACTTATCCTAGAGTGTAAACAGAGGGTTTTGGAGTCTCTGTGATGGTCTATTTTCATACATCATTGCACTAATTTCTCTTTCCCCACTAGAAGAGTGAAAAATTGATGTAGTGCAAATTAATGGCTAGGAGTTAATTTGAGTTGTGTGAGCATATCTTGAAAATTATTTTACAGGGAAATCCACGAGGATGAAAAAGTAGAGCGAGCATTGACCAATGGTGAGTACAACTTTCAGAGGATGGTGTTGATGTTGTACATGGTTGTATAGTCCCACTTACACGTATATTGTACTTGAAAAAGCTTACTTTATTTGTGTTTATTGATATATTACACATAGTAAATGGTTTGAACGCAGAGGTAACATGTAATAGTGTTATTTGATCATCCGGGTGAGTGAAGTCCTGAGAAAGACTGGTGTTGGTAGTGGTGACTATTTGTGACTATTTGTGTTCAGTCAGTCTAGTTGTGTTCAGTCAGTCTAGTTGCGAGGTTTCTGCTTGTTGTGATAGAGACCAGTATCTAGTTAGCATGTTAACAAAGTCATTTGCATTTGAAAAGCAGGGTTTGTATCATCTCAAGGATGTGGGATTCCTGTTCAAAGGCAGTCAGAGCAACTGTAAAATGGACTATTGATCTTATACACTGCTGATTGGTTAGGTGAAGTCTTTCCAACCCAGTGAAATTCTAGAACATAGCCCAGTTTACAGAGCATGAGTAGACTTTAGTTTGCTTGTTCCCTTGAGTGTAGGGCTGAACCTTTGAAAGTAACTCACTGGCAAATTTTGTTTTCTCTGTTTCCTGGGAAGTCTTTTGGTAGCCATTAACATTGCTAGGTTGAAAGAGGCATTGTGAAATTTAAGTGTCATGTCCATGATGATGATGGTGATATTATTAGATATTGTTACATTTTGTTCCAAACTGACATTTCTTTGTATTTCAAAAGGTATAGCCACAGTGCCTGAAAACAGCTGGAATCAGAGACCAGATTACACCAAAGTTGCATTTTCAAGATTTTATTGCTAGCAGCAGTAGTCTCAAGTGACAATGAATTTTCTTCAGATGCTGATTAAAATGTTTGAGCCTTTTCAAACTGTTGTGTTAACCTCTTTCAGCAGCAAGCACAATCTCAAGCAACGAACTGTAGAAATTAGCCTAACGTTTTAGACTGTTGTCAAAGATTTTAGCAGTTGTAACATCTTTCAATTTTGGTGCATTTTGTATTTTATGGAATTCTCTGATTGATAGCAGAATAATTTTGATTTCAACGGTTGGATAGTTTTGTACTTTAGACATTGACAGGGAGGTGTAGCGTCACAGTTCTCATCCTAAAATATTTTCTAGTTTCTGGTTTTCAAACTTTTTATTAGGAACAGTTGAGAAGTTGATGTTTTTTTGTCCTTTTTGGTGTGAAAGGCTTTCATGTACACTGTGGTCTATGGGGGCTACTTATTTTTATCAAACTTAAGCTGTTTTAAGAAAAAACCACTCTTAACCATTTAATCCCTGAGTAGCCAGCATCTAATTTCTCCTTATAATAATACTGGTGAATCATTCATTTAGATCATGAGAATAAAGGAAATGATCACAACCTAAGAAGCTGTGATTGGTAAATGAATTCTCCTTGTCAGTATCAAAGGAAATGTATAGAGAAGAGTAAGAAGAACATGCATACTGATGTTAGGGTGGAAACGCTTAATGATGGTCTATTTAGCCTTTAAGTAGGCCCTCATTATAAATGCTGCAAGATGCACATTTCTCTCCCCACAAGATTTGAGACAAGTCAGGGAGAGGTTTGACTCATTCTCAGTACTCAATCCCTTGAAGACCTCTTACCAGCTCCAGTTGCTGAAGGCCTCATACTTTCCTTGTGAACTTGTACTGAAACGGCCTGCTCACAGGCTATCTCCTATTTGGCCAAATTAAGTGTTTTATCTGAATATTGATTAGTGTGAACATTTCAGAGAAGGCTGGCATCTAACACTTCATAAAATAATCTAATTTTTCACTTCAAACAAACCACTTTTAAAGAAATTTGCTGGTCCATAAGTTGTTTAAACCATAGCTTGAGCCAGACTTCATTTACATGTACATCCTACAAAGTTTCGCATTACCTTTGTGGAAAGGTCAGAACATTTAATCTTGACATGAGTAGATTACTGGTTTAACCAGCATTGCTGAGCTTTGCTTGATATTTCTGTGCTTAGGATGATTATGAGATGGTTACAATATGCATTAAAAAATTATTTAGATTCTTTTTCTTTGCCTTGATGCTTTCAAGAATGTCCCATTTTAATTAATATAAATTACTTAATTTATCAAATTGAGCACTAGGCCCCTATGGTGTCTGGTACATAGCTGCTAAAGGGCCATAGTCTTTGAAAGGGTTGGTTTTACAAGCCTTAGTTAGAGCAAGACAGGATTAAATTTTTGGACTTTATCTGGCATTTAAATGTTTGGACAGCAGGCAGTGATTTTTGACACACCTCCAAATTGCATGTGTGTTCAAAAGTAACAGAAGTGTTGTGAACTTGAGGTTGAAGGGTGATACATGAAGAACTATTTTTTTGAAAACTAATGTTAGTTTAGGTTAGGTATAACACTAAAAAAATGTGTATGATATACATAAATATCTATATCTTACACTAAGAGGTTGACAATATACAGATCAAATAAAACTTTCAATAAAAAATATTTTTACAAGTTGGTGGTACATTCTCTGCTCTTGTTTAGGGTATCACACCATTATTGTTTTCCATTCAGAAAAAGAACGCACTCTGCAAAAATGCCCTTCAACTTCATACACAAGTGTGTTTCTTTGTTCAGTTGTCGGACAGGAAAAATATGTTTTGAGCCTGTAAGAAGAGATCAGGGCCACAAATAATACCCACAATTTGGGCCACACTCACAGATACTGGCTTGATAAAATTTTTCAATGCACTAATGGGAACATAGCAGTTTTGCATGAATCCACTCTAAATATCAGGTAAGAGGAGTTTCTAGAAGCTGAAGCTGAATTTACTCTAGTACCTAAGTGATGAGAAATAATTTATTTTTAAATATAAAAATGTCTCCACTCTTCACTTGGGCTCTTGCTACTCAGCCAGATTGAGCTCTTTGCTTCTTTCCTTGTCTATAAGTTCAAGCTCCCTTATTTTCTGTAAGTATAAGATTAAAAAAACACAAATACATTATGACACTGCCAGAAGAGATTTGAAATGCTGGAAATGCTAATTTTGACTAAACCACTCTATTAAACCTGCCACAAGTGTTTGATTAATTCCATTCATCCACTAATTTACCTGTGATATCTCTGTCATTATTATGGTTCTATATTTCTTTCCTTCTCCAAGAGCCTCCATCTCATCTAGGAAACTTTTACGATCTTCTATTTCCTGAAGAACTGTACCAGGAAAAACCAACACATTACTAAATGAATGGTTATGAACTATGCCACAAACACCCAATGAATCAGAGGATGAGATTTTGGAGAAAAAAATTTTGGTGATTGTGGTCAACTACAATTTGCATGAAATAAACTCAGATGTGAAGATATATACAGAAACAATCTTTTTAAAACAATTATTATCATGTTAACCCTCTAGATTGCTCTGAATATGAGAGTAGACAGCCAACAGGAGTCCAAGAATGCTGTTATTCATTTGTTTTGTTGTTTGTTTGTTTTCTATTTTAATCAACATCTGTCAACATTTAGGGTGTGCTTACTCTCATCAAATCTATCAACTTCTTTTTCTGGTGCCATTTCTTTGGGTGGTGGTCTTCTCTGTGTTGGAACATCTTCTATGTCCTTCCCATGCTCGCCATATGCCATCACATTCTGAAGTCTTCTTTTATCTTTCTCTGAAATCAACTCTAGAAAGAAACAAATTATCATTTTTTAATTGGACCCAGAATAAGAGGTTGAGTCTTCCACTGAATTTCAAGATCGACTTGGGTCAGCCACTTTCACATAAGACTTAACCCTTTAACTACTAAGATCTGATTGTTAATTCTCCCCTGTGGCTGCTACACATTTCCTTGTAAATTAGTTGTGAGAACTTGGTGCTAGATCAAGATAGCAGCTTCTACCTGACAAGTTTGAATATTCTCATAACCTGTTGGCTGAAGAATGTATGGATATTGTAGGGAGAAGTTTTATGTTAATCACTTCTGGGAGTTAAAGGGTTAAGGGAACTTGCCTGATTAGGACAATTTCCTCCTGCTTGACCCTAACCTTTATTTTCTGACTGATGTCAGCTGAAAATTTATCCTCAAACGAACTGAAGAAAATTAGTTTCTGATTAGGAAACAAGCCCACAGAGAAGCTCCTTGTTTGTTTTCTTATAGATGGCCAAGGCTTTTACAACAAGCCAGCAAGTAAGAGGGGGAATGATGCTTCATTTAACCTAATCTTATCCATTCGTTACTAGTAGCTTTACTTCGGACAAGAAATCTAGACAGCCTACTTAGAAGAATAGCAAGGTTAACAAGTCTAGGAAAAGACTGCCAAGAACAAAGAGCAAGTTGAACATACTTCCCGGAGCTGGTCGATAAATCTGCTGTGGTTCCACACTCTTTTGTATATCAATTGTCTCCTTTGTCTTCTTTCCTCCTGAAAGGTGTCTTGCATTCATCACTTTAGGTAATGGTTTTTTGGATGCACTTGTTAGTTGTACTCTGCTATCATTTCTACTTGTTGTGGGGTTACAGGCAACAGGTAGAGATTGACCCTCTAGAAAATTACACAAATACAGTGATAAGTTCTTAAAAATTTGAAAAAACCTTTTCCATTCCATTGACGAAATGAACTGTCTGACTATCATGATCTGAATTGAAACTCTCCCTGTTAGTAACTATACATTTATTTCTAACCAAGTTAGGAGAATTCAGTCATTGTTATAGGATGTGTAGTTGACTGTGTGGTACCTTAACCCTTTCAGAGATTCCAACCCTCCCGATTTGATCGGGAGTCTCCCGATTTGATGTCTTGCCTCCCGCTCTCCCGATTTTTACCAAATTCTCCCGATTTATCATAAAATTCTGAAAACTAGGGGAAAATTGCTAATCTTTAGAATTTTTGGCGATCTGTCACTGTGAAACACTCATATTATACTTACTTTCTTCGCAAAGAGCATTATGGTATGTTATAACTCAGGCCGGAATGATGTCAAAATTCAGGAAATGGCACTTGAGAGAACCTAAATTTGCAAAATTTCCCGGGGGCATGCCCCCTGACCCCCCTAGAAGCTTGCGCCTTTGGCACTAATAATTACTCCCTATTTTTCATCACATGGGGTTGGAATCTCTGCCCTTTACACCCTAACATCAGTATGCTTATTCTCCATACTGTAATCTATAAATTTCCCATGGTACACAAAAAGAGAATTTCCTTAAAAATCAAGAATTTCTTTGGTTATTGATCATTTTCTCTATTCTCATGACCTTTATATTTGATTTAGTGGTGACACTGTAAGGTGAAATAAGATCCTGGTCACTCTTGGGGGTTGATGGATTGACATGAAATCCTCTAGCTGGTCAGTTTGTAATTAATCATCACCTGTTTAACATATTGACAATGAAATATGAAGTTGTATGTTACTTGCATCTGGGAGCAAACAAACTTAAACTTGAAATTAAAAATACCGTCATTGAAAAAAAAAACATATACAGAAATAACAAACAACAACCTTAAGATGTTAACCCTTTGACTCCCAGAAGTGATTCACATGTAACTTCACCCTACAATATTCATGCACTATCCAGCAAACAGGTAATGGGAATATTGAAAGGTATCAGGTAGAGGTTGTTATCTTGATCTAACACCAAATTCTTGCAACTAATTTACAGGGAAATGCTGAGCAGGTTGAGGGGAAAATTAACAATCAGATCTTGAGAGATAAAGGGTTTAGAGTTTTTTAAACGCCAAAGAAAATCTTGAAAGCATCGGATAAGATATCTTGATCACATACGACTTGTAGAACGTAAACTCATAAAAATTTAAAGGAGGAAAACATCTTGATATATCTGCCTTGAGACAACACTCACTTTTCATGTTGTCTTGCAACTGTCTCCGTTGAAAGTTCGTCAACTTCGATTCTTCCATCATAACTGTCAAAGAAGAGTCTCGGTCATGAAATGACAACAGAAGTTTTAAAATCTTTTAGGACATTCTCTGATAAAATTATAATTACCTTTTAACAGATTTTGCGTCTCCTTGCTGACTGGAGCTGACTGTGATGACCACAAACCACCTTTAGCAACTGGTTGTCTGTTCGACGCCATGTTTGTTTCTGTTGTTTCTAAGTGAGTCCGCATGCACTGCTAACTAGCGGTAGCTAACTTTCGTCACGCGTATCATCATGTCTTCGAAAATATGGCGCGAAGCTCCACGAAACTATGTTTATCTCAGAGGACGAATTTACGCAAGCTATTTCAAATCTTTGAGGGCAAAGAAAATGAACGAAACTGAGGAAGGGAATTAAAAAGGAAATCGAAGATGTCAAAATGTGAGTTACACTGAGTGCTTTGCTTTCATCGAGCTTGAATAACTGGTTTATTTTATTTTATCCTGCCCTGTGACGTGTGTTGGAAGAGAAAGTTACCAATTTTATTTTTACTTGCGTGTATCCAATTGTTCTCTGGTCTTTTCATGGAGAGGGAAGTTTAGAAAGCCTCTGGAAATATTCTTTCCAGTTTAGGGTAACTTTTGGCTTACACTTAATTACAAATGGTTCGGTCGTCTGGTAGAGAAATATTTGATACGAGAGTGAGTTGTAGTTGTTCATCTCTACGTAACCAGCAGCAGTTTTAATATGCAGTTAATATATATTTTGAAATGGATGTGAAACTTTGCAAACTCTGATTAGTAAAAAACCTGTGGTTTCTTTGTCGGTTGACTCACAGACTCATTTTACCATTGTTCTACAGAACCCATAGACTGTCTTTGCATTACTGTTGTTACAAGTGTTATAATCCAAGTAAGATAACTAAGAAAGACCTATCATAGTAGAGCAAAGGATCAGCAACTTTTATCCTTAGACCTTAAGGTTTGATGCTTCTCCACACAACCACTGAAATTATGTTACTCAAAAAATTTGCCTACTCATCTTCCATCTCTTAGTTTGGCAACATCCGAATGTGAATCTGTTTAAACATTTCAACATTGGAGAATGGAAGAAGTGCTCCAAGGAAGGAGAAGTCTCAACTATTATGGTGAGCCAAACATTAAAAAATATTGATAACATATAGAAGTAACTCTCTTCTTTTCTGTCCTTCCCTTTTCTTCAAGATAGGAATTACTATCTGATTTCTCTAAATGCAAGCTAAACATATATATCAGAATACCAATTTTTTTTGTTTAATTTGGCACTCCATGGAAAATGCTCCAGATAATCTCTTTCAAGTGGAGTTACATATACCATATCTGAAGACCATTTAGCTTTCTGAATAAGCTTCAAACTAAATAGTAGCAAAATTTAAATGTAGTTTGCCTGTTTAAGCTTGCATTCATGTTAATCAAGTTCCCTCATCGCTGATAAAAGGTTGCCAGGACTCAAGGCTAATGGTAGCGACCTAGCAACAGTCTAGTGACAATTCAGTTTTGGTTGTTACATTATGCACTTTCAAAAGCCATTGGGGCTAGTGACAGTCATGAAGGGGAGATTACTGGTCTAATGGATAGAAACAAAATTGAGAGAATTTCCCAGGAGAAAATATAAACCAATGAAAACAGGAACTGTGAGTGGAACTCACAGAACTAACTGGAATTAAGAAAAAAATGTCCAAGATCAATCAAGCCAGTGAGACTTTGTGAAAAGGACTGTTTCATGCAAATTTAGTTTTGGCTGGTAAAATGAGACCTGACTCCCAGAAGTGATCAACATGAAACTTCTTCCTATAATATCCTTACATTATCCAGCGAACAGCTAATGAGAATATTCAAACTTATAGGTTAGAAGTTGTTGTCTTGACCTAACACCAAATTCTCGTAACTAATTTACAAGGATTTGTATAGCAGTTAGAAGGGAGAATTACCAATCAGATCTTGGGAGTTAAAGGGTTAACCAATAGGATAGTGCACAAATAAGTTGGTCAAGAGTCCTTCTTTTCATGAAGGTTCTCATCTGTTTATGTGAAACTACAGTATATTGCCTTTTGTTCTCAGGACAAACAGGTGAAAGGCACAGTTTATAGAATCACTGGATCAATTCCTGCCAGCAACTTCATTCAGTTCCCTCGCACCAGCACTCAGTCATTAGGGTTGACTGGTAGATATTTGTACTGCCTATTCCGTCCAATTGCTGGCAAGTACTTTGTTGTCCATATGGATTTAGCAACAGATGATGGACTTACCATTAGGATTTCCTTCTCAAATATGTTTAAAGAGTTCAAGTCCACCTCAACATGGCTACAGTTTCCATTTGTCTCCAGCCCTCCTCCTGGTTCAGTGGATGAAGCTACTCTCAGTGAAGCGGGCACCATAACAAGTGAGGATTGTGTTAGCATCAGTTGGTATAACTAAATGTAACCAGACATAACCTTTTTGGGGAATGAGTTTATTAGTTTGGAAAAGAACTGTCATGTTAGATTGGTGGGTTAGTGAATACATATAGGTGGTTATTATCAGCCAAAAATTGATAAAGGTCAGTAATGAGACATGGTAAATTTTGAAAAGCTATCATGTTAAGCTCTATAACCCTTTAACCTCTAAGAGTGACAAGCATTTCATTTCTCCTTGCAATATCACCCTTGAATCAAACATTAAGGTCACGAGAATAGAAGAAATGATCACCAACTAAAGCAGCTCTTGATTATTAAACAAATTCTCTTTGTCAGCACCTTAGGAAATGTATAGTAAATAGTATGGAGAAAATGGATATTGATGTTAGGGGCTAAAGGGTTAACCCTTCACTGGAGTAAATAGGTAACTGGTGGGTTTTGTGTGTGGTGATATAATAGAAATAAGACTGAGTGTGGTACAATTTTACACATTTATTGACTAGGCTTGGTATTCCTTCTGTTCATTTTTCTCCATCAGGTCTTGTGGGCACCACTTCTCAAACAACTCGCTGGACTGTTCTGGTACTAGACTTTCGATACATCCTTTCTGTCTACCTGAACCGCCAATATTCTTACATGAAAAGCATTCGCTTGTGTGCCAACATGTTTCTCAAAGGACTCTTTACAAGTGACATAGATTACGCACCTGGCATTTCTGCTTCTGAAGCCAGAAAACTAGGCATGTTGGATAAAGGAATCAGTCCTTTGCCAAGAGAAATGGCATTTCCTTTAGCCAAGGGAGCAGATTGGGACCAGTTATATGACTACATCAAGTTCCCTCCTGATTCTAAAATTGCACAATTTGGAATCATGGCAAATATGAAGTCTACATTACAACATGCCAATGGGGAGCAACCCCTAACTACTGAAAGGGAAGAAAGACGGGCCAGAGTAAATCATGTCAATCAGGTTGGTTCATCTGCAAAACTTTCCCAAGAAACTTCTCAACACTCAAGAGGTGACATAAAGGTATGAAATGTGCTGTGTACAATAAGCACTTAATGACTGGCCCCAAAAAAAACAAAATTCAGTGTTTCCTGGGGGGGCCCAGTCATGAAGTGATTTGTAATATATCCCAACTCAAAAATAGAACAAATTATACATGTTTGCCTTCCCAAGCTTTTCCAATTCTATAGTGACTGTCACAGTTGAAACCACTTCATTGGCCAAATAAAATGCTTCATCCTCATTGGTTTTAAACCTTTTTTCTCTTGCAAGTATCTGGCAATAGCATAGTATATCCTTGCCATAGAACTCTTGGATGAAATGAGCTATCACATTCTTGAACACTTTTATTGAATCTCCTGAGAAGGGACTTGAGGTCTGTTTAGTTTAAATCTCCAAAGAAGTCTCTCAACATTTTCACATTATTTCACAAGTTGGCCTTGTTAGTAAATTTCAAGCTTTTTTTCCAAAAAGCTGATAACCTGATCAGGTATGGGGTTAAACTTTAAGCTGTTGTTTCCCCAAGGAGTTACTGAGTTATGTTTGAGCCTTGAGGGTAAATGAGTCTTGACCCATGGCACACCACGCAGTCTCCTCCAATCTTAAAACTTATTTGAGTTGGCAGATACATTAACAATACATTCTACAAGGATGATAATAGATTGTTAAGTATTCACCTCATCATTAGACTCATTAGGAAACTTTGTCATTAATTTTTGAGAACAGTGAATACTTTCAGAATACGGTTATTATTTTTTACCACCAACTGTATATTTTTACAGACACGTCAAGCAGTAACCTCAAGGATAGCATTAGTGGACAGACTTAATCCACACAAGCAACACCCAAAAAAGCGCAAACACATTGTTCCTACTGCCCTACCAGCAGTAGGAATCCAAGGAGCACAAGTGGCAGATCCAAATTTTGGTGAAGTACATGTCTATGCCCATCCAAATAAATCTGTCACTAATCTTCAACAACGGAAAGAACCAGATAAGGTCCAACAGGTAAACACTGTATAATTGGAGGGGTTCAATTTATTTTCTCTGAAATAAAACTGGCTATCTTTGATCCTTCTTTCTTACATTTGATTCTGATTTTAGTTAGAAAGAATGGAAATACCAAAGGCTTCTAGGGCAGGAAACTTCACGGTGAGAAAGAGTGAATCATTTGAATTATAAAAATACAACTTAACCCTTTACACTCTAAGATCAGTTTGCAAGTTCTCCATACTGTTATCTTGACACTTTCTATTGTACTTTTGTTATTCTGAAGAGTCTTGCAGCAGTTGTCACAAACACTCAAGTCAAATAATTTGTAACGTTTTGCATAATAATGCTTATATCTCATCCCTAGTTCAAAGAGCCTACTGCTCCTTCATGGATCTGCTTTTCATAACTTACATTTATTTATTTTCTTTTCAGACTCTCAAACCAGATCCCATTCTATCTCTGAAAAGAGTTGTGGGGTTTGGAGGTGGCACCTACAGTGAGGTACATGCAATGCTTTACCAAAGATTTCTATTTTCATGTGGCTTGTGTGCTGGACTCTAGATCTAGAGAACTAGGCTCATGCAGTTCAATAAGGGTATAAAGCTATCCAATTGATAAATTGCTATCCAGTAGATAAGTGTTAACAAAAAGTTCCACACCATCAGATTGAGATGTAACCCTTGGATGGCATTATCCAGCCTTTGAACAACCCAGGTCTTTGCTCAAGCTATGGCCAGATCATAGGGCTGTATGCATCAATGAGAACCTCAGCTCTCACCATACCTCTTTTTACCTAGGAGTGTGGAGTGTAGTGGTAAACTGTTAACCCTTTAACTCCCAGAAGTGATCAACATGAAACTTCTCCCCATAATATCCTATAATATTCAGCAAACAGGTAATGAGAATATTCAAACTTATAGGTATAAGCTACTATCTTGATCTAGCACCAATTTCTCATAACTAATTGACAAGGAAATGTGTAGCAGCCAGAGGGGAGAATTAACCATCAGATCTTAGGAGTTAAAGGGTGAAGGGAAACTTGATAGAATGCTAGTAGATGACTTGCCATGGACAAGCAGCCCCCCCCAGAAGGAGTAGCAATGCTTGAAGTCTATTGTCCCCTGAAACTAGAGAATCCAGAATAATTTCGGGCAATTACATTGGAAAGCAGACTATTATATATTGCATGTATGGGGTATTGCATCAAATATGCAAAAAGAAAATTGTATGACTTGCTGGAATTTCTTTTTTATTTAAGGCATTGTGGACAAAGAATGGTTCTTGCATAGTGTACCCATGCCATGCAATCATTGTAGCAATAGATGTGTCATCTGGACAACAACAGTTTTTTATGGGTCACACAGACAAGGTAACTGTCCCTATGAATAAATGTACTAAACTTGTGAACATTTTTTTGAAAATGCAAAGTTTGACATTTTTTGCAAAGAGCTGGTAAAAAAAAAGATGCAGAAAAGCTGGTTTTAAAAAAAAAATATATAAAATTTATCTAGTGAAAAAATATCTGAAAAAAACAACAAAGAAATTTGATTAAGGTTGGAAAATGCCTTGAGATAAAATACAATTCTAGTGAACTGGTCTTGGGAAATCTCAGCTTATCAAAAACAAATCAAATAAGAGTGACAATTAAAGCTTAAAAAAAAAGAGAGAGAGAAAAAGGCCATTTTATTACCTAATATTTGATAGTGTTCTTGTAAAGAGAATTTAAATTATAACAATGACTATGTCACCAATACCTTTCAGGTTTCAGCCCTGGCCTTTGATGGTCAAAGAGATATTTTAGCTTCAGCCCAGACTGGGTCTCCTTCTGTTATCAGAATATGGAAGTACCATTCACAAAAGTGCACCGCAATGTTTCGAGCCGAAGTGCATGATGTGCACTGTATAAGGTAGGTGTGGTCATAAATGTTCTTTTGAAAACCTTCAGGGCCAGCTTTAACTGTTGTTTAACAAAAGCCATGTTCTTAACTATCTTTAGCTGAATCTTTTATCTGAACATTTATTTTTGTAGTAGTAGTTTAAGGACATTTAATATTTAATTAAAACAACCCTCTTACAGAGGATGAATAAGGCCCACTGTTTGCATAAAACTGCAGTTTGGGTTAAACCTTGCGTAAATGACTAGCCCTCAAATGGTAATAATGGCACCATTCGTAACAAGTATCTATAGTATCACTTGTCCAAGAGATTTCATTAATCCTACCAAATAATGGGCCTTTCTTACAATTGAAAGTTCTCTTGCTTTTTCATCCAAACAGAGAAATAAACCTCCTTACTTGAATTATCACGCCAAGTTTAGTAATTCTGCAAGTTTCATTTTAAATTCGTGGCAAACTTATTAAATTAACTTTATGAATTATTTCTTGTTTTAAGTCTTTCATACAGTGGCAACATTTTATGTGGTGTTGGAAAAGACAACCTTGGAAAGCAGGTATAGTTGTTTCACTTAAATCTAGTAGCTTGGTAAGGAAAACTTGACTGATTGTTTATTTACAATATGTTAAAGGAGTTACAGTGTATCTTTGGTATTTCTCCACCCTTAGTAGCCATTGTTAAACAAGGAACATTACCATTAATCAAAAAAGAATGTGAACTTACTTTTCGTTACCTTTGCCTCATGTAGCTGATTGTGGTTTGGGATATCAGTCATGCTATCAGAGGTGGAGAAGTTTCCATTATTGCCAAAGCACACACTGATATTGATATTCAGCGCATGAGAATTGCAGAGTTTGATGACAGCAGGTACTGATTACAGTGTTAGAAGAACTGAGAATAGGCATGTATTGCCATCTTATTTACAAGGGTGGGGAATACTACGTGAAAATTTGGTCTTAGCCTTTTTCATTAGAACATATTATTTCTAAGGACATTTGCTAGGGTGTTTCATTTTGGCCAGTATTTAAGGTGGTGAGATAGTTAGAAGATTACAGAATAAAACCGCATCCACCATGGAAATATGTCCTCCATAGAATAACTTTTCTTCCTAATGGTTTGCATATTAATTTTTTAGCATCCAAAATCACTTTCAATATTATTGAGTATTCAGCCTGTCTTTCATATTGATGATACATTTTACTAATTCAATATACTCTGGTCTACATGGAAAATCTCTGTCTGTCTTGCATTTGCTTTTGTTCCAAACAGCTGGAACAGCCTTTTTAGCAATTCATGTAACACAATTATACTGATTTACTTTACTTTAGGATTCCTGGGTTTTGTCTTGAATTTATTCTATAAGATTTAGTTTATATTCTACTAATGCTTGAATTTATCATTAACATGCAACATGTATTTTCAACTACCGTCTTTCTTGTTAAGGTTGATCTCTTGTGGTAATGACAACATTCGTTTCTGGCGAATTCGCCATGGCTCTTTGAGGTCTTGTCCAGTAGATCTTGGTCGTCAAGGCTTGGTTCATTTCACTGATATAGCTTATGGAGCCAAAAATCCCACAAGTGCAGATCCTACAGTTAGAAAAGTGTAAGAAAAGTATATTGCTGTGTCAAATTTGTATCTTAAATTGTAGTATAAAACAGTTATACTTATACTTGGAATAGCTCAACTTGCAAGTACTCTGAGAAAGAAAGAAATTTCATCTAGTGTGACCCTATATTAAATTTGAAGAAATTTTAAAACATTTTACCTCTCTCATGAGTACAAGCACATTCAGGAAAAAGGTGACATAAATGGATAAACTATTGGGCAATGTAAAAACAAACATCTTAAACCACTTTACAAGGAAATTTATGGCAGTTATAGGGGGGAAGAAGTTTCATTCAATTCATGCAATTTTTTTACATAAATTTCCTTGACAGTAGACATGTTACATTGATCAATGAACCTTACTCTACCATCTGTCACTATGAGTTTTATTTTTTAAAGTTGTATGTGTTAGCCCTTAAACTTCCATGACTGACCAAGACAGAATTTCCTCTTACAATGTTAATACAATAATAAGCAGGCAAGTGATGAGAATGAAGAAAAATATCAATTAGAGGGGGTTATTAGTTGATCCAATACTAAACTCTCTGAACTAAAATCACAAGAATTGTATGGCAGACAGTAAGGAGAATTACTAAGTGAGATTTTGGGAGTGAAATGGTTATGTGTTGTTCATTTTCCAAAGTATTCCATATACTGGAAGAGGTTGCTTGATTCCCAGGGCATTCCCCCAAGAGAAGATTTCCAGTATTTTGCATTAAAAACTAAGCCTTTCCAAGCAGCTAATTCACTAAGATCCAAAACAAAACCAAAAAAAGTGCTATGATCATTGATATTTAATCATGTTTTCCTTTACAGTTATTCCTGTACAAACCAAGGGACAATTTATCAGATTGACTATCAGAAGATCATGCTGGACAAAGTAATCAGACTTCTTCCTATTGGTTCTCGTAGCAACCTAGTTGGCAAGTATGGTGGTACAACTCCAACAGAGTTTGGAATCAGACTCAATTCACTTTGTGTAAATGAGTCATTTTGTGCCACTGGCTCAGATGATGGTTTCCTTCGGTTGTGGCCTTTAGATTTTTCCACTGTGTTCCTTGAAGCTGGTAAGTATCATGTTTTAAATACCAAATTCCAGTTCAAGTCTATCAGCAATTTTAACTAAGATCTAATGGGCAAGTAACTATAACTGCCTACCAGTGAATGCTGATCAAAGGGGGGAAACAGTCCATGAGGGCCACGAGTTTATTAGTATTTTATACTGTCAAGTGCCACCCTTGAAAAATAAAGATTATTATTATTATTATTATTATTTGTGTGGAAGGTTGGATTTGCAGATGCAAGAGAAAATGTTAGTCACAACCAATCTAAGTAGTACTTTCACACACTTACCAGGCTAGAACTGCAAACAAAATGAAAGAGACACAGTAGTAGCATGTTGGACTATATTTCATATTAGTTGGGTGTGAGCCTGTGCTTGGGTCATTGTGTCTTCTGCTGTGGTCATGGGTAAGATACTTTGCTCATGCAATACCTCCTCCCACACAGGAGTAGGATCAGGTGCTGGGAAATTGTCTGCAAATTATGATGGCAGGGTATCTTAGGAAGGCTTATATTACATCAGAGGGAGTAATAGTAACAGTACTGCATTTAACTGCTACTATTTTGCTAAAATTGTAGCTGGCTGCAAGGATCATTGCTTAACTCAAACTTGATCAGCAGGTCAAATGAAGTGTATTTCATGAAAAAAATTCTGATCAGATTCCTCCTCGGTAGTACTGCACCCACCTAGTATTTGGGAAATATGTGTTGGAATCCCGTTGAAGCCTAAACTGTTTCAGGCTTCTTTTCTATAATTGCTAAAATTGCAGCTCACCTGCCAGGAGTATTTCTTTACTGAAAAATGGTATTTGCATAACTCCTTGGTTGCTGGGGTAGGCCTTGCAGTGTGGGCAACTTTGTATTTGAGCAGGTGACTTAACTACCAACAATAGTTTCTGAAAGAGCTAATTAATAAATAATGCTGTTTGTTCAAGAACACGAGGGCCCAATCACAGCTGTTAACATCTCTAGTGATGGACTTAATGTGTTAGCAGGAACAAATACGGTAAATTAAAGCGCTTGCTATTGTGTACTGATAACAAAAATTCCTTTAGGCAACAGCCGTTTTTTGTGTATCCAACTCAGAGAATAATGATTTTGTGTATCCAGCTTGGAGAAAAAAGATGTCTCATGCAAATGGTCTCTGTTTGATTAATGTAGAATATCAAGACTTGTTATTTTGAACATTTGCTGAGCTCAGTCTTTTCATATTGCCAAACAGTTTTTATTCATTGGCAAGAAACTTTCAGTAAATGCTCAGTCAGTGATAACCTATCAATAGTATTCATTCTGAAGTTAAAATTTCTTTCCTTCTCTCTTGTAAACACAAATTTGCTTTGTTCTCTTACACCTTTCAGGGTAATCTTGGTGTATTAAATACATCAACCCGCACCTACTCCACACTGATGAGATCTCATACACAAAAGATCTCAGCCATGTCATTTGATTCCACTCACCGTTATCTGGCCACAGTGTCCTTTGATGAATCAATACGAGTCTGGGATCTTGACACTTTGGCACAGCTGTTTGACTTTCAAGCTCCTGGTGAGCTCCCCTGTGCCATTGCATATCACCCTCAGCAGCAGTGCTTTGCCTGTGGGTTTATGTCAGGATGTGTAAGAGTGTTCCATGTAGGGACAACAAATCTACTAGCTGAACATAACCAGCATGCTGGCCAGGTGACAGGCTTGGTGTTCACACCTAATGGAGAATTCATGCACAGTGCAGGGTCACTAGGTAATATAGCAAAAACATTCCACCATCCATACCCTGTATCAATGTAGTATAAATTAAGAGAAATATGTTTTTTTGTCTTGTCTCAAGCATGAGACAAAGAAAAAAATTCTGAGTCTCCATGAGGAATCGAACCTTAGACCTTTGGATTCCATACTCTAATGCTCTACCACTAAGCCACAGAGACTCTATAGTGAGAAAGGCCCATCAGGAAGTTCATATTGCTGATCCTGCATACTGTTTGGATCAGCAATGTCGATAGTATCATGTTTGGTAGATAGATTAAGAAAGATGGCAAGTTTTAAGCTTTTATGTCCTGTCTAGTGCTTTTAGATCTCTCCAGATACCTTTTGGGTTTCCATTCTTCTTGTTGGTAGATTCACTAAAAAAGCATTGTTGGTTTCTTTTGTTGTTTTTGATGGATTCACAGCTTTAAAAAAAGAAGTCTCAACGGCAAGTTTTTCTTTTAATCCTCAGGTTCTCTTTCATTATATGATGCTGCTGATGAAGAATTCCGGTTGATTCGCATGTTACCCAACACAGTTGCAGCAGGTGCTAAATTTGGATCCCATGTACTGAGTGTAAGTGAAGACAGCCTGAAGTTGGCATTTATTGGACCCTCTGAATACACAGTGACAGTTGCCAATGCCAGATCTCTGGATGAGGTGAGGCTCATCTCATTTTTTCAGTTTCATATCATGTAGTTTCTGAGTGGGAGGATTCGGTGGGAAAATATTTGGCTACCAGTCATGGTGCACAGACGGAGCACAGCAAGATCCAATCATTGTGACCAAGAGCCAGAATTTCCTCTCTACAGTGAACTAACTCGATAATAAGCATTTTATGTTAGGAATGCCTTTCTTTCTTTCTGTCTCTCTTTCTCTCTAATTTTCCTCCTGCATTTTACCTCTTTCAAGGTTGTGTGGACAGGCATACATTTTTTTGGTAGTGCTTGTATCACATCCACTCATGTAACAGGATTATTTCTTGCAATGTTTCTCAATGAATTGTACGATCAGTTCTACTTTAGATTGATCAATGCTTTTTTATGACAGGTTTTACGCATTGACATCAGCACCATCACTGCAGACCGATCAGTTGTGGACTCTGCACTCCATGTCTGTTTTTCTTCATCATCTCTAAAACAGTTATTGGTAATCACTTCAACATCAAGGTTGCTGAAGCTTGACTCTCACAGTGGAATCTTGTTAAGCGAGGTTGGTACTCACAGCAATCTTAAGTTTAATGTTGAAAATAATATGGGATTGCATAGGTTTTACTTTACTTTAAACTGTGATTAGTGTAGAAAAGTTACATCACCATCTCAACCAGTCAGATGCAAAATTAAGCTTATCACCATTGGGTGGGTTGTATTTTTCCATTGTCAGCCTTCTAGGTGTTTGTTCTTCTTTTTTAACCCTTTACACTGTAATGTCAGTCTTCATATTCTTCATACTGTTCTCTATAAATTTCTCAAGAATTGAGGGCTTCTTTTGATTAGTTAGAGATCATTTCCTATATTCCTGAGACCATAATGTGTGATTCTGGGGTGATATTGTATGGAGAATTAGATGCCAGTCCAGACTGACTTTCTGCTATATTTCTTTTCCGATTGTCAGTTATGATGACTTTCAGCTTTGTCTTGCAACACTCAATCAAAGTGCATGCTATTTATAAAGGCTTATTTAGGAGAATTTTCTGTTTGTATTAACAATCTCTAGGCAGTAAAATGCACTTTGCTATTGTTGAACTCTAGATCACATTCTCTTAACCCTTTAACTCCCAGAAGTGAATAACATGAAACTTCTCCCTATAATATCCATACATTATTCAGCAAATAGGCAATGAGAATATTCAAACTTATCAGGTAGAAGCTGCTATCTTGATCCAGCATCAAGTTCTCATAACTAATTTACAAGGAAATGTTTAGCAGCTAGAGGAGAGAATTAACAATCAGATCTTGGGAGTTACAGGGTTAACCCCAAAAGGTTTGAGTAGTTGTAAAGGCATAACTGGTCAGTTCCTCCTCAGCTAAGAAGAATACTGATTTGATGTGAGAAACATAGCATGCCCTTAAATTAAAAATGTTACTGGTGAAGACTAACACTTGTTAAGATGAAGTTCCACGTCCCTTGCAACACTAATTTAATTATACCTTTCAGGTTTCCAATATTCATCGTGGTAACTGTTCAAGTTTAGCTGTGAGCCGTGATGGAAAATATCTAGCCACTGCTGGAGACAAAGTTGTAAAGATTTGGGATTATCATATGCGACTGGACATTAACTTTCAGGTAGTTCCACTTGGTTGGAAAGAAACCTCACATACAGCTAAAATTTTGGGATTGGGTTGAAATCTTGCATGTTTAGTACTTTTCCTTGTCATCAAGGATGAAGAAAAGATCCTTGATTGGCTGGGAAACCTTGACTCATCATACAGAAAAGTTTGCATATTTCATCATCTCTGTATCATTCCAACTTCAACAGGAAATCACAATCAAAAGTCTTTTTTTCGATTTTTTAAATAGGTCTTTATTGGCCATTCAGATCACATTCAGCAAGTTGCTTTCACTCCAGATAATCTTGGGCTAATTAGTGTAGGAGAGGCCATTTTGTTATGGGATTTTCATGGAAGAGTGAGGCAGATACAAGTGAATGGGTAAGTTTTTTTCCATCAAAAAGCAGGATAATTATTTGTATATTGGCAAACAAAATACATATGAATAAGAACAGTTTTTAAATCCTCTTGCCTGGAATTTGAAAACAGTGTCAAACAGTTTTTACGATAACACCAGCATGAATTACCTTGAATGAATATATATTTTTTTTTCTAATTATTTCAGTTGATACTAGTATGTAACCTTGGGGTCATGCAAAACATTGTGGGTCTTCCATGTTCATTTATGTTGTACAATAGATTTCCTCAGAATATTAAAACTCATTCAAATTGGATGAATTGCATGTTAATTACGGTAACGATTACTGATTTGGTGATTACCTTCCAGAGGACGCAACCCACAGAAAAGTTACATTCCTGAACTAGCAGGTATTGTTGAATGACATCCTTATAAATATTTCTCAAGAAAAAAAGTAAGACATACCTTAAGACTAACCAATTAAACTGTCCTTATTTTTGTCATATGTAAGCAGAAAAAAGTGTGAAAATCACTCCTGAAAGACCATATAGTCCACCAAATGGTCATCCTAACACAGTCATCCCAAGAAAATCAGTTCCAGTACCAACTAAATATGAACCTCCTCAGTTTGACGTCAGCCCAATTCCTGCTGATGTGCGTGACAGCGAAAATGTTCGTGGTACCCTTGATAGAGTGCTGCAGAGTGAAGTTCATGATAGTTACTCTCCAGAGAAAAGCAAAAGCCCCCAAAAACAAGTTTTGCTCAACACTGGTGAATCTGTAAGAATGAAGTTTTCATTTACAATTTTCTTATTTTAAATTAAATTACTTGTTGATTTGTTTTTTTTGTTGTTGCTCTGTACTGTGTGTATCATTGGTGAAATGACTCACTCACCCCTTGTTTTGCATCACATTGTTTCCTAGGGCTCCCCCGTCAAGACTAAATCTCCTGCTAGAAGATTGAACTTCAATGTTCCCCCACCGGGTGGATCAAGAGTAGTAAACAGTGATGACCATCCTGTCCCTAAGGTCACTAGACACTACAGGTGCCGAGCAAGGACTTCCTCCTTGGCCAACCGCAGATACACAGCTCCTCCAAACCAAGCAGGACTCCAGCTAAAATCTGTTCTTGGATACAATGGGAATGGAAGGAAGAATTTGGTGTGGAAATATGACACAGGTAATTTTACAGTGAGATAATAGACGAACTTCATAAACAGGTTATTATATTATGAAATTTATGTTTAGCCTGAAGATCTTCACTATCTTCTTTTCAATTTTTTTTCAATATGAAATATCAAAGGAAGATTCAAGATACAACATGGAGTCTGAAGAAATAGGAAGAATATCTTGAACATTAATTTTTCTACTTTGCTGTCAATAAATGATCTTTGGTGTAAGTGAAAATAGTTTTGCACCATTTGTAAAATATTGGCACAAATAAAAGTACATTGTTAGTAAATCAACAGCAAAAGGTTTTTAAGACTGGATAATATCCTCCAGTTGTTAACTTTTTTAGTTACTCATCACCAGTATTGAAATGTTTAGGGGAATGTAAAAAGTTAATATTACCTTTGACAACTTAGAGTTTCAAAGCATGTTTAATTGATGATGTCATTTTTACCATACTGCTGAATCAAGTTGAGTCACTTGTTAAATAAATGTTCTTTTACTCTCCATTTAGGCCTCTTTGCCTACACCAGTGGGTGTCTTGTGGTCATAGAGGACCTTCATTCTGGTACTCAAAGGCACCTTATGGGGCACACAGAAGAGATCTCCACATTAGCCCTACAGCATGATGGTATGATGCTGGCCTCAGCTTCTGGGCCTTCTGATACAGTAGCCAGTCAGATCCTCTTGTGGAACCTGCCAGATGGAGTTTGTCAAAAGGTATGCTTCTTGTGTTTACTTTGATGCACATGCTTGCACTGCATAAATAATCAATGCAGTTGGTGAGCACAGGGGCTGTTGGTAAGAATGTAACTGTGTAGTATTTATCTCTCACATGGTTATTTACATATAGCAGAGTCAGATTTCATAGCCTTACACAAACATCATACTTAGAGAGTGTGTCATTGTATTTAATAACTGATATTTTTACCAGTTTTATTGACTCAAGCATTTTTGTGAACCATTGCCAAACTTGCAAATGCCTTCTTGTAAACCTCCACATCCCCTCTTTTTCCTGTAGCATTTTTCTACTGTTGTGTAGTAAGAGGCATTGTATGGGTAAATTGCATAAGAACACAAATGAATGAGACTGTCGCCATTGTTTGACCTGAGCTCTGGACTGCTCCCTAATCTCTGTCCCATCATGTTGCTCCTGTCCTGTCTCTCCATTTTTTTTTTTTTTTTTTTTTTTGTCTCCTTATTACAAGTCATTTTCTTTCAGGTTCTAACCCACCATGAACATGAGATAGTCTGTCTAGCATATTCCCGCGATGACAGATTCCTTGTGTCAGTGGGTGATTACAGGGAGTGTTCTGTTGTGGTTTGGTGCACAAGAGACGTGGTAGTCCTTGCCTCCTCTTTTGCCAGGCATCCAGTTCATGACATCATGTGGGATCCATACACTGCTAATGAATTTTGCTCCGTGGGTCAAGATGGCTCTGTGTTGTTTTGGTTACTGGATGAGACTGGTGATCAGATGACACTCAATGTATGTAAACACTAGCTTAACTTTTTCAAAATACAACTGAAAATCAATAACCTTTGATTAGAGTTTGGAGGGGGTTTGTAATCAGATGTGTAACATTTCCCTCAGACAACCAGTTATCAATAATAACTTTGCCCCTTCCCTACCAAACAATTATTACAGCCTATTTTGTAATGTGATCAGCCCAAACACTGTATCCCCCCTGCCCAACAGCAGCACTCATACAAGTCAAGGATAAGGAAAAGAGCTTTTTAAATGAGAAACCAAAGTCTTTTCAGAGCAACTAATAGTTCTTCAATATTGTTTAGGTTCATGAGCCAGAGGTTCCAGATGAACTTACACAGTCCAAGAAAGTTGTAAGTTTATTTCATTAATTTTTGCTTTTGTTTGTCTTCTCAGTAGTATGAGTTTTTCTAAGGTCATGAAACAACCTGTAGGGTAGTTTTCCCCTTTTTTAATCTCCCAAATGGTCTTAGGGCTTTATTTGGCCATCGTAATTACTTTCTTTCATATCAGTTTTATAACTTTTGAAGAGTTCTAATAGTACTGTAAGGCAACCTGCTGTGAAAAGGATCATAAAGAACATACTACAATGCACAATAAGTGAATCCTTTACAAGAACTAAGTTAATTTTCTTCACAGAGAGATGAGTATTATGATTTCACAGCTGTTTGGTATGCAGGAGACAGTACTATGTATGCTGCTACAAGCTCAGGTATTTAAACACCCAGCAGTGATTTGCTAGTCTAGACAATATACACATGTCGAAGTTGTAATGCATAGTACTTTCTTGTCACCTCTGACAGCACAACTACTTCTTCATTGTGCAATTAAATGTTCTTCAATTGACTTATTTAGACTTTATAAAGCCAAGTTAGAGGGATTACTTAGGGATGATACTGTATTGAGAAATTAGGAGCTAGTTACTCTTTGGGGTTGAAGGGTTATTTAAAAAAACATTACAGAAGGCAATAGGTAAAATGTGTCTTTTTTTAACAGGAATGTTATCTGCCTGGGACACCAGGCAGAACAAGTGCTTCATTCACTGGGAAGGAGACTCTGCTGAAATTGGTACACAGTTGTAGTAGAATTTAGAAAAAGGCATTGGAGAAATCTAGCCTTCAATGGAATGGATGAGTGTCAAACATGACAAATGTCACATGGGCTTTGAAGTTTTGGGGAGGTCCCTGAGAGATGGTGGAAATACAAGATACAATGAGTAAACACAGAACACTGCTATAAATCAATTACAACCAAAATTGCTTACTGCATACCATATATTGTACGTGTAGTGGTACATTTCTGACTTTTAAAAACATGATTAAATTTTTGTAGGTATGCTTGTGGGATATGGTGGTACTCTTATTGCTGGCAGTGCCTCAGGGAATCTCAGATTGTGGTCTGTGGTAGGAGTGAGTGAGATGCGACTTCCTGGAGATGCCACTAGGTACAATAAACCACAATGAAAAGCTCACAGCTAACACAGACAAAATTTAATTTTATGCCTGATTCCATTAGCTTTCCTGTACTTCAGTCATGGAAAGTTCTCTCAAATGCCCAGTTTCCATCACATTTAACAATTATTACCACCCAAGTGAAAAGAGAGAATTTATTAATCTGTACTTTTTTTAGATTATCCAGCAATGGTTTGGTTATGGAAGATGAAATGACACTTGATGGAGCCATTATTTCTGCATCATTTGATGAAGCATTGGAAACTGTAAGTTTCATTCTTTTCTTGCACCTCTTGTTGATTTCATGTCACTGTACTTTATAATCATTACTACATTAACAGAATTAATGGAATTCATGTTGTGTTATTTTTAAAAGGGCATTATTGGTACATCATCAGGTACATTATGGTATGTCAACTGGGATGAAAGAACCAGTATCAGGTTGGTCAGTGGCCATGCACAGAAGGTGAGTATTGCTTCTTTGAAGGATTTATAGGAAGTCCTACACTCAATGTTGATCATTCATTCTTCCTGATAGTTTGGGTTATGATTGCTAAGTTAGCTAGTTTGATGGTTTAGTATGATAGTGTAACCTTGTCTTTTCAGTTTTGAAGCATGATGTAGTGATTGCCTGAGTATAGAATGTTAAAGTTTAATTTAACCAACAGAAAGAACACTACAATCCTAAAAACTCAACTACTTTATTAAACTTCGAGTGATATTCTTAACAAGGAAACAGTTATTATCCTCCATAAACTTACTTAAGCCTACCACAGTCTATATCTTAGATCTCCACTGACACAAACTCACAATTTTCTCCAAAGTTCCTTGAAATGAACAATCTTCCACAGTAGGTCTCTCTCAGTCTAGCTATCCAGAAATTCAGTCATTCCAGACAACACAACAACAACAACTACTACCACATAGGTGCCAGTCCATGTATACATTTACAAAGTATTCTAGAACATTCAGGAATCTTACAACACAACTGTTTTGGTAGTTTTACATCATAACTACGCAACCTATTAGAACATTCCAGAAAGTTCCATGCATGTCAGCATGACTAGGCATGCTATAAATTTCTAGAAACTTATCTTTTCAGATATTATCCATAACAAGAAACATATTAGTGCTGATACCTAATTAAAACAATTTTCAATGATGATTCATCATTTTTCCTTTTTGTAGATTAATGACTTACTCTTCAGTGGTCCAGATGACCAGTACTTTGCAACATGTAGCACTGATGGAATCTTACATCTCTGGAGCAAGGATAACTTGGAACATCTTCAGTTTCAAGTTCTTGGACAGGTATAATTCTACAGATTATTTTTGGTTTCATTGGTCATAATAATAACCCATCATATTTTAATTGGCATGTTATTGATTTAAAACGTTTATGGGATTAAAATTTTCCTCAACTGAGACTGTTGGAATATGTAAGTAAGAGTCCCCATTTGATACCAAACTCTACTTGTATAGTTGTCAATTCTCAGACATCATCTGTTTCAAGAAGGGAACAGTTTTCAGAGATCAAAGCTTTTGGAAAACTTTGAGCTTCATGGTGATATTCCCCAATTAATTTTATCCCAAATTTCAAGCCTTGCGTCCGTTAAAATGGGAAAGCATTTTGCTCCTTTTGAAAAAGGAGAGGCAAACTTGGATGTTCAGGAAGTAAAACTGGAGAACACACAGAAAAGAAACATGTATCTTGATGAAAGTAGAAAGAATAGCTTCAAATTTGTGGGTTTATCAACAACTAAATTTTTTCCAGAATTGCAACTGTGTGTCCTTCAGTCCAGTACCAACTGCCACTCCCACTAAATCTGTCACAAACGAGGGACAGACTATCGCAACTGTCCACCCACAGCCTCAACCTGATGATGAGACTATTATTCACCCTTCACATTGTGCTGCTGGGTACAGTGATGGAACTATCAGAATATTTGATTTGGGTAAAGTGGAAATGGTTATGAAAATGCAGCCTCATGCTGCCGCAGTGACAGCAATAGCATTCTCATCTTTTGGTAAGAGTATGCGTCATATGTTGGTGCATTTTTTCACCAAAAATATTTTTGTGTTTCTTCTAGTTTCTAGATTTACACTAAAAATGAGTTTGCATATCATGTGGCTCTTCTCTTGAGCTTCAAGATGGTTGGAGTGTCTGGGATACATTGTGGAAGGGTTTAATGTTACTTCTTTTACAAAAAAACAAAGAAGACAGCAAAATACTATGCTGAGTTATGCATGTAACTTCATTAACCTTTTACACACTGTAATACATGCATAACTGTTACAGGAAGAGTGATTATCAGTGGTGCTGAAGATGGTTTGCTGGCTATCAGTAGTCCCTCAACAGGGTTGACAGTGAGACTTCTGAATGATCACAAGGGTGCACCAATCACATGTATTCACATCTCATCTGTTAAGGTCAACTGAAGTTTCCTAGAGTTTTCTTATGAACATTGCTGCATTGTTACATGCATTTTGCATTATACCTGTTGAAATGCTACTCATAATTGGACTTTAAGCTGCAGTGTAACTTTTTCCTTGAAGACCAAATTAACTTAAGTTATAATTCAAGATTCCACAGGAAAATTCAACAACCAACGATGAATTCCATGCTAAATTCAAAAAAATTGAATATCTTTTTCATTGCTTCACAATTCAGTCAATGATGGCTTTCATCTTGCAAGTTAGCATGCATGCAGTTCTTTCGTTAAGTAGTGATTTTTTAATATTATTTAGCCTTAAAGTTAGGTTTTTTTACATGTTTCTTACAATTATTAAATAATATAAGAGAGTTAACATTACATTGTTAAATATTTTGGTAACTCTTCTTCTTTTTCTTTACACCACCACAGGATCAACAGTACCCAATGTCATCCCCATTGCTGTGGCTAGCAGCAAGTGCTGATCGCCGCGTCAGTATCTGGAGTGCTGACTGGTCCAAAGACTTCTGTGAATTAGTAGACTGGCTGACATTTCCTGCCCCACCCTTTGGACCTGATGGACAAGCTCTTAGGAGAGGGGACCCTGTATGTCACATAGAAATATATTAAGAATATTTGACATGTTTTTGGTGTTAATCTCATACTTGATGTTAGCATGATTGTTAGACTAGTTTAATTTATTATGAGCTTGAAGGGCTCCTTGTAACAGTGTAACAGTAACATAATGGTTACTTTGCACAATGCCCACAATGTAAGAGGGTGATGTGTCTTGAAGTCTCGCCATTCAGCTGAGAGTGGTCTTTACAAGGGTTGCTGTCAGTAGTTAAGAGATTGAGAGTCATTATCAGTCCCTTCACTCTGATGTTTACTTTGGCTCACATTGTTGAAACCCTATAGTCACTGCCACCGGCAGCAGGGCATGTCAGTACTTCCCTATCCCAAATGATTAGACTGAGTTTAAATTATAAAGGTCTTGACCAGTGGGCAAAATAATACCATTGCGAGAATCAATAACTGTATAAAACTGTTTGCTGTGACTTCATCATGCTATAAGTTAGAGAGTGACATTACTTGTCATGAAGCTTATTTGTTGATGAATATCACCTAAAACAGGCCCACTTCTCACAGCTGCCTCCAAGCCTGGCCCAATTCTCTCCTACAGACCCTGACATTATTGTTTACACTGGCTATGGCATGCAGAAAGCTGTTCAGTTCTACAGTCTGGCTCAGAAAAAGGTACCATCATTCCAGTACCATTAGAATTCCCCTTTGCACTATACTTTGATAAAATTGAAAATTTCCAAACTCAAAATGTAGCATCTTCCTCACTCTATTGGTTCTGTTATCAACACAAATTAGGAGACTCTGTTTCTTAATTACAAAGACAAAATAGAAAATGTTGTATGTAAAATATTTTTTTTAGCAGCTCAACCCTCATTTCTCCCCTGTCTTGACTCATCTTCAATGTATATAACTATGATGTCATGCAATCCCACTTCAACCAATGGTGCACTTTCCCATGTTTGCAGAATAGAGTAATATTTCCAATATAGTAGAAAGGTCACTTGCAAGAACCAAACTTCAATAAGTTAATTTTCAATATTAACACAAAGACCTTGGCGTGAAGCCCTGGGTAGCAAACAACAGAATTTACTGGTTTTATTCCCCACAGCCTTGTTGTAGGAGTTGATGTTAAATGCTAAAATGTATATATCTAAATCAGGAAGTTTGCATGTTCACTTGTTATTTACTATCTGTACAATTAAACTATTCATAAAGACTACTGTGGTTGTGGGGTACCTATTCTAATGGCTGCCTTCAGTTTTCAGACTTGTTTTGCTGTGAGGGGTCAACTTTTTCACATCCTAATATATGTCTCTTTTCAGGTTGTACGTACTGCTGCACTCACTCAGTGGGTGACCTCCATGGATATATCACCCATGGGACATCTCATTGCTTTTGCAACAGAAGGTAGTCTGGTGTTACAATATATTTTATTTTTTTGCTTGAAAGGCATTGTGGTAAAATTTAGTTGAAACCCACAGCACAAGTCTGAGCTCAAGCAAAACTCTACACACCTGGAAATTAAATTTAACAAAACCATTGATGTGAGTCAAATTTACTTTTACATATCTTTGTGCAATATCCAAGCGATACCATTTTCAGAATGAAAAGGTTAGTAAACCACACAATGCCAAATTGTAACTCCCTGTATAAGGGAACCCAACCTTGTCCCTCTTGTAGAAGAACACAAAAAAGTTTTTAAATCAAAAGCTGAAGTAGTATCTCTCGCAGTATCTCAATTGTTTTATAATCAATAAGAACCCTTACGATGAGAATCTATTTTGCTCTACTTACAGAGCGATTAGTCAAACTGATGGACTACAATGAGGGAAGCTTTCAGGATTTCATAGGACACTGTGATGGTGTGAACAATGTTAGGTTTGCACCAACTGGGGAACTACTGTGTTCAACAAGCCAGTCAGAAATTTTGATGTGGAACGTCAGGGCTGAACTTGATTAGGTTGCATGAACCAGTATTGGGGTTCCCAACAGCACATCTCCATACTCAGAGGATGAATTGAAAAGATAGTACAGTACAACAAGATCCAGCCAGTTTGATTGAAGAGGAAGGAGAGGGCAGAGTAAAATTTGTGTGCAAAGGGTAACCATTTGGGGAACAGGATGATCCCACTGAATCTGACCTAAACATCCAGCAAATGATAGAAATTTCATTGGAAAACAAATGCATAATGTCCCAAAAACAACAGCAAAACAGTAGCCTGGTGAAAAGTAAAGTAACATGAAAACTCTCAAGACATATTGCTCTCAAAAAAGCAACACTTATTTTATATACACAAAATCATACACATCACAACACTCACAAACTTAAAAGTAACATGTTACAAGTGAGCATATTCCACCAATATGTATATCATGGTGGTCAAGTAACTCTCTTGAGAAATTCCTCTGTAAATGAAAAGGGTAAAAATCTGAGTCTCCTGGAATGCCATGAAATGTTTTAAAAGAATAGAAAATTTTCTCGTATTAATGTAAATTCTTTCTGGAAATGGTTTGAAACCTGAATCTGCTGTCTTTGTGGCCCAATGTGGTAAATAGCCTCAAAGACTCTCTCTTAAAAGTGATTGCATAGTCTGTAAACGACATGACTTCTAGAGAGGGTCACATGTTTATGGAGTGTTGTACGTACTAGTTGCATACAGTCCTGTTGTAAATATCACAGAAACAACGTGTGAATATAATTTGTTAATATTTTGTGATTAATTGTGGCAGACTTTTTTACACAGCAGTTTACATGCTTACCAGGATTGGTTATTTTGTATGCAATAATACCACTGATAAGTGTGTGGATGTAAAATGCATTTGATCTCAACAACCCAAGGACCCATAAACTGTCTCCATAAATTCCAGTGTTACACTCACTGTCAGTAGTAGCATTAAACTGAAAGTCTTTTTCCTTGCAGATCACACAATAATAATTCACTTTTCCTTTAAAATTCCCACAAGTAGTGCTGATTTTACTTCAACTGTCCATGTGTGTTTTGTGTCCAAAGGACAGCTGTTTGAATTGCATATATTCACTATGTAATAACCATTATACTGTATTTCATAGAATGAGCACCCAGGTGCTTAATTAATTTTTGGCTAAAAGGAGGGGCACTTATTTGAAGGAGGGCGTTTAACCAAGGGGGTGCTTGTTAAGAAACTCTTACCCTGTACTGATTCAGCTGTAGATGAAGCTTAAAAAGTTATAAATAGGGTGGCACTATTTAAGAAAGTGGGAGAGGAGGGGGTGCTTGTTTGATGTATCAGCTCAGGGGGTGAGTGCTTTTCAGGGAAGGGCACTTTTTAGAGCATAGGTGCTTATTCAAGGAAATATCGTAATCAGTTTTGTTTTCCAGTTCATGCTTGTGATACATATAACGCATGTGGCTCATGTTTTCAATATTCTTTATCCTAATCAAACATTGCAGATTGTATTACAATACATAGCCAAATCTTTCTGGTGATAGACATGTTCATTTTCTAAACAATAATTACCAATTTAAATTAAGATCCTATGATCCACTTTCTAACATATCCTAGTTGTTGTCGTTAACTGATTACCTTTCAATACATTTGCTTTGAACTAAATTACTATATGAGAATTTGAGACCAAGATAATCAACATCATATAATCTGAATAATCCAAAGGCTGTTAGCCTTCCTTGTAAATAAATGACAAAACAGGGGCTTCTTAATAGCTCTTATACATTCAAGTTGAGTACTGAAAAGTCATTTACTTAATATTGCACTTTATTCCACCAAAGCACTTCAGCTTTCAAATTTCTTTATATGCCTGAAGTTGCTGGTCTATTGTTCCTTAAGTCAATATTTTGCAAACCCTAACTAAAATCATGGAGATTTATCATTTTTTAGTACACCAGCAGATATCTGTGATATAAGGTAGCTTATAAATTTGTGTCCCTTTTAGATCAGGGTGGTTGATCAGAATATCTCTAATCTTAGATTCAACTATTGTTCTCTTTTCTTTGCTGCTCTGGCTGATTGCACTGATACACATGATCACAGACACTATCTTATCAATGTCTCCTTCCAGGTATGTTCTACAGCTAATGTCCCTTTCTACTGAGGTAACTTTGCCAGAGCCATTTAAACTTTCCATCCATTTTAGTTCTCTAGGATCAGGTGGCATATCTTTTTGTCTCACAAATGGATTGACTATATCTTGCATAGCTCTCACCCATGGAACAGAAAAATCTCTATGGTTCCAAATCATGCCATACTTGCCTCCAGGTTTAAGAACACGACAAATCTCAGCAACAGACTTTTCACTGGCAAACCAGTGAAATGATTGTGCACAAATTATAACTGGAATGCTTTCATCTGGCAGAGCTGAAAGTTTAACACAAGACAAAGGAGTGATTCAGACAAGAAAAGTAGCACTGAAAAGGAGAATGCAAGAGGGTGCAACTTTTGCCACTGTTTTCACCATGCTTTTGACTGGTTTAAACTGTGACATTTATCAAAACATTTATCCTCAACATCCTCTTTCTAATAAGATGAGGTTAATGCAGAAAAAATTGAAATAGTTATCACCATTAAATTAAATTATATTTACAAATATTATGGCCTCTAACTCTCAAAACTTACTATATTTTCCAAAGTTCAAGCATTAAGAAATTGCCAGTTTTTCTTATGGGGTACATTTTGCAAGATCACACTATCTAACCTGGTAGAGGTGTGGCTATGGGGGGCAGTAGCATGTGACAGTTAAAAGCCGATCAATTATCTTGTATGATAAAACAAGCTGGTATGTGTATGTTCCAAACTGCAAGTGGAAGATAATATGATATACAACCAAAGACCAGGAAGGAACAAAATTAACACTGGCAGAACATCCTTCTGAGGATGGGTTACAAATTTGAAGACCTTTTCTCGCGTCAAACAAACTCTGTAAAAAAAAAAAATTACGAAAGGTGTTTTTGGTATCATCTCGAGTGTGACAAAAAGAGAAAATTCAAAGTCCTCCCAAGGAATAGGGATAACGTGATTGATTTGACTCGCTGCTCTCCACATACAAAATTTAGTGTTTCGCATGTTAGAGATCAAAGTGTGTGCGTGCACAGGTGGCCCAAGCTCCAGTTCTTGCGAAATTATAAGAGCCTGTATGGGTATATTTACGACCGCTCTTAGGAATAAAGAGATAAGTCAAATTCTAAGTAAAAAACAAGGGAGGGCTTCTCTTATGTAGTAAACCGAGAAATGGATAACTCGCTGCAATGGGTTCTTTTCGACATAATTTGTTAGAAGGTCAAGAGGGAGTCAAACATCATGATGGCGTGGATTGTGCCTCACCGATTTTCTCTGCCGGGAAGTGATGCACCTCGATTCCAGGGACAAGTTTTCGGAACGTGTCACACATCACCTCCTGAGAGTCACTGGCAATGACTTCCACGTTAGCTCTCTCTGCCTCTAACTCCTTAACCATAGCTCGCGTAAATTTTCCAGTTCCAGAGGCAATCTCTAAAAGTTTTATGGGCTCCTTCCTGTCCCAGGGCAGTACACCGACACGATTAAGGAGAAATCGAACAGATTCTTGAGTGTATTCTGGTCTTCCTTTTTCGTATAGTGACAAATCCGTGGTAAACTTTCGTAACCCACTGCCGGCGTCCGCCATATTGAAAGAATACTTGTTTTGCGAGAGACTGGAGGATAGATAATGGCAAACGAGGAACGTGGAATTGGGATGGAAACTCGAAATAAGGCGATCAAATGTCGTAGAACTGCTTTGAAAAAACCCCCATTTTTCACAGATCAGAGGGGCCTTTACATTCTCCTGATATATTTTAAATGTGGTCCAAGGTGCTAACAAGGAAGATTAGGCTACCTACATATCAGCAAAATGCAGAATTATCTCTTGCATCAAGTCATGCAAACCCTCATAGTGTCTCAGGGTAACATAACCATGCCAAACTCTCCTGTGCCACCCCTCCCAATGAAGTTTTGTAAACACAAAAGGTCAGCTATCGCAAATGTAAATGCTCATAACGTCAACAGGTCAACGCCTGCAGAGTTAAACAAAGTAAGTAAACCAAACAGTTTGCATGGTGTATATAGTTACATTTTTTTATTTTACCTAATAACTAACAAAAATAAGCATTAAGAACTGTTAATCAGGTGTTTGCTATCCAAACATCACCCACAACCATAAACTTTGCATGTGCTTTCTGTTACAACAGATGTTCACCCAAGTGACTTCCATGTATATCCTATTTTAGAACACTTAATTTCTGGAATACTGTGTTCTAGTTGGCTGTAATTTTCCAGGTGAGAATTTTCAACCATGCAAAATAAGATTCACATTGGCCTAAGTACTTGTTCTCTGAAATTGTGCACTCCCCTTTAAACCAAGCTATGGTTTGAGCAGTATTCTACAACCCACACATCACAGAGCTCACATTATTACTATGCTGCATTTAGCTGTTAAATAATGTCTACCCGTCTATCTGTCTGCCTTTCCCCTCCTTGCAATTTTAAGAGAAAAAAGAGAATCAGGTTTTCTTGAGTAGTAGTCCCTATCACTAACTGGCCCCTTTTACATCATTTTGAGTTTCTTGTGGGATTACCCATGAAGAAAATACTTTTTATCACTAGAGTGACTTATTCCTTTTCTTTAAGTCTAAATCATCAAAAATATCTGGGCCAAAATTATTCTGTAAGAGTCAGGGAGAAAAAGAAGTCATATACATGATTTATATCATGTACCTTTAGTAACTTATCATTTAAAGTTATCATCTTTGGAATGTCTATAATTTGTAAACATAGCATGATATAGAGACACAGCACCTTACACTAAACAATTTATTTTCCCGAGAATCTATGTTATTTGCTAACATGCAAATTAAGCAGATGGAGACAAGCTCCTTACACTTCACCATCTACTTTCCTTAGCATGACTCAACTGTCACAAATACTTCATATCATTGGCTTTTACAAATTAAATATCTACCAGAGGACCCCCCAGCATGAAACAGTGATCATTTATCAGAGAACTTACTTCTATTATGGCTAATGAATTACATTCCATAATTTGATTATAAAGAAAACCAATGAATGGAGGAAACCTCCTGATCCACACAACAAAACCCACAACCTTCTGCCTTTGTTTTATATTTTCATAATCACAAAAACTTGCCTAATTGTTTAAATAGATAGGCTATGAAGTCGTCTGATCGTCATTTCTCTTCTGAAATGGGTAGAAAGTGTTGGTAATAGTCTTTTGTTTTCTCTGTCATAATTTCCTGCATACATTCTGGTAATTCTGCTGAGAACACACCTGACAAGAAAGCACCATAAGTGAGTTGTTTCGCTTTGTTATAATTAACATCTAAACACCAAAGTGAGGGTCGCTTATGGTGGAACACCACTGGCCACTGACATTGAGGTGAAAAGTAACTTTAGTAAAATGCGATATTAAAACAGTGAGTTAATATAGCACAAAAAGATGATTTTAACTCATTTAGTCATTTAAGGATTAAAATATTTTCAGGTGCAAATCCTGCTTGACTTGCTTGGAGGTGAATAACAAAGGATATTTGGACTTTGAGTAGCCAATCAGAGCACGCCTTCAATGCTAATCACTGTTTTACTATACGCTAATTATCATTGATCCAATTTGAAAACATTTCTCTTGTGTCTTTTAATTGCTGGTCTGTGATTCATCTATGATAAATCACATTAACTATGTAAAATCTGAAGCTTTTAAGGAGAAAAAGTCATCCAAAGTAATAGGGTAAAACAAAGAAACTAACAGACTAGTGTGACAGAACACCCATAAAAAGTACTATGTTTGAGGAGATTAATGTTTGTGTTCAGTTATCAACAAATATTCTCCAGGGTTTCTGATGAAAATCCCCTAACCCTTTAACTCCCAGGATCTGATTGTTAATTCTCCCCTCTAGCTGCTACACATTTCCTTGTAAATTAGTTGCAGGAATTTGGTGTTAGATCAAGATAACAACTTCTACCTGATACATTCGAGTACTCTCATTACCTGTTTGCTAGATTGTGGATGGATATTTTAGGGAGAGGTTACATGTGAATCACTTCTGGGAATTGAAGGGTTAAGGGCACAGACTAATCAAAGTGTTGGATGACATATGCAGGATTTTGTTACAATGAAGAAATAGGGGTGTGCACCATATGATTAGAACAATCAGGTGAATGTATTCTCTGGAGGAATTGTTGTTGTTGATCAAGGCTTAAGTTTTGTTAACCTGAGGAGAAGTAAGCATCAGAGCCAAATGAGGAGGTGGTTCAGTTCAAATTAGTCATAACGGGAACTAAAGTTGAACAGACAAATTGGTGACATACCTGGAGAGCCTGAATACAGAGTAAAAGGTGGAACAACAGTTTCAGGGGGGAGGACTGTGTTATCAGCTATAGCACAACAATCTTTTAATACACTTCGGCGACCCTTAAAAAGACATCAAACAGAGAAACAGTAATCCTTTACTTCAATAATTGCAATTATTATTTGTATTTCTTGGGCAGTTTTGATTTGATCCTTTAAAATAACTCCTCTAAAAAATAAGAGGAGCAGCATGATGTGAAATTTTGAATTCCACATTTTCTGTCCAAATTGAAAAATTCATCTCAAGACTTTATTGTTAGGTGTCATCCAAATATTCTTGAGAGAGGGGCTAGTCCAGCAGATCATTAACATATGGTAAAGGAAAATTTAAGGAATATAAATATGAGGACTTCAAATCTGTGGCTTAATCCTTCTTTTTTTCAGATGAAGAAAATTTAGTACCAAGGTAATACAATGTTAGCTTAGGAAGAAATATGATCTTGAAAAATGTGAATGCATTTCAACCCAACATATTCAAGACAAATTGCATACAGGCTGTAAGTTAATTAATGCATTTTAGAACTAGGTAGACACATAGACCAGTATTATTCAAAAGAAGATATTCTCATCAGCAGAAAGTTTAGTTAGTATTAATTTAGTAATCTACTGTTTATAACGTATACTTACAATTACACAGTTTTTTCCTATGTGGACATAAGAACCAACTTGAGCAGCATTGATGACACAATCCTCTTCAATAATAACATGGTCTCCAATATGGAGGGGAAAGAATGCAACTCTAAATACAAATCAGAAGAGAAGCACAATCAGTTAAGTATTCTTAAGATATAACAGTATAGTTCTAGCACTTGAAAAACAAGCCATTAAGTTGTAAAAAAAATGCCATCTTCCCTAGTAATTACTTAATAATAACTAATAATTAATAAGGCAGAAATGTTAAGAAATGTTAACCCTTTGACCTCTTCAAATGACCAGCATCTAATTTCTCCTTACAGAATCACCCCTGAATCACATATTAAGGTCAGGAGAATAAAGGAAGTGATCACCTACCAAAGAAGCTCTTGATTGTTAAACAAGTTCTCCTTGTCAGTACTTTAGCAAATGTATAAAGAACAGTAAAGAGAATATGCATACTGATGTTTGGGCAAAGAGGGTTAATAACAAAAAACAACACAAACCCTTTGCTGAATTTCTTAAATGGCGGCCTAATTACACTTCTTTTACTGATCACGCACTGTCTTCCGATTCTGACATTTGCAAGATCTCCACGTAAAATACAATCCGATTGAATGATTGTCTGAAAGAGGGATTAATATTGTTGATCAGTAAACAACTTTCAATGATATTTGATGACAGTGAATAACCACTCCGATTTCTTAAGACCTACCTTTCCGTTTAAAACAATATTTTGACTCCCACAGAGAACTGACTGACGGCTTACTTTATTTCCTGATGCCTGAGTAACAAATAAACAAGTTTAACTCCTCGTGAAGAATGGAGAATGCCTCCAGATGGTTCAAGCACACGCCTAAATTGAATCATGTAGGGTTTCAAATCAACGATCTGCTACACTTACAGTTTCTATATATTCTGCTTTGTTGTAATACACGTCTTTTTGCTCCATTTGTCCGACCAAGTTTACGCTAACAAGGTTAGTTGGTATAATATGCTTGGTTCATATCCCTGTTACTTCGTGTACAGAAATAACCAGGCACTATTGGCGTGGAAGGCTGGGTTCTAAATGTGGCCCAATTGTCTAGGGAGGGTAGGGCTACTTTTCCTATGTACATTTTAATTATCCATAATTGCTTAGATTAAGAGGTTCTTTATTTTCTCAGATTCCACATAGAAAATTTTCACTCTTTCTTACTGTTTAAAATTGGGTAAAATAAGTGAAAGGTCTAAATAAGCATCATGGTTTGAATATCAAGAATGGATTTCCCGTCTCCTCCCCAGTAGAGAATGTCTTTTGTTCATTTATCCTTATTCCTTGCGTCTCGATAGTTCGTGAACACGATTTGCAGCACTTTCTTTACCTCTATGGCCTGGAATCAACCTCCTCCGGGACACCAGCCTGGTTATAATCCAGCTTATGTACGTATTGTCAAATACTTTCTAAGTTCTTGCTTTTGCCACGAATTCTTCGAATGTTTTTGAAACATCGTTACATGTTAACATCTTCCGGAAGATAGGCTAGTGTATCTCGTTCTTGAGTAGTCAAAAAGCCGTTTCATTCTGTTATGTAACTGCTCTTGTGTTAATGCACTATAAGCAAACCTCGTTACCTACAAATCAGGTTATGTTACTTAGTCTACTCCACATTCATGGATTACTTAGATTGTAATCAAGTTGGCAGTTGATAACTCGAATGCATTCGTTCAGCTCAATCGATAGACAAATTGCTAACAAGACAATTTTCATCTCACACCAAGTTAGATTAAACTGTTTGCTATGTTTTCTGTTTATTTTGTGATTTAATTATTGACGCACATGAAAGATTGCTAAATGAAAGCTATCATAGTCGTCATTTGGCAGAAAGACTGACACATGGCTTTAAAGAAAACAGCCTTTTTCCGCTTGCATTATGTTTGGTGAAACTTGTTATTTTTGAGCCCTGTCACAAAAGGATGCAACAGCCCAGTAAATAAAATTTAATTGTAAGAAATGCGCAAAGTTGGATTCCTCTAAAACATGATGGATTTGGTTGTTGTCTTGTCAAAGGGAATGTCATGGATTTTTACCCTAGCATGTTGAAAATGAAACAAAAGTTTTACTAGCTGTCAAGGGGTAGTTTAGGGTAAGGTGCATTCATTTTACAGAAAAAGGCCTAACCAGAGGCTTTTGCCCTGTTATTGAAAAAAAAGGCTTAAAAACCCATCATCACCTTGAATACACTGTAAGATTAGCATGGTTGAAATTTGTCTCTTAGGAAATAAAAACCAGTGAAAATGTTGTATTCAACAGATGTACCCCTTTAACTCAGAAGAAAAAGAAGACAAAGCTACTTATGAAAATGTTAAAAGAAGAATGCTCAGGGTGCAGGTTATTGTCTTAAGGCAGAAAATCTTGAATAGTTTTCTCTCTTTATTAAAACAGGGTGGGCAGTACAATTATGGTCAACCACAGGGATATCAACAGCAGAACCCATATGGCCCTCCACCTCCAGCATCACAGTATCCTCCTGGTTATCCAGGGGGGTGGGGAGGCCGTCCAGGTCCTCCTCCTGGGGTTGATCCAGTTCTCTGGGATTGGTTTCAGGTAAAGTAAACAAAACCTTTACTAAAGAAATACTTTGTTGGTACTCTCCTTTGATAGGATGTTATTCTGGGGTAGGTTCCTCCCTTCCAATTATCTGTATATGTTTCTTGGACAAGAGACCTATTTAGCTTGTATGTTTTGTTTACCCCTTTCCAGTCTTGCAATGATACTTTAAATGACCATTTATTTCAAATTTCCTATTATTCATGTGTATTTATACAAAAGGTAAAGCTGGGAATTCCCTTGTGACCTGAAATGGACAAACAAAACATGCTAAGGAGGTCTACTCTGCAGTTATCTTGTATTGAGAGAGGCTCTGTAGAAGTTAAATTCCTTCTTTTAGAATCAAGACTCAAGTTCCAGTTTTCAAGGCTTGAAGAATTTATTGAGGATCTAGCCTGAAAATTTTGTAAAATGTGCTATAAAGTAGCCAACAACTACATCATTATATATGTTCATATCTGTTTGATTTTAAATGAATAATGACTTTTAAGCCTAATTTGGTTTCAGGCAGTTGATCAGGATAGATCTGGAAAAATAACTGCCAAAGAATTGCAGCAAGCTCTCTTAAACAACAACTGGTCACAGTTTAATCCAGAAACTTGCCGACTAATGATTGGCATGTTTGACAAAGATCAGTAAGTACCTCTGTCTTGAATACCACCCTGCCTGTGCACCTATTGTCAGAACTGTTGTCATAATACACAGCACCATTGTTTTGTTAGTTTAACTGGCATATAAAACCAGTCTACCTGGAGAATTGGTGAAGCTGCTGATTTGAAGTCAGCTTTGTTTATTTGTCTTGAAGAGAACTACTCCACATAATGTTATAAAAAATTTGTTAAACTTATGATACTGATCATCTTTTTCAATAAATGTGTGTAAAATTTACCTTTGTAGATCTGGCACAATTGACATTCATGAATTTTCAGCACTGTGGAAATACATTCAGCAGTGGAAACAATGTTTTGACAGGTAATGGTGAATCATTTATTAACTTGATAAGCAAGATTTGGTATAGAAGTTTGTAAGATAGTATATTAGTGTTCAAAATAAAATTTCAGTGAGCTCAATCACTGCTATTAATTTCCATAAACATATAAATGCATGTGAAAATGAATTTAATTATGAGTTCAGGTTTTTAATACAGCTGTATCACTTTCCTTGCTCTAAGGTTTAGGCTGCATATATAATAAAAGAGTGGTGAATATATTTGATTTATATGGGGAAGGTGGATTTACGGAGATATGACTTAGTGGATATTTGTTAAGCAAAAAATGGTCTGTGTCTAAGTGAAAATAGGTTTGACTAGAAAACTTAAATGGTAGCAGCCAGAAATTATTCAAGCTTTTAGGTAGGATTTAATAAGTGGTCCTCGGCAGGATGTTAGACATCATTCACATGTGATTTGTCATTGTGATAGCCATCCATTTGATAGATACATGTGATTTGTCATTGTGATAGCCATCCATTTGATAGATACATGAGATTTTACTGTTTTTAATTCTGAGCTTCTTTTGATTATGATAACCTTGTCAGTGTCTTGGAATTCTTCTGGGTACAAAAACTACATGTTGATCTCAATTAAAAATTTGTTAATATTAAGAATTCTCTTGATTATATATTCTGTAATCATTAAAGTTTCTCGTTTATTAATTCGCCAATAAAGCTTTGATCGTGACCGATCAGGAACAATTGATGCTAATGAACTTCAAACAGCCTTCACAAGCTTTGGATACAGATTGTAAGTTAATGAGTTTGCCAACTCTGAATTGCTTCAATTGTTATGTTATTTGGTTTGTCTTAGTGTATCTAAAACTACCTTTCAGTGACTATAACTAGGACCCAACTAGGACATGAACCTGGACTTCTTGACTCAGAGTCCACATTTTTTAACACTAGGCCACTGCATCCACTGTCAGGGTTATCCTTGACTTGTGCAGTTCAAACCTGTATCCAGAGACACTGGCAATGAATTCCAATAAATTTTTAGGTCTTTGTCACTTCTAGTTTATTTTTCTTGATAACCTAAACAAGTGGTGCCCTCGCAAAACCAACAAGCAGAAGCTATAGGAAAAGGCTGTTATATCTGAAAGAGGAGAAATAGTTGAATGCACTAATTTGATTGTTTTGCCTTTTTTTCAGATCACCAAGTTTCTGTAATCTGTGTGTGCGCAAATTTGATCGCTTGAATGTTCACACGATGAAGTTTGATGACTTCATTCAGTGTTGTGTTATGCTGAAATCTTTAACAGATGCTTTTAGGAAACATGATCATCAACAGACTGGCACAGTTACCATCAATTATGAACAGGTAAGAAAGTGATGGGTTGTAATTTGTTAAAGTTTTGACAAATCAGTCCTGTAGTGAAACAAGTTTTTTCTGAATTGTTTCACTTTAAGTTTTCAACTTGGTATATTGTATAAGACCAGGTAGGAAAAGGAAAGTGTAATGTGTGGTACTTTTGAGCAGTGGTAAAGAGCAGACCTGTCCTGTTGTGATTTATACGTTCAGCTGGAAAATGATAGACTTCATTTATCTGTGAATTTGTAGTTGTTGTTGATATCTTCATTTCACTACCAGTTAAAAATAGGTAAGAAAATCATCAACTCTCTCACAAAGCACTTTTAAAGGTTCCCTGACATTTGAACCAGGATGGAAGCACTTTGCTTCCCAGGAAACATAATTAAGGCTTTGTCATTGGTTGTAATTGGGATTGTGATCTCCTAGAGTTAGCTTGAAAGTACTAGAGGGAGACTTTTGTATAGCCAGTGATTTGGGAAAAGGCCAAAATTTTTATAGAACTGCACCCTGTATGGTTTTCCAGTAATGCTTATGTTGGTTTTTGAAATTGCCCTATGTCTTATATCTAGGAAATTTGATTTCCATGAATTCTCATTCAACATTTTATTTCAGTTTCTAGAAATGGTGCTTGGGCACACTTTGAGTGGAACATAACAATGTTGATATGCTGTGTTGAATCTTTGACTCTCCAAGTAGTCCTCCAGGCAGTATGTCATCTTTTGAAGGGTTTCACTGGCTTGCACTTCAAAACTGCAAGCTAAAAGTACTAAACCTTACTTACTATAGGTACAATTAGAATATCATTTTAATAAATTGTGTAATCTTGGGTATGACATAAATGTTTTCCTTTTACAAAATCAGGGGAAGTGTTTAGGATGAACTGTAATTACCTGTAGGTTATTAAAATCTTTGTTGTCTGTTTCCCCAGTGTCTGCACTTGTTATGAATAAATGGGGGGAACTTCTGTTTTCTGTTGGATTTAAATTAGCTCTTCAAAAATAGAAAGACAGTGCAATAATATTTAGATTTTTTTTCATTGTCATTTGCTTAAGACATGCTTTTAAATGGGACAACCATAAAGTTTTTTATAGGAGAGAGCTTTACAACAGCCTCTATAGCATATTTTATTGTATATTAGACCACATAATTTTAAGTTTACAAGCAATGTTACTCTTAGCAGTTTTTACAAGTTGTTTGTTAGCCCTTTGGTGTTAGCAATATTGATTTTCTGTAGTATTAAGTGTTATCTTGATAAGATATTACACTGTTTTTGCAAGAATATGTTTTTGTTTTTCTGTGTTGGAGTAGACAGATTTGTCTAAAAGGCATTGTGTTGAGTGTCAAGTTTTTAATTCAATCCATATTTTCTTCTCTGGGGCATCTTGAAGTGGCGACTGAAGCAGCCAGTAAAACAATACAAAGTAAGTGGTGAGGTCGGTTGCCTGCTGCTTCTCATCAAGTAGAATTTTAGGTTTCATAGAAGCCTTCCTGATGAAGGGGTGGAAAATAACATTAGGTAGTACTTCTTATTTTATAGAAATTTTTTTGCTCAAATTACCAAAATTACTTATCCTCGAAGTGCATCAATTTAACATCTTACATGACTAAGTCATAAATTAATAGAGAGATTCTCATTTGCAGAATCTTATACTTTATTTGCAGGGTTCCTTCTTGGGTGCTAGGGCTAGTCCGTACTTTATACATGGTGACAAGGTGCATAATTTTGTACAGAATATTCATCACTGGCTGCCAAACTTAAAGATATGCAAAATTTCTCCCAAACATCCTGTTATGGCTGGTTATGCCAAGCTACCAATTGAGTTTTTTTCTCTTCCACAATCAGGCAGAGAGAGCTCTGTAAGTCCCACTAACCAGCCTACTTTAAGTTGTCTATTACAAAAAAAAATTACTTAGCAGTGAAACTATAGGTAGTCTTGCCCTGTATCAACCATTTTATGTTAATAAATGTTCTTCTGAAAAACCCGCTTTCTAGGAGTCTAGCTAGGGAGATTTTCCCTTTCATTATCACCCATATCTCCAACAAAATTCTGATTAGTTCAAAACTTTGCCAAAGATGTGCCTACAACTTGCTACAGCTGAAGATTGTAAGTTCAAATTTGAACCTCAAGGGTGTAAGACACTTCTGTTTGCAAGAGAACATAGGTACAATGCATAACAGTTTACCAATGTAGAATTCTTTAAGACTCCTAAGGAATTTTCATAAATTCTTTTCTTTCCCACCTGAAGCACCTTTGAGTCCAATCTTGCATGACCTAAATTTTTTAAACTGCAAATTAATGATTAAGGGGGAGGGTGTTTCAAATATGACCCCATGCTCATCTCTCTAGTCACTTAAAAATACAAATATCTCTTGCTTTCTAGGAACTTGTGGCAAATGATACCAGTTATTTATCTAAAAGAGATATTTTTTACAATTAAAGTTTCATTGAGATTTTCACCCTAGCTCTCTTTCTCTTACACGACCCTACCCTTGATAGTGGTTAAGTCCCAGTCTTACCTCTGTCTTTGTAAACAATCAATAAACATGGCGGACACAACGACTTCGAATGGAGTATCGCTGCTGTTCAAAAATTTGACCGCGCGGGTTAGATTTAAATTTGAAATGATGGCAAAGATCGATGCCTGAAGTCTTCCAAATTTGAAAGGTAAAAATGACAATGCAGGTGTTACGAAGGTTTGCATAGTTTTACACCCGTTTTACTGTGATCTTGTGTTGTTATGATTGTTGATATCTTGATCGATGGTATGTTTTTCGATTTCCTAAGTTAAGCATTTCAGTCCAAGAATTCTGAAGCAGCCTCAACATTTGAAGAGTGCTTTAGGAGTATTAGAGCCCTTGGAAGGAACGGCGTCACCTTGTTCCTAAAGAATTCACCAAACAGAGTTTTATCAGGGAACCCCACCCCAAGATCCCAACCCTTACCCCTGTAAAAGACACTTGTAATCAAAAGATCACCTCTCTCATATACCTGGCACAATAAAACTAATGAAAACTGCATCCCTTTTCTGCCCTAAGAGAAGTGAAAACAGACAGAACCTTAAATAGATGGCGGAGCAGCTTTTCCCTTGAGCCACCTCTAAAATAAGCAAATAAATTTACTAGGTAGGCACTTTTAAAACCTGACAACAGTATTCCAGAATCTCTTCACAAACTGACATATATGATACCTGTACTTATAGATCTTAAAACATCACCAGCTTAAATGAGAGGTCCCCTATCAGGTGAAAAATTGATAATTTATAAAAAGTACTCCCCACTGGATGATAGAGTATTCCCCCATGTAGCCATCTCTGCTGCCCTTCATAAATAGTTTTTGCATTGAAAAGTATTCTGAGGTTTGATATTCAGTCCAGCATAGCCCCACTCACCACTCATGCTGTCCTGAAAACATTGTTTTAACATCTGGTTGGAGAGTCTGTGAATTATTACACTCAATTTTTGTAAACCTATTGAAAGCAGACTTTTGTTTCTGTAATTTTATAACTTAATGTTTTCTACCTTTTAAAGAAAAATGCAGGACAGTGAAGGAGGGCTATTTCAAGAATGGTTTTCCTCCATCAGTAGCATTCTAAATCAAAGAGTCAATGTAAAAGAGATCTCAGCTCAGTTTGGCTTGCTACAATCAGATGAAGAGAGAGTTGCATTTGGTTTGAATTGGGCTTGCCTCCATGAGGTTATGAAGGTGGAACCTTGCTTTAATTCAAAGTCAGCAGAACATTCTATCAGACTGCGTAGGGAAGGAAACAAATTGTACCAAAAAGATCGACATTACAAGGCACTAGAAGTTTATACTTGCAGTATTTTGAATGCACCTGTTGAAGGTCCTGGTAATGAATTGTCTCTTGCTCTGGCAAATAGATCTGCAGTCTTGTTTAAGCTAAGGGAGTATCCCAAATCTTTGGAGGATATTCAACAGGCTTTGAGCTATGGGTATCCTGTGGAACTCAGGTACAAGTTGCTTGACAGACAAGGAAAGTGTCTTTTACAACTTGGTAGAAGAAGTGCAGCCATTGACTGCTTTCAAGAGGCTAAGAAGGTTCTTGATGAGTCCAAGCTGGATGAAACCAAAAGAGGAACTTTTTTGAAAGACCTTGAAATGGAAATTTCAGTATGTAGAACTCAGGAATTGAAAGTAAACAAAAGTCATGAAAAGCATACAGATATAAATGAAAATGATGATCATCTGTTGCACCAAGAATTTGCTTTGCCAAAACACACTCATGAAAGGAATATCAAGTTTACTTCAGCCTCTTGTTGTGTGGACATCATCTCTTCCCCAGACTATGGTCGTCATTCAGTAGCAACTCAAGATATTTTTGTTGGAGACATCCTGGTCATTGAAAAGCCTTTTGCATCTGTTCTTCTACCAGAACATGTGGAAACACACTGTTATCACTGTCTGAAGCGTGTGACTGTCCCAATGCCTTGCTGTCAGTGTACTACTGTCAGGTACTGCAGTGTAGTTTGTGCAAAGCAAAGCTGGGATGGTTATCATTCAGTGGAATGCAAATATCTCAACCTTATCCATAAAGCCAAAATTGGCAAAAATGGTCACCTTGCTCTGAGAATAATAGCAAAAGCCAGATATAAATTCCTGAAGAACTTCAGACGTGAAATGAGGAAAAGACTGTGTGACAAAGTCAGCCGAGAATCTGGCTGCCTAGATGATGGAAGCTATATTTCATCTGATTACCTTCCAATTTACTGCCTTGTGACTCATTCAGAGGACAGAAGTGCTGGTGATCTGTTCCGCCGCACAGTGATGGCCATATTCCTGTTAAAGATACTTCAAGGAGGTAGCTTTTTCGGCAAGGATCCATACTCTCAAGATGACCTGATCTTCATTGGTGGCCTGATCTTGCGTCATCTTCAGTCAAATCCTTGTAATGCTCATGAAGTTTCAGAGCTTCAGCTGAATCTTAACTCAGTTGCCACATCAGAAACAGGTGAAATTGCCTCAGGGATATATGCTACCCTAAGTTTGTTCAATCATTCTTGTGATCCATCAGTGACCAGAAACTTTTACGGTGACACATGTGTTGTGCGTGCCATAAAAAGTATTCCAAAGGGTGAAGAAATTTCTGATAACTATGGCACACTTTGTGCACTCACTCCTAAAGCTGAAAGACAAAAAGAACTTGCAAGTCAGTATTACTTCACTTGTCATTGTAGAGCTTGCAAGGAAGACTTTCCTTTGTATTTAGATATTCCAAGCAATGCATCCCC